GATTCAAAATTATGTGGAGGTTGACAAGCCAACCATTTTTTTAGCTCCGTACACATATTTCTTTTTTTCTCTGACAGTCACAACTCCAACTCATAAAATTTTCTAAATTCTAGGTCTCTCTAAAAAGTCTTCTAGTTTTGAATGGGAATAGTGCAATTTTTTTGCCCTGATTGCAAGAAATTTTGATGAATGATCACAACAAGTGCATTGCTATTTGGATAACGTCACACTTATTTCTCCATATGCACCCTAGTCAGTCTACGCTGATGCCGCTGACACGACACAACCTCCTTCCATCCACGCGCTCTGCGCACTGAGTCGACAGGAGCTAGGAACAGCAAATCCAAAGCCTCTGATTGGTCAGTTAGTTGGATGGTTTCGATAATACCTTTTCAGATGAGTCATGCGTAAGACAGTTTTGTTAATGCCAAATTTTGACTGACTTACGCCATACGTAACTTTTTGAACGTAAGTACGAAAAGTTACGTGAACTTAGCGAAGTTTCGTTAATCTCTGCCCAGGCAACAAGTCCAGTAGCTATCTCAATCAATCGTCAGTTATGGGAAGGTTGGGTTCCGAAGGCCGGATCCCTTGTGAATCAAGTCACGAAATCAAGTCTTCTCGCTTCGAGTCACCGACATGTGGAACAGCCTCCTTGATAGCACCGTTGACGCTCCGAGTATGAACGCCTTCAAGAACAGACTAGACGAAGCTTTGCAGGAGCATATGTTCAGTCTTAAAATGCCTAGCAAATTACGGACCAGGCAATAAGTCCAGTAGCTATCTCAATCAATCGTCAGTTATGGGAAGGTTGGGTTCCGAAGGCCGGATCCCTTGTGAATCAAGTCAAGAAAAATTCAAGAATCGGCAACAGGCCATGGGCCTATTTCTTCAGTGCCGACACTTCTATTATATTCTATGAACAAGAATCGGCAACAGGCCATGGGCCTATTTCTTCAGTGCCGACACTTCTATTCTATTCTATTGCCGGTAGATCCTGCACCACTAACTTATTATCTACGTTGAACGATTGAACTCGCCTTCTGGACGAAACGGAACCAGTGGATGCATTGTACCTAGATTTTACCAAAGCATTTGACAATGTTCCGCATGAGCGGCTGTTGCATAAAGTGAAGTCTTTGGGAATTGAGGGAAATGTACTCCAATGGATCAATGATTTTCTAGTAGGTAGACGACAACGTGTTAGTATTAACAGAACCGTGACACTGGGCATCAGTGCGCAGTGGCGTGCACAAGGAAGCGTTCTTGGGCCTATTTTGTTCGTCGCTTTTATAAACGATCTGCCAGAAGCAGTGTCCAACGTGTGCTCCATGTATGCCGACGACACAAAAGTTTATAATTCAGTGAAGGATGCGTCAAATAAATATTACAGTATGAGAAGACATGGTTGCAACGAGAGAGTAATGATTGAAAAGTCTAGTGTGGAAAAAGATCTCGGAGTTTATGTCGACAAGGAGCTGAAATTTTCTAAGCATGTTGAAACGCAAGCTAACACATCCAACAAACTTCTTGGACTAATCAGACGCTCCTACGAGTACCTAGATATAGAAATGATGAAGCTGTTGTTCACCTCTGTCGTGCGCCCGAACTTAGAGTTTGGAAACGTTGTGTGGTCACCGAGACTTGAAAAGGACAAAAATTTAGTTGAGAGTGTTCAAAGACGTGCAACAAGGATAATCCCAGGATTAAAGGGCAAGTCTTATGAAGAAAGATTGAAGATTATGAAGCTTCCCAGTCTCCGTTATCGTCGCCTGCGCGGGGACCTCATTGAAGTATACCAGTATACTCATGGGTTGTACAAGGTCCCAGAAGGATTACTAGAATTTGAAACAAGAACCAACACCAGGGGCCACAGCTATAAACTAAAAGAAGTGCGGTGCAACTTATCCACGCGACAACATTTCTTCTCGCTTCGAGTCACTGACATGTGGAACAGCCTTCCTGAAGATATTGTTGACGCTCCGAGTATGAACGCGTTCAAGAACAGACTAGACAAGGCCATGCATGAGCATATGTTTAGTCTTAAAATGCCTCGTACCCTACGGAACAACTGATATCTAGAAGCGATTTTTAATCTACCGTCCGTTGAAAAGATCCGATCAAAAGGACAGTCTAGTCAAGAAAATTACAAGAATCGGCGACAGGCCTATCCAGGCCTATTCTTTAATGCCGAAGATACTATACTACTATTATACTAGAGTTAGGGTTAGATGTGTATAAAACCCTTTTTTACATTGCTTGACACCTTTCTACTAAGGTTAGGTCCAGCCAGGTTGGGTTCTATTTACTTTTTTTCACAATTTAAGTTAGGTCATTGGGTCTAAAATAATCATAGTATTAATATATATATATATATATATTTTAGAAGTTAGTATCAGAAGGCAGAATAAGCTTGTTTCAACACGGGTGGTCAATGGCCAGAGAATTCGTCAATTTAAATTTTCAGGGTCGAACAATATTCTTCAGATGACATTAGTTGATGAAAATGCAGGTTCAAGGGAGTAATATCACTTTATTAACGACGTTTCGAATGTAACTGACGTTGTTGTCAAGGTTGTCATGGAGCCAGTTGAGTTGATTGCGGATCTCGAGAAGTTGCTCAATTGTAATTCTCTGAGACCTGGTCTGATTGCGAGCTTGTCTCAGGTGGCAGGATAAACGGCCGCTCAATGTCGTAGTTGTTACTCCAATTACTCCGATGCAGTCAAAATAATGAAGAAGTCTACAACCTTCTTTGAAGCAAAATTTATTGATTACACCAGATTCTTGAAGAACTCCCGCTCGTTTGAAGTGACCATTGCTGCGTATAGTTCGGGTTTTGACGTTGTTGTCATGGTTGTCACGGAGCCAGTTTAATTTATTGCGGATCGTGAGATGAAGTTGTTCGATTGTAATACTTAGAGACCTGGTTTGATTGCGAGCTTGTCTCAGGTCCTGCCACCTGAGAATATATATATATCAGAATATATATATCAGAAAATAGATAGCTGGAGTCCAATCTGTAGAGATGAGAGGTTCAGCTATCGCCGGTCGGTTGTTGTCGGGCCACTGCTTGATCACGATGCTGGCGAGTACGTTCAGCACAATGCCAGTGACGGTCCGGTCGTAAGCTTGTCTCGAGTGGTTCACCTGCCCTCCAGTTTGAAGGTAGCTAACGAGACAGCGGCTCGGTGTCTTGATTGTTAGTCCAATCTGTCCGATGTTGTCTAAAACATGAAGAAGTCTACAACCTTCTTTGAAGCAAAATTTATAGACTATACCGGCCTCTCGGATAACTCCCGCGTTTTTGCAGGGGCCTTTGTTGCGTTTAGCTTGGAATTTGACATTGATGTCAAGAGTGTCACAAAGCCTGTTGAATTCATCGACGATTTTGAGATGAACTTGCTTGTTAATAATGTTTTGAGACCTGGTATGGTAGTGAGCTTGTCTCTGGTAGGTATTTTCTGACTGCCGAATTTGTCTGAACTCTGAAAGAATTATCCGAGTAATTTTTGGTCCAAAATTTTACTGTTGTATCCTATTTCCTTATATTATGTACTTATTTCCACCAAAATTTCAATGTTTAATGCTTCTTCTAACTTGATAATGAGTGTTTGTTGCATTCGAAACGTCGTTAATAAAGAAAAACTACTTTCTGAAACTTGCCTTTTTATCTACCGTCATCTGAAGAAAAGTTCCACTCCCTGATAATATAAACCAACGAATTCTCTGGTCATCAATCGCACGTGTGTAAACAAGTAAATCCTGCCATCTAATAATAATTTCTGCACCCAAGACCCGGCAGCAAGAGATAACATAATAACTGTGAGACGCAGAACTGAACTAATTTCGATAAACATCAAGAGTGAAGTCATAAATATGAAATCGGAAGACTCCGAAAAGTATCTGAACCGACCTCAAAATATTCCAATAGAGCAGCTTCATCTCAAGAACATCGATGAATTGAACTGGCTCCATGACACCCGTGACTACAACGTCAAACCCCGGAATATAGAGAGCAATGGCCATTGCAAAGAAGTGGGAGTTCTGCGAGAGACTGGTGTAAACTGTAAATTTTGCCCAAAAGAAGGTTGTAGACTTCTTCATTATTTGGATTGCATTCGGGAGATTGCAGTAACAACTACGACATTGGACAACCGTTTCTCCTACCACCAGAGACAAGCTCAAAACCAGACAAGGTCTCAAAGTATTACAATCGAGCAGCATCATCTCAATTTTAAGATCGTCGATGAATTCGACTGGCTCCGTGACACCCTTGGCAAGAAAGTCCAACCCCGGACTATACCGAACAACGGCTCCTGCAAAAAAGCGAGAGTTCTCCAAGAGGCCGGTGTATTCTATAAATTTTACTTCAAAGAAGGTTGTAGACTTCTTCACGTTATGGATTACATTGGAGTTATTGGAGTGACAACTGCGACATTGAACTGCCGTTTCTCTTCTCGTGCGCAGTGATTGGGATATGCACAACACCCAACCACGCGCGCACTTGCCAGCAGACAGCAAGTAAGCGCTCGCACTCCCTCAAGCCAAGAGAGAGCGGAGCACAAACTCCTGTGCTTGCGCGCCAGACGAGATAAAGCAGACACTCGCAGGCGCACAATATTTCTGATACCTCTTGACTTTGCAGCGAGGTGTATGGGATATGCACAACACCCACACACGCGCGCCCTTGCCAGCAGACAGCAAGTAAGCGCTCGGACTCTCTCAAGCCAAGAGAGAGCCGAGCACAAACTTCTATCCGCGTGCACCAGACGAGATACACCCAACACTCGCCGGCGCTCACAATTTTTGATACCTCTTGATCTTGCAGCGAGGTGAATGGGATATGCACAAGACCCAAACACACGCGCCCTTGCCAGCAGACAGCAAGTAAGCGCTCGGACTCTCTCAAGCCAAGAGAGAGCCGAGCGCAAACTTGCATCCGCGGCAAAACCCCGGACGACTTGCGTCATCCTCAAACGGTTTGTGCATGGGGCAAAAGCTTTAGAGGATCGCAAAGACAATTGCTCTGCCTCGTACGGCTCCCCAGCACAGGGAAAGTCGTATGCATTCTGTTTGATTGCAGTCCACACACAAAAGGCTTGGTAATAGATTCCATCAGGCCGAGGAGAGCAAGGGCTGTCTCTTATACACATCTAGATGTGTATAAGAGACAGGTATTAGGGCTAGAACCCCTAGTCTCTGCGGTTCATTGTCGGCATCTCGGTGCGGTTAGTTCCCGTACCATTTGCTGTACGTTTTTGAGATTAGGCAGTGTATTAGGGCTAGAACTCCTAGTCTCTGCGGTTCGTCGTCGGCATCTCGGTGCGGTTAGTTCCCGTACCGTTTGCTATCCGTTGTGATTTCGCGGTGTATTAGGGCTAGAACCCCTAGTCTCCGCGGCTGGTCGTGGCATCTCGGTGCGGTTAGTTCCCGTGCCATTTGCTATTCATTTTGTTATTCGCAGCTGTGTATTAGGGCTCATACTGTGTGGTTTTTCGGCTGTTTGTACCCCTGAAATGTCAAACCTTTTTCCGCGAACTTTTGGATTAAGAAGAATAACAAATTGTGCGCCTTGTGTGAATAAACTTGTATTTGCCTGAAGATTACCAGTATACTACGAAAACTTTATCGTGTTCATTACTCCTTTCTCCAACGCAAGGGAATTTAGAGCCGGACCAAAGAGCGACTCTTTAGCCCTTGTGTTTAGGATCAGAACGAAAGTCTATACCAAGTCGGCACGCTACCCGTAAATATTTCAACTTCGCGGCGGTGTTTCCGGTTACACATGGATAGGGTCAGACACCACTGGGAGGCTTGAAAAAGTCAGCATAAACGCAAAATTGTTCACACTTTATCGTTAACTCTATTTACTCATCACCCATATAGTTATTTTTACGGTACAATATTTTAATTTTGGCCGTATCGCACATTTTAACATGTCTTCCAAACCCTTTATAAAATATTTTTATTGAGACGTTTGTACGATTCGTTTTGTTATATGTCATAAATATACTTATGGTTATGGCGTTAGCGCGTCCGGTTTTCTATTGAACTCACTTGCCGGAAATGCTATCAGTGAAAGAATTTAGTACTCTTACTATTTGATAATTGCCTTTATTAAATTTGATAGTTATGGAAATAACTTTTCTGGGTCACTTTAAGTGTCTCAAAATATATCGGCAAAAGCTGCATTTCTTCTTCTGCCTCAGTTCAAAATGTTTGAACAGGTTCAAAGGTTTGTTGCAAAAAACTTTTACGACTAATTTTGCCGCTGCAACTTTTATAATTATAAGCTATTACTGTAAACCTTTCATTTTGCTGCAAATAAATACAGTGTGCGCGGATCTCTTCACTTTGAATTCCCCGAGAAACATGATTGATAAGCTAATATTTACTGCCGCATTTCCTGTGAAAAAGTTAATGAAATTTCTGAACAAAACTCAGGATGAATGCCCTAAGTCACCTCGACCGGAAAACTGATAGGAAATTTATTGCATATCGAGATAAGGTTTGCACATTCATACGTATATTTGGTGCTCATGGCAATTAAACCTGAAATTTAAACCCGGTCGAAAAATTACATCGCATCAGGAAAATATTAACGTTTGTCTTGCATAAAAAAGATTTAGTTAATCGGGAAAGAATCAAAACCTAGAGAATATTCTGATTCATTGTACTTTACATAGTATAAGGAATTCTATTCTTGTTACAAAATTACACCATGAACATCGTAGGAATACCCAAAAGCCTTTATACAACACGCTGTATAGTTTATGATTTTATTGTTTTATGCGCCTAGCTAGTAGGTGTTAGAAGCCCCCTGTCTCTGATACAGAACGATTGTTTTAATAAAGAACGGTAAAGCCACACCGAGTTCAGTGAGGCAGAAGACATCGGTTTGATCAGAGTCGCACTACCTTCATCGTCTCCCAGTTCAGCTCATTCTTGTCTTGTAAGTTTTTAGACTCAGTATAATATAACTGTTTCAATACAAACCTTATAATGGTAACATTCTGTTCAAAGAGAAAGCTATGTTTAATTGCTACAAACCTCAGTGCATTGAAAACTGCTCGTGACACATGCTGTAATCTAAATTAAATCGAGCCGTACGAATATAAATAAATTAGAGTTTTATCCTCGGATATATTATTATAATTAAATTATGGTTTTATCAGGATTTAGGCTTATTGATGTCGGTGGGAGACAACTCTTCCCAGTTGGGGAAGCAGAAATGGTGGGAAAAACTTCCCTTCACCGTCACCAAGAAGCGGGCCATCATCGCTGGTGTTGTGCTGGCCGCTGCTATCGCTCTGGCGGTTGGGTTGGGGGTTGGATTATCGGTGAGCTTGTTGAACTGGCTTCAACCGCTTCAACACTTACCTTGAAATGCAGATATATTTATTCAAATACATTGTTTTTGTTTGTCTGCTGAAGTGTGTGTTTGAAACGAGTCCTAATGAGTTGCATGTCTGATTTTTTACGCGAGGGTTGAACACTACTCATAAATTACGAATACCGCGGATATTGAAAAGACTCTAAGTTAATCACACGTACTCGTACAGAAAAAGTTGCTATTTACTACAGCCAATAGTAAATTTTTAGAATATTGGAAAATCAATCGTAAAATCTTGTGGATATCCCCTATTTTTTTGTAAATTGAAGAAGTATTATGTGTATATTATCATCATCAGGTGTGCAGCTTTGCATCGTTTGTAACGTTTTCACTAATAAAAATAAATTCTCACAACTCACATACAGTGAAAATATAATTCTCACGTCGCAGGTGAAGCTTTTCGATTTTTTTTTCGATTAATGAAAACTTTTCGTCTTTTCCTTGCTTTAGAATAAATCAAAATCAGACTCAACCGCCACCACGACTGCTGCACCCACTACGGAGCCACAACCCAACCCCCTTCCCACAATCAGACTCCCCACATCGCTGGTGCCCGAACATTATGATATCACCCTTCAGCCCTACCTCAACGGCAGCTTCACCTTCGATGGTCAAGTGGCCATTCAAATTCGTGTCAAGGAACCGACATCGGAAATAGTAATGCATATGTCATCAGACATTAGCTTGGATAACAGCACCATGAAGGTAAATTCATTTCAAGTGATCTAACGAAATCAACATCGAACAATGACTACAGCCGGAAAGATTTAGTGTTAAAATATAACACTGTAAATAGCGCGTAGGTCTAACGCTGTTCAGTGATTTGGTATCAACACTTATTATTTTTATAATATTTTCAGTTAACCAGGGTATCCAGTTCAACCAAAACGACGGACGTTACTTTAACTGACTACAGTTACAACCCGGAATTTCAGTTCTTAATCGTTTTAATCTAAGTCGTCTTAAAAGCACGTCCTCTCTATTAGTATGCAATTGCACCAGGTCTCGAAAGAACTTTGAGATTCAATTCCTTTAATTAACCTATCTAAGAATGGAATTATTTGGTTGCGGATGCAAGAGCGTTTTTCTCTCGAATTTAGGTAACAGAGAACACGCTAGATGGGGCTGTGATCGCACACACTGTCTACGAGTACCACAAGGACTTCGAGTATTTTATCCTTCATCTGGAGCGTCGTTTGGAACCCGGGCGTACGGTGGTGCTCTCCATGCAGTATACGGGGCTCCTGAATGATCAGCTCCGAGGCTTCTATCGCTCAGAGTACAAAGACGAAGAAGGCAATAATGTGTAAGGAATGTGTAATGATCAAGATCATGAATTCAATGATGTGTAACACTATATATTAAGATAAGTTTCATATAGACATCAATGATGTATAATACTATATAGTAAGAAATAGATTATAGGAGGAATAAGGAGGTAGAGAGATAATGTAAATGGGTCCAAGACATCAACAGCGAGCCAAATTTTAAATGCTTGTCGATAGTAGTTAAAAATTTCATTAAAGAAATAAAGAACTGGATTATTAAGATGATAGTACCTATTTATTCAGTCAATATTATTTATACATTATAGGTACATTGCAACGACTCAGTTCCAGCCGACCGACGCCCGAAGAGCTTTCCCATGCTTCGACGAGCCTGCTTTGAAGGCTAACTTCTCTATTTCCATTATTCATGAAAACAAGACTGTCATCTCCAACATGCCACTAAGTTCAACGACTCCTGTGTGAGTCCATTATATTTTCAAATATCAAATTTAACCATAATTATAAAACACTCCAACTAATGTAAAGTACTACACTTAATTCTGTTACTCTACATAATTTAATTATAAATTACTGCTAATAACCGAGTTCATGTCGTCCGCAGAGATGACCAACCAGGGTGGGTGTTGGCTAAGTTTGAAGAAAGTGTGCCGATGTCCACCTACCTTGTGGCCTTCGTAGTGTCTGATTTTGAATATCTGAACAGCACTACAAGCACTGGAGTCGAATTCAGAGGTGAGAATACAAATCGCGTTTTCAGGGTCCTTTCTGATTGAACGCTGACCATCATTCAGTTGATTTTAATTTTTAAAATTCACCCTAACGAAACCTTGTTTACACAATAGAAACGAATGGCTTAAAAGGTCGTGTAAACTCGATGGTGATATCAGTTCATAGTTATTATGAATTTTACTAGGCAGGGTGGCCTAGTGGTTTAAGTTCAGAGTACCAAGATTGGAGCAGAGAGGTGCGGGTTCGATCCCGCTCAGTGCGCCAGTTTCTGGTCAGAATCGGCAAGGAAGCCGGGCGGTTAAGCATAAGCGAAATTGTATCAGTGAGTTGCGAGTTCGAGACCGCAAAATGCTGGGAATGTTCTGCGATGTTAAGAATCGGCGACAGGCCTACGGCCTAATAAACGCTGAAACCGCTTTTATTATTATTATTATAATTATTATGTTATTATTTGAGTATTGGTTGAAATAGAGTACAATAAGACTAATTTCTAACACAAATTTGAAGTTGTGGTGAACCGGGATATGTTTCAATTTTTTCATAATTTTATTTAAATAATAGGGTTTGGAGTTGATTTGAAAAATCGGCCTATTCTAGTACATGTAAGTAAAATAAATATAGGCCTTCATATTTTAGACTGTTCTTTTACAAGAATGAAGTGCGTCGTATTATTATGAAGAACCAGCAATGATCTATTATTAGACGAAAAAAATTCTTCCGAAAATTTAAAAACAAAAAAAATAAATAAATAAATAAGCAAATAAATTCACAATACTCATCACAACGATTCGAAGACCAGCTCCATCATCAGCCCAAAAGTTTATAAAATACAATTATAAGGAAAAGAGCAATACCAAATTTGGCTTTTAAGAAAAAAAGAGAAAAAAAACTGAGAAGCCAAAATTTTATTTACTGTGAATTTTCTATTTTCTTCTTGCTTCTTTGGCGCTTCAATCAAACTAACGATATTAATTGTTCTCCTGTGAAGTGTACGCGAGAAGTGAAGGAGTAAAACAGGCACAGTTTGCACTAGACACTGGAGTGACCGTCTTGGAATTCTTCGAAAAACATTTCGACATTCCCTACCCGCTGCCCAAGCAAGACATGATCGCCATACCAGACTTCGCTGCCGGCGCCATGGAGAATTGGGGCCTTATTACCTACAGGTAGACTGTATAACCTACAGGTAGACTGTATAACCTTCAGGTAGACTGTATAACCTTCAGGTAGACTGTATAACCTACAGGTAGACTGTTTAGCTTACAGGTAGACTGTATAGTCTTCAGGTATTTGAAAATAATGGCAATATTCAGGTAGTAATATTAATATCGAACGACAAGTAATAAAATTTAAAAATGAATTTTGTTATAATGTAATAAAAAAGGCTCATTAAACAATATTCCCCATAACTTTAGTAATTTTTTGAATGTTTTTGCTTATTGTATGTCTTTCAATTACATTTAATTCACTGTAGATTTAGTTATTTTTTTAAGATTGTCAGCAATTTCATTAGTCAGTTGTGGAAAGATCGGGTTCCAAAGGCCGGATCCCTTGTGAATCAAGTCACGAAAAATTCAAGAATCGGCCACAGGCAATGGGCCTATTTTCTTCAATGCCGACACTTCTATTCTAGTTTAATCAACACTAAAATAAAACAGGGAGTCGCGGTTGCTGTACGACGTGCAAGTGTCCACAGCTTCCAACCTGCAGGACATCGGTGTGGTGGTAGCGCACGAGTTGGCTCATCAATGGTTTGGCAATTTGGTCACGCCTTCTTGGTGGACGGACTTGTGGCTGAACGAAGGCTTCGCTTCTTATATGGAATACATTGGCCTCGATCATGTGAGTAACCCGATTATATTTAATAAAAGGTGGGTTGGTAATTTGGTCACGCCTTGGTGGGCAGACTTGTGGCTGAACGAAGGGTTCGCTTCTTATATGGAGTACATTTGCCTCGATCACGTAAGTAACCCGATCATATCTAATAAAAGGTGGGTTGGTAATTTCGATGGTCATAAAGATTTCGATAAATTCAATATCAGAGAAATATACAGGGATTTTAGAATGATTTTGAGGTTGTAGGAGCTGTACAGCTAACAAAACTGACAAAAAGATAAAACTGAATACAGTGAAAATGAAAATATAACATCTATAATGTTCCTTAACCTCCAAGATGCAGTTGTAAGAAGAATTACCTTTTCTATTTGGTGTTAAAAAAAATAAAAATTAGGATGTGATAATGAGTTTTTTTACATATTTTAAACGAATGAATATTTCAAAACTCCACCAGGCGAAACCAGATTGGAAGATGCTGGATCAGTTCGTGACGATTGACGTTCATTATGTCATGGCTATAGACGCCTTGACTTCATCCCATCCTATCAGTATTCCTGTACAACATCCGGACGAAATTAATGAAATTTTCGATGCAATTTCATACAGCAAAGGTAACAAAAAATATATTTCTTTGATAATTTATTGTAATTTCTTACTTAAACACAAGTAAATGCCCTCACACTATTGACATATAACTGGGTTGCAAATGATTTCTTTTGATGACCTTAACAAACGCTATCTTCAGGGGCTTCGATAATTCGGATGATGAGCCATTTCCTGACGGAAGCAACTTTCAACAAAGGAATTACTAACTATCTCAAAGACCGGTAAGCTATAGCCTGCAGAAATTTTTTTCACAGTATTTGATGTGTGATGGTCCTTAGAATACTCTTAAAATTGTGTAACATTAGCTCGTTTCGAAAATTAATTTACGGTTCAAGCTCAGCTAAAGTGTGGTAATTCATATTAGTCTATACGTTCAAATTTTTATTAAGTATTTTCGATTAAAAGTTCAACGGGCATGCTTTAGAGCTACAATAGTAGAGTTTTTATTGATTAACGTTATCGCGCGAAATGAGGATCTGAGGGAAGGTTATAGTATTGGGGTCGTTATTGAGTTAGCTGGCGATTTAATAGTTTGAATGATGCTTCCCTAGATGCTCGTAGGATGATAGAAGTATGCAGGTCCGAGGTTTTGAGTGATTATTTGCTAATGTACGGTAAATAATTATAAAATAAATTTATTATAAATAATAAATTTATAAAAATAATTATACATTTTATAATTAATTATAAAATAATGTACGGTAATAAGGCCTGCGAACAAGGTTGAGCATTAGTACATGGGTAAAAAATATTTCATTGACATCAGAATATCATCCGCAGAATTTACAATCGAGTTAAAATTCCTAATGATTTCCACCAACACATCTCTGGATTAAGTTAATTACACACAATTTAAATTCAAGACAAATTTATATATAATTCATATTTAGTCTGACCAACTCATCTTTCCATTTTATCAAAACAGTAATTTAGGAGATTAATCTTAAAATCCAACTTAGTCCTTTTGATCATTAACATTTCAATCAGTAAACCAAAATTCCATTCCATTCAACATTTCCTAAAGTTTCCCAAATAGGTTTATCTAATTGGATATTTCTCATTTGAACATCTAATGAATATTAAGGCTCTTAAATATTAATGACTCTAACTGAATCAAATCAATAACAAAATATTTATATAAATAAGCCACTAATAGTTGAATATCAATATAACTCGATAATCAATTAATCGATAATCCTCCATAATCAATCAATCATATCACATAATAAAATCGAAATAGATCAAAATTTCAATACACGATGAATCAAACCCAGATTAACTTAGTCTTCCAATTATGAATATGCCACCAATAGTATCCTGAATTAACATGAATGAATAATAATATACTAAGTACTCTCAACGGGAGCAATATTAATGAACATTAGTGAATCTTCAATATTGCTGAATCAAAAATGGATAAAAGTCAATAATCAAATCATTATTTCACTCAATAATTAATATCGAAATTATCTACCATTGTATAAGATATAAAGTATAATGAATTTCTACATGGATCGCCATACTCATGGGCATTATTTATGATAGGAGTAATTTCCACACATCGTTTCATAGACATTAAATTCAGGCCTGGGTAATTTTCCACTCATCATTAAACAATACTCACTCTAGCTACGGTATAATTACATAAGGAATTATTCGTCACAATATTTATCCCATTTGCTATCAACGCACTATTTGAATATGTGGTTACTAGAGCTACTCCTGCATTTGACTGGGGGCTAAGCAAGATCAGATCATTGGAGAGTTCAACTAGACTAGCTGATGATCTCAACTAGACTTTCCTAGTTAATTAACACTCGATTTAAAATGCAAAGACTAGAATAACTACACAGAACATATATCTACAACAAAGTTACATCATTAATCACTCACCCAGTGGTTAATTGAAATATATCCTAGAGTATCTTTTGAGTCACCCGAGCAGCAGCACGCTTCGTTTCTACATAAATAGAACCTTTAATGGTTCCAGAGCTCGACCGTAGATGTTGCCTGAGTCGCGTGAGGAAGGTTTTTAGCTTACTCTTATTATATGATTTATTGAAGAATATTATTTATTATTATTGGGTTTAAAACTATTGTAAAATCATCGGAACATTTTATAGGTATGGAATGGCCGTGATTTACTGGCTAACGATGACGATTATCTTATCTTAGTTTATTTGTGATAGCAATCGGCCAAGAAGGTTCACGAGTATCGCCATATTTACGGTATTAACTATGCAACAAAGTACAGCTTTACACCTAATAATCTCAAAGGAATTATACTATCTCTCAGCTTGGAGATTATACACTAGAATATTATATAGCCAATACTGATCTATGAATCAGTGGCTGCGTAGGTTTACAAATAAAAACACGTAAATAATAATACTGGATATTCATGAAAGGAATATGTCACTAAAATGACCTAAAACTCTCTTTTTGATGACCAAATTATTCATCTGCCTACATGATTACGATCTGTAGGAGATAATAAGAATAAGTAAACTAGTTTCTTTTAGCGTTATTTCCTTCAGCGCTCTTGATTGACAAATGTGTTGAAGTGATATCTTAATTTTCAAATGATTTCCAGATATTCAACCGATTACCTGTTATTCAACCGATTACCTGTTATTCAACCGATTTCCTCGTGTTCATCTGATTTCCTCATGTCCAACCAATTTTCTAATGTTCAACTGATATCCTACTGTTCATCTGATATCAAAATGCACATATTTCCTAAGGTTCAACCGATTTCATAATGATCGATAAATATGCTAATGTTCACATTGGCCAGGTCGTACGCGGCCGCTGAACAGGATCAACTGTGGGAGTTCCTGACGCAGCAGGCGCACAATGACTACACGTGGTGGGTGCCACTCACATACTTCGGACCGTCGGGCAGCAGCAGTGCAGGAGAAAAAGTACAATGGCTGTCAGAAGTTGAGATGGAAATTACGAACTTGCCCTCTGAAGCGTCATGGTTTATATTCAACACTGAACAAACCGGATACTATCGCGTGAATTACGACGACTCTAACTGGAATCTTATAACCAACCAACTGGGAGTCAACCACACCGTCATAAGCTCAACAAACAGAGCTCAACTTCTCGACGACTCGATGAACTTGGCCAGAGCAGGCATGTCTGGGATGGTTATACCGGAATGTACATTTTGCAAGATACTTTTACATTCTCCTTAATAAATGTATTTACATATTTAATATTTTTTTGTGCGCAGGCATGCTTTCTTATGACGTGGCTCTGAAGCTTCACTCTTACTTGACTAAAGAAGAAGACTACGTACCGTGGTCGTCAGCTATACGGAACCTGAAATACCTCGAGTCGATGTTCTCACAGCTTAATCACACCGAGATGAAGGTATCCTCTAAATATCCGCACATTGGCTTTCTTTTGGAAGTCAACCTCATTCTAATTAAGTATCATTTGCATGATAACAACTCTAAAAATAAAACTTCTATTTCTCTTCTAAGGAATACCTGAGTTCTCAAGTGAAGCCTGTGTACGAGTTTGTTGGGTTCGCTGATAACGCGACAGACGAGCACCTGACGAAGCTACTGAGGAGTTTGGTCGTCTCTTGGGCCTGTACGCTCGATATGCCCGATTGCTCGAACCAATCCAGAGCCCTCTTTTTGGGTTGGCTGGCTAACAATGGCTCTCAGACGTAAGAATGACCAATTATAATTGTAAAACGCTTTCCGTTTTGCTGAGTTTGGGTTGACGTAAGTCCGCGTTCAGGTTTTAGTGTAACCACAGTTTCGACAACATATTCCTTTTTATTGAATGAACAATTGTGTCTGTAAGAACAAACAAATATATTAACCCTATAAACTTCAATGTATGCTTATAATATTTAAATATAACAAATAATCATCAAAACTATAAACAAGTTTTAAGAAGGCACAAATCAACGCACCGAAATATTGTGGGCAGTTTTGACGCGGGATACGAACAACTGAGTTAGCATGAAACTATTTGATACGTGTTGACTTGCTTTTACACTCTAAAGGTCTGATGAACAAGTAAACCATAGGAGCCCATAAGAAATAGACAATTAAAAACTATACTTACAAAAGGTTTGCTAAAAATATTTACAATAATCCTTTGTGCGTAAAGAATTGAACTTTATGTTGAATTTAAAATGATTTAACGATTTTAACCTGTTACTGTCTTGCTAATTTGCAATTCAGAATTTAAATTAATTGTTATAAATAACCTGCTGTAATTTCTATGTCAAAACCCCCAGATCGCTAAAAAATTTATCATGCAATAGTGAAGTATTTTGCACAATAAAAATATTCCCATCTCGAATATCAGTCAAGATCTCTTGTTTTGTTTAACTGCATGAGTATAAGTAAGTCTTGCACGAACTATGACTTCTTTATGATTGTATATGCACATTGTTAAAGAATCTGTAAAATAAATGTATTACTAGCTTTTGAATCATGTTTTACCGAGACTAATTCCCAATTTCAGAGCCGTGTCACCAAACCTGAAGTCGACGGTGTACTGTTCGGGGATCGCTCAAGGAGACGACTCCGACTGGGACTTCGCATTGAACGTGATGAAGAATACTCCTTTGGCATCAGAACGCGACTTACTCCTTACGGCACTGGGATGTTCGAAAAATATCAGTACCCTCGAAGCGTACGTATCTAGAAATTTATTTTCTTGTTCAAGTACTCATGTAGCAAAATTCTAATGACGTCGTGATATGTCACTGTTAAATGCGTTACATCAAATTAATATATGATGCTTCGTCACAGTTACCTGGATATGGCCTTCACTGACGGCAGCCCGGTGAGGAAACAAGATTCAAAGCGTGTTTTCTCTGCCGTGGCTTCTAATGACTTGGGCCGCAACATTGCTTTTGATTATCTTGACAAAAATTTCGAACACGTAGCAGCCTAGTGAGTACAAGTTATAAATTCCCTCGTATAGAGCGAATGATTGAGTTTACTATCAAATAAATAGTGAGAATATGTATAGCTCTCAGTTTTTCTCACCTTCGAACAAGTATCGCTGTAAAAAGCAATGGTGAATAAAATTATGGCAACTTTGAATGCTTCAGAACAAAAAAGTTTACGAAATTTCTAACGTCCATCAGTTGTGTGTGATAATGTTTTTTTAAACCTTCGACAGCTTCAACTTACTCCTGAGTGCGAGTAGTTACGTCGAATCTGTAACCAGAGAGTTCAATACGCAAGCTGAGCTGGACAAGGTTAGTGATTCTCGGTCGTTTGAAATCACGAATTAGAGAAGCTTCGTAGTTCGTACCTAATATCAACATTAAAATAATGAATTCATTATTTTAAAATAACGTTATAGCTTTTATTTATCCACGTAGAGAAATTTAACTGCTCCAAAAGAATTATTTCGATCCGCAAACTCTGTGAGTCCACCCGTATTTTCTCACGCTTAATCAAACTCAGCCTTTTGCGGTTTTTGTATTCCAGTTGTCTACGGGATAGAGACTAAACATGAAAAACTTCAGTACAGCCACTAAATGCTAATAATAATTCAAACAGAATAAGATGTACAGAATTTTATCAAGATAGCTTTCCTTTGTCGGATTCCGAATCAATGTCCCATCACACTTCCCAGCTGACTGGTGTTCACGTTCATTTTTGTCTCTGTTGTGATCTTTTTCATAATTCACACCAGTTTGTTTCATACTCTTAAAAATAACAAGCATATTTTAGGATTCAGATTTTTGTCATGAGATTTTAGCTATGTAACGTAATCTTGTTCCGTGCAGCTGATTGCTTTCAAGGATAAGTACCAAACAAGCCTAGGGTCTGCCTCACGCGCTGTCGACCAAGCCATCGAGCGTGTTACAGCGAACGTCTTATGGATGACAAACTATCACGAGGAAATTCTGTCCATCGTGACCCAGTAAACCGTTATTGTGCAGGCATAATACAACCTACCACAATCCTTTGCATTTGCGTATCAAGAATTACGATCAATAATATATTTCATAATAAATAAGTTACATGGAATGAAATAAATTCACCCTGTCTTCACTTGAAATGTTTAACACTTTTCTTCTCTTAACCAGAGTCTTCCTTCTTCGCCAGCTAAAAATTTTTAGACTAAAAGGATAGTCGACTGACAACAGAAATTACTGAGTAGGTTTGGAATCCTGATTCTTTCAATATTTACTCTGTGAATTCATCTTGAGCTGTTCGGTTTGTATTGTAGGTCTTAGCAGCTGGCGATAGAACTGGAATTATGAACGTTTCAAATGAATGTTTATTTTCTCTGCTTACGAATCCTTATATCGAGAGTCTTCCACTAACGAGCTCAATTTTAATGTGATCGACGAGCGGTATGCCGCGTTCCGAATTGTTTTCTCATATCCGCAGCTTGAAAATTAATTTAGGTTTTTATGGCAATCATGATTGAAATTCATCGCTGAGCAAAAATAATTCTAGCTTAAATCAGTCATTTATATGATGGATTGTCTGGTAAAATGATTTTGCTCATTTGCACTCTTTCACGCGAGTAGTTAGTGATATACATTCTCAGAAGGAATCGAGTGCTAAATGTGATTTTTATTAATAACTTTAATATGCTCTCTAGATCTCTAGTAACTAGCTAATCCTTCAATTTTTTACAGGAAAACATGTGATAGTAATGGAAAATATCTCCCTATCATGCACGACCAAATGTAATTACTGTATTTTCAATTTTATTTTAACAAAACAAGTCCATTATTGCAGAAGAAATTTCGATACGAGTGACGCGCTTTAATTGTTAGCATAAATAAGCAAAAAATCCACAAAGCAACATTAAAATACAGTCAAATCTACGAAGACAATAAAATTGGTTATCAACAATAAAAGGTAGCCATTTCTGATTAATTAAGCGTTGCGGGACTTTATGCAAAATTGTTAAATTCAATTGAATTTATTTAATTACTTTTTATTGTAATTGGGTACTTAAATTTTCAAGATGAGTGTTTACAGATAATTATTGTGATCTTATAATAGATATGTGAAAGTATCTCCATTAAATGGAAATACTTGGCCCTGCTTACTTTGGTAACACTTGGCACCTTGTTCATACCTTGGCATAAGCTGTCAACTTATTTTCTGATTACAAAATGGTGTGCGCCTTAGAGTTCTAATTCTTGTAAAAACCAAAATCTGAACAATGATTATAACTCGAATTCTTTTCTCATCTATTTTACCTTCAATAAAGAAACCAAACAAAGTGTTCAAATTAGCTTTTATCTCCCTGTGAAGTCTTGTAGTCAGACGGGTACTCTACACGAGATCGGCTGAAAAAGAAAGTCATTAAATAAATAGCAGTGAATGCACATCTTAAAATGTACATTAACTTTGCACCTATCCTCAATATTAGGATATTGTGCACACGAGAACATTGTGTAATCAAGCTTCATCATAAATATATACTAGTGCAGAGCACCTATATTTCATATAAACTTATTGTTGCTTCGAGAAATTTTTGGGGGGTTTTGTACAAGATTTGAGAAAAATGGTTGCAGAAATAAGAAAAATCAATTATAACAGAACACAAACAATATAAAAAGAGGCTTTGTTAAATGAAGAAATGGACAATACTGAAATCTAATTAAGAAAGTGAACTTACTTTGGTACAGTAGGGACAGTCGCCACACATTAGCTGCATGCTATGCCGGCTGCTAGCGAGTCCCTTCAGCCACTGATTGAAAACAAATGTTATTAGTTCACCTCTAAATAGAAACATGGTGAAAAATCTGCACTAAGAAAATCGTGAACGCAATTCAGTCATGTTTCATATGTGCTAAGAAAATTCATGAATATAATTCAATCATAATATTTCAATATTTAATATGCACGCACGAAGAGCGGCGATAATGTGTATATTTAGGACGAACCATGTAGACGCAGGAGTGATGCATGGCCTGGAGGCAGTGATCACACACCAGGTCGGGCAGCTCGCCGGTGTCGGAGTGGAAGCTGTAGCACACCACGCACTCGACCGCGTCAGACACGGTCGAACTGCAACAATCCATTGAGAACTAATAAGATACGTTTTGATGTATTTCTAGCAGTTCCCTCAGATTACCATAGAATGTCAGATAATGTTGGCAAAAAAAATTATTTATGAATTATTGAGGCATGGTAACTTCACCAATTTCCATTCAAAAATGAAAAATAGTGCGTAAACCTTTTGTGAACCATTATTGATTACCAGTGTACCTATAACTGCTTAAACAACAGGTAAGCAACTGACTAAAATATTAATTAATTAAAGTTTGTGAGCTCAAATGTTATGCTTCAGTGATGGAAATATAAATTTTACCGAAAGGACAGTTTTAGTTATGTACAAGAAATGGCTGACATCAACTAATCCACAATAAAACTGAATAAAAGAGAGAATGTTTAAATTTTAATTTCATTCTAAGAAACAAATAAATTCAACCATCATGGAGAACATGATGATTAAAATTACAGACCTTAACTGAGGTGCGTTTAAAGTTTCAGAGCCACGTCGCCTGACGCGCTCCTCCAGCAGGAGCTCGATGTTCTCAAGCAAGTTTCTGGAGCTGTCCCATCCCTGCAAGATACCATTAGTACGCTACACAGTGACATAGTGTTGATTTTTGTCCACTGTTTAAGAGGACATTTATTTTTGTATTTGTAATAGTTGTGAGGCGTTAACGTAATCAATCAGACTACTTCACTTAGGTTTATGCTCTGATATTTTTGCAGTCATTACTTTTAATGCTATTCGTGATGAAAACTGCTGTTTTTTTTAATTCTTCTTTGTTTTCAAGTTAATCCGGATGATCAGAAAAAAATTGTGTGCAGGTGCACATGAAATTAGCTAAAAAGCTATAATGTAACTGAAAAAACATAACAAATAATCTCCTATTGCCAAATAAATTAATAAGTGATTAATTTATGGAAAACAGAAGAAGCAATTATTTCAGAATTCTAAAGGAAAGCAGAGAGAATTACGAGATTTGAGATAATCAGCATAAATAATGTTGCGAATGCAACATTTAAACGAACACAACAAGCAGCGATTACCGACTTGGTAGAGCTGGGATAGGCGTGATGACATAACAGCGCAAAGGTTGGAAGGTCCAATGAAGCGACAATGTGGAGGAGAGTGTGAAGATGTTGGTGATACTGTCACCTCCAAAAATACTTGGTTTTCTGAAAAGCAACAAGACATTTAAAAAATTGAGTATAAAATAATTTATTGACTGACCCTGAAATTGCTTAGCACATTTAGATGAATCATCAACAGAAATAAATTGGGAACTTTATGAATTCTTACTTTATGTGATGTTTAAGGTACCTAGTACAACTTGAGCTTTCTGCTGCTTAGTGGAAAAAAACTGAATTAGTTCAAACGGACTGCAGGTCGGTGGCATATGAAGTTTATTATGAAATCACTGTTCATTATATAATTTCAGCCAATTGCATACACTGAGCTCTTTAGTATTTCAGTACTAACCAAGAAGAAGACGGCGGTGAATATGTTGGGGCTGAGGTGTCTGAGGATCAAGAATCAATGCAGTGTTGTCTAACTCCTGCATATAGCAGAAGAAGGGCCGCAGCTGCTCTAACTGCACATCCCATGCTTCAACACACTCCTTTAATTTCTTTGCCTGTGCATAAAGGAAGATAATGACGCAAGCCTTGCCATGATATAATGTGAGAAAACAAAGTCAAGAAATAAATAGTAAAAGAAATTCTTTAGTTATTATTTTTGTTTATAAACTAGGCACTAGCAAATCTAAAAAAAACAATAATTTCCACTTTTTAGCTGCTTGGAGAAATGAAGAACAAAAATTTTGTAAGACATTTTACAAAATCAAAGAAAATACATAGTAGGTATTGATGATGGATGGGTAAGTAATAAATGTCAAATGACACTTACCAATTTAGTAAAAGGAATTGGAAGATATGTTTCAATTCGCACTGGAGCTTCAGGATATGCACTAGGAATAATGCCTTGCATAATATGCTGGCCACATGTTGAATGAATTGTAAGGTAGCTTAAGTCTGCTGATAATTCTTCAATTCGATCCCAGCCAATTTCCTGAAGCTCTTCAAACAAAAATGCCCAGTTTTCAGCCAGTATATCTGAATTCCAATTGCATTTCTGAAATATAAACTCAAATTATAATATTATCTAGGTGTATACATATATCACATGTGTGAAAACTAAGTGGAGTGGGTCTAATTAAATTAAAATTATTTGAATATGGAAGTACCGGTATACATCAATATTCAAAGATATATAAAGCAAAATAACAAGGCTGTCAAAAACTTACAAGCAATGGCTCCAATGACTGCAGAGATATTGAATTGTTTGATTGTAATTTCTGCAAAAAAAAAAAAAAAAGTTTTAAATAAATATTATTCAAATCCTTAAGCAAAAATCAATTAAAAAGTCCAATCTATGTTTTCTGTAATTTTTCCAAAGGAAATTAACATTGATTATCTATGATAATTATCAAAAGCATGACTTGAAAGTATGTTTAACTAATGCATTGTGTGACAGGGATTAATAATGTAGCATATATTGATATATTTTATGATTAATTTTGTTAGTGGTTACATCTTTCAAAACTTCCAGAATAGCTTCATATCATTTCAAATAACTGTTAAAAAAATTGGTTGCTATCAAGGACTGAGCTGAACTAAACAAGTCACCAATTTCAACACATGATTTCATTGTTTGCAGTACAACTCCTCAGAATGTAGAAGACTAGAAAGCAAGAAGGCAAAATTATCCAAAAATATGACATAAGATTTCCCAAAAAATATTTGAAAGATTGCAAACATGTTAATATAGATTATTTTGTATAAATGAACTTTAAAAACAGTATCAGAAGAAAAATATTTGAATGCTTATTTTTAATTATCAATCAGGGAGTCAGTGACTGACTATGATTGTCTATGAACAGACTTGATTGTGAAGTTCAGCTGAAAGTACAGATGAGGACATTGAGAGATGGCCCTGTGCTGGTGAGTGTGTTGAACTTGAAGTTGAAGGTGCTTGTTTGAAAACAAATTCTTCTGGTATTCCCTGAAATAAGTGAAATTGAAGGTGAAAAATATAATAAAAATCTCAGTTAACTAACTGAAAACAATTTTATATAAAATATTTATAATTCTGATATTAATACAACATAATTTGGAAAATCAGGCAAAATTTCCCAAAAACAGTAGGTAAAAACTAAAAAATAAAAATGATCATTTAAAAAAAGAAGAAACAAAGGAAAAAGCCAAAAATGTGTGATAACTCTTCAAGTCTTTTTTACAGAAGACGTTAGGCAAGGGCAATATAAACAAGCAAAATTGTCCAAAATTTTTGGCATTTTTATATCATATACAGGCTCAAGCAGTTTCTGCTCACACATCTAGTTTGGACTTTGGTTCCTGCTCGTTGCGTTTCCTGGTTCCATAATTTCTATTGAAAAGTTATAGTAAAACGGTACAACTACAATTTCACCCACAGTTGCTACAATAAAAAAATTTTCCCTCGCCATGCTTCAAAAAATTGCGCAGTGAAATTGGGCCTATAGAAGATTATTTTGATTATTTTTGGCCCGTTAATTGGACTCCCGACTCCGCACTCCGACTCCGGGAGTCACGCTAAGACGTATGCTAGTGGCAAGTTTGCACTTTGTTCAGGAAAGGAACAACTTATTTTGCGATCATCTGGCATAAGTATAAATCAACATCCTTTAATTAAACCTGTTTATTTATCAAGGAAAACTTCAACTTACTTTGACCGACACAAATCCATTCAAAGATGATTGCATCACGACTTCACTCATTTCGAACAGGATTCTTTCTTTCTAATTTATTCTTATAGGAGCACTGGAAGCTAGTCCATAAAGCCCCTTGCCTAAACTGGGTTTAATTGGTACCTAACACTCTAACAGCTCTGAAAGTTAAAATCTGAAACAAAGAGAGAACACACACACACGGAAAAAGAAAAAAAAAACAAGAAAAAAAAAACTAAAAATAACAGAAAAATAAATAAAATAACAAATANTGCAACGGGTAACATTTTCGTCTTCTTTACCCGTTGCAGTGCAACGGGTAAGTTTCATTCAAGATGTCGTGCGCTACGTGTGATCGGTATTATTGCAAAAAATCGGTTTTCCGATGCCGACCGCCAAAAATGGATTTCAGATTCGTAATCTACACCCCAAAAAACATATAATTAAAAAAAAAAAACACCCTTTTTTTTGGATGTAGTTAATCTGCAATAATACCGTTACCTACTTAGAAGAATTTAAACACAATACAGGTTCTCATGCCCAACGGCCGTCCTCGAGGTCGACCTGTGGCTTTAAGTCTACCCAGTGTAGACACCCCAAAAGGAAGAAAGAAGAAGTCTTTGCTTACGATGAATGTGTGAAGTGTAATCGACACGCACATATCACGAAGTTGTTTGACTATATTTGATGAGTTTTGCACTAAATTAATTGTTATATTGTTTCTTTGTAAGAATTTAGCTCAGATTTCAAGTTCCTTTCTTAGTTTCTACTGTTTCTGTTATTAGCTCTAAAAAATATTAGCTAAAGTGCTAAACGAATGATTGTTCATTGCTGGGTATACCAAGTTTTTTTTCAAATTTCTATGCCAAATTTATAACTATTAGCTATAGGTTTAGAACTCTATAGTTAGAACATGAGTACCTTACTGTAAGGCGTGTAAGCCGGGCTTACTAGGTATGAATTTTGTATTTAAACAAAACAAAACTTGTGCTTTACTTTAGTTGCTCACAGTATAACAGGTAAATCAGAAAATTTTTAAAATCAGTTCATTTTTAATTTCCTTTTTCATTCAAGATTTATCATTTAAACCAGTATCTTTTGTATGATATTGCTGGTATCCTTGATAGTAGTTGATACTTTACTGGTCTACTTGATAGGTACTTACCTATACTTATAGTTATAGGACTCAAAAATTGAACTTGGGGAAGAGTTTAATAAACTCTGCTTTGCCAGTTGACACTAATCATAGTCATACTATAGTATAGGTACTGCTGTACTGGGTGGCTGCTGAATCCAGTGCACACCATACTCAGCCTACTGGGCACTGAATTATTTGCTATACTCAAAGCCATGCAGCTTGCCAATAGTTGCCATCAGTATCACTGATGAATCTCTGAGACTCTGAAGGATGAACCAATTCTGATCCTGACTGACTCACGAGCAGCACTGCAAATTCTTTCTTCACTGTCAGTTTGCTCCTATTGCTCAATCATTGCTCAAATTCATAAACTGATGCAAATCAAGGGGCTTGATAGAGTGATGATGTGTTGGGTTCGTGGCCATAGCAAGTTAGCAACATAACATTCGTGGGAATGAAGTGGCTGATAGAATAGCAAACCTTGCACATGCAAATGATCGCCCTGCCAGATCCAGTTTGTGCTTTGAGGAGTGGCTCTTTCTGTTAAAGAACAAATTCTTGAAATATTGGTCACTCTGGTGGTCAGCATACTAACTGGTCAGAGCTCAGAGGAAGTGCAGTCTTCAGGGAAGGGAACCTTCAGACTGGGCTTGGGAGAGACAGTAAATTATGTGGACTATGGACCGCTACCTCGCTCAGTTGAATGTGCTGTGGCTTGTCTGTGGCTTGGTCATGCTGGTGTGAAAGCCCACTTGGCCCGCTTCAATTTGGCCAATTCCGGCATCTGCCCCACATGCAGCACAGAAGACACAATTGAGCATTTCATTTTGCACTGTTTGCTATACATCAATCAGAGGAGGGAGTTTTGCTCAAATCTGGAGAACCTTTCACTTCCTTGGAACCTCATCACAGCTCTGGGAGGGGGTGATATTCCCCAAAAAAGGAGAACTGCGGTCATTCATCGCCTGGGACAATACCTGCTAAAATGCAGCATGGTGAACACCCTATGAAAATTATCAGTGCCTAATTCCTTTGTTATTTTCTTCCACACAAAAACCTCTTTGTGAGAGCATGAAGAAAAATTCAAAGTGAAGTGAAGAGGCAGTTGAGTTGGAGTTTTCAAGAAAAATCAAGTTGTGCTCAGGCTGGGAGGTGTCACTATTTCACACCCGAAGTCTTAAAATCAAATTAAAAAAAAATATAGTATAGGTATTTTAGGTACTAGGTAGTCTCTGGTTCACACTTCAGAGGTACCAACTTCCAAGTTAGGTACCAACAACCAAGATTGGAGCAGTCAGCAGAGAGCCAGGAGCCTCAGTGAGAATAATGAGATTGCAAAGAGGTGTAAATTTGATCCTAATTCCCAGCTCTGTGCACCAATTTTTGGTCAGAATTGGCAAGGAGGCTGGAGCCTGGAAGCCTGGACATAGACAGTTAATCCTAATTGCCACAGGTTTTTGTGTCACGCTATAATCTTGGCTGCAAATGATTTCTGCTCTCATTTCTGTTAAGCATTTTTTACGTTCTTTCCATTTTAAATATGCTGCAATTATTTTACCAGGCATTAATATAGATTGTTCCCTAATTCCTATCAAATGCAGTCTTCAAACTCACAATTGTGAACTCAAATACATTTTAAAAAATTATGAGATTGAAATGACTGAATTTCAGGTTGACTGAGTTTCTAGCATTACTATGAAGATGCAAGTGCATCTTAATAGCAATAGTTTTTTTCATTTCATTGTCTGTGAGTTCATTGTCTGCTAATGCAAAAGCTACATGAAATGAGATGTATAGGCGCACCGGAAAGCTTGAGTACCTCCCACCTCTGTTGCTTGCTGAAAACTGATGTTGTGAGTTTGACAGGGGCATACCTCGCTGCCGACATGTGGAGCAGTTCAATCCATGGTTAAAGTTGATACATGGTTTGCTAAATGACCTACCTAATTATTATAGATCAAAAAAGCTGAAATATTATTGATCCAACACCAAGAATAGATCTCAGTTGAAGAGTATCTTGACAGACAAAGCTGTGAGATTTGTGGTTATTTTTTATGAAGGTTATTATAAAAGGGTGTTTTCCCATGAACCTGTGGCGATTAGGGTTAAGCAAAGTAAAATTGGAGCAGCGAGTTGCATGTTCGAGACCACAATGAGCTGTGGATATTCTACAATGTTAAGAATCGGCCACAGCCCTAGGACCTAATAAATGCTGGAACCACTACATTACAGTATTACTTATTATTATATTGAATCTGACTGAATTTAAGATGATTGAATAAAAAAATTAAAAGATTAATGAATTGATAAATCAAATTATCAAGACCACTTTGCAGATTATATTGCAATTAAACAATTTCTTCTCCAGGATGTTTACAGAGAGTGGTGTCTAAGGCCATTAGGCCATTAATGAGGAGTTTTCAGATGATCTATTAGTATTACAGCAATGCTTATTAGCATTTGGCTATTGCACAGCCTGATTTACTCCACAGATTCCCTTTACTCTATTAGATTGTAAATGCTCTAATTTCATAGAAACTTTCCCTCAAGAAATAAATGTATCAAAATGTTATTCTTTATTCCTCTTGCAATTGTGCTATTGTACTATGCACTGACCAGGTAAGACTATAATATAGGAAGAATTACTTCATATTGTTGGTTTACTGCTTCATATTTGTTGCCATTCTAATGGCCTTTGCTTAACTCATTCTGAAAAAATAGAAAAAAATTGTACATATTTGTTAATGATTTTTACAAGACATTTATGAAACTGCAATTGTTTTTAATTATACCCATTATTTTTTAAAAATTATGACTTATTTTCCAGATTGATTCATAGCATCACATTTTGAGTCACTTTGTAGTTGGTAATTTTGTATATTCGAGTTGACTTATTTTGTTCAAATCTGAAAGCTTGGAGGTCTTTATGCCCACCTCTGTAGTAAGGGAAAAAACGTTTTGTAGATCAACTGTCAAAAATAGATTCATAGATGGCAATTTGGTATGGATTGGAATTTCCCTACTTATTGCAAAAGTGAAAAAAATTTCAATCCATTTGAAATATATGGCAGTGCAATTGTGCTCTTATGTTAACAATATAATAAGAGTTAATTCATCTAACAAGAGTAAGGCAGCTCCAAAAATTTCAGAAAAGCTCTTAATTTTGCTCTATAGGTAGACATACTCCATCCCTGAATAAGGTTTGAACCCTACAGTTACACTCAAAAATAAGTTCTAAGCAGTTGCTCAGGATTGACTGAAAATTTATAGGGAAAAGGCATCATTATATTTTCTTGTTTAAATAAAAACTCTCAGAGTGATTTATGATTCGTATGGTATATGAATGGGCTGACAAATGGAACTACAGTGCTCAGCAATTAATGCAATGTATGGCTATAAAAATCAATGCACTGAATGTAAAAAGCGGTTAACACTATAAGTATAGTGTCTCTTGATTGTGATAAGTTCTGTATGTACAATTTGATAATTGATGAATTTCAAACATATGTACTCTGTTTTACCTGACAAACAAACTTATTTTCTTTATTGAATTATTTATGTATATATATTCTATACAGTAGTCATCACAATTTTGGTAACCATCTTGTGCAGACCAGCCTTGCTGCTCAGTTTACAAGTCAATAAGTTTATTATAACTAGCGACATTTTAGCTATTATTATTTAAAAAAGATTTCATTCAAAATAAATGATTTGCATGGTGATGAGAGTAGGGCTAATCCTTTGGCTGATGAGAGTTGGGGTAATCTGATAGGTTCTTCAACTTCAACATATTAACAGTTTTGATATTTTTAAATAAAAAATAAAGTTAGTCTCTCCATCCAATGATAGCCATCTTCTTTGTCCTATCTATTTATTTCTTGATGTATAGTTCTTGAACAGATTTTGTTCATGATCTGTAATATTTAGACATATTTTCATTCTATTCTCTATCAATAATACGAGTAAAAGTTGTTAATTTAATTTATATATATCCTGAATTTATAGTAGGTATATTTTTTCTAATAGGCTCATAGTATGGCTGGTGGCATACTTCATCATGAGGTGCTACAATATCAAGATACAAATTTGCAGCATCTCCCTGCTTCACTTCTGCTTCAAGGATCTGCTCATTGAAAAAGGACCCATAGCCATTGTAAGTGTAGGTAATATAGTTATATGTAGGTACTGTATATATACTTGGATTATTTCTCTCTGCTTTAATATGTAATTATATTGAAAATCAATATTTATTAGTCAGATTTCAATCTTGCCTCAGACTCTTTTGCAAGGGACTGAATTATTTGTTCAAAAATATAACTAATGGCTTTTGTTTGGCACTAGATCATAAATACAGTTCTTATTTCTGTATTTCAACTTAGAAAAATGTGTTTTATCAATTTCCTATTCATAGAATTTATTAAGAGTTATGTGTTTTTAAGTTATCATGTGATCTTTTGTAATCCTCTAGAAAATTGATCGAGTAGGAGCAGCTAGCAGCCTCTTCAATCAAGATGAACGGAAGATATTTGCACTGAAGCTTTATGATGTTCGCATTGAAAAAAGAGTAAGTAGTTGAGAAAGATTTTCATATGTTTTATTTGGTCTCAGTGAGACTTGTACATATATGACAATTTTGCATTTTTTTTTTGTGGTGGTATTAATATTCTTCTTGTCAAATAAAAAATACCTCCAATGAAAATGTTTTTTTCTGCAGTTGTCATTTTTGAGGCATTGGTTAATTGAATATTTTTTTTCTATCCATTCTTCTATTGATTGTGAATGCACCTTTTTGCAGGCTTGCAATGAAGAACATCAGAGTGATTCATCAAGCAAGAAAGACTTAAAAGAAAACTCATTGCCTGAAGAGCCAGTGCTTGGCTTGGTTGATGAAGACGAGTGGCACGAGGCATTCACTGAAGCGCTCGTGCCTGATCTGCCAGCTCCGCGTCTGTTTAAAATCTCAGCCTCTGTTGTTACTTTAGCTCAGGTTTGATTAATTCACTGAAACTGTTTAGATATATTTCTACATTAATATTCTTCATAGTAGGTACGGTACTTACTTAAATATATGTTATGTACTAATTATGTAAAGAACTCAATTCCGAAAATTTCACCCAGAAAAGAATGTAAACTTCATCCCATAAGTTAATTGTATTTTCAATCTTTTTTTTTTAATTTGTGTTATTTCTTACATCATAAGCCTTTTGAGTTTGTTATGAAAAATTAGTATGCCAAAAATGTATTCACTGATTTTTTTTAATATCATGTCCTAAAAAATTATATATACAAGTGTTCTTAGAATTGTTTAGTTTTAATTTTATATGATATTCAATGGAAAAATTTAGAATCAATACTTGGTTTCTTCAATAAAGCAACAAATGAAACTGTGCAGTTTTTTGGTGTGCGGCTGCTGAACGTGAGCTTGATGTTCCTGAGAGACACCTGGCCTGGCTGTCTGCTGCACGCCACGGCAGAGAGGCTGGAGATCGAGGCAGCAACTCTCAATCAAACAAATGTTGCTGTTAGTTTGTCAGATCGCAATTAAACGTTCAAATATGTCTAAAAATTGTTTAATTAGTTTAAATCTGGAGCTGCTTTTCATCTGTAGATGTTGAGACTAATGCATATAAGGTTACGTGTGATTCATTCATTATTCATTTACTGAAGCATCAATAAGTGAAAGATGTGCAGTATATTGATTTTTCAATGGCTGAGAAATTTTATCAAATCTTATTCATTTAGTAATCACAAAATCTTTTGAAATATTTTATTTTATTGAGAAATAATTCAGACTCTTGAATCTTCTTTACTCATTTTGTTTTTTTTTTTCGTTGAGCAGCTATCAGTGAGTGTTCATAATTGTCATGTCAAGATGCTTCAACCATCCGCTGAGAAACATGTGCAACAAAAACTCACAAATGACATTAGGAGTGAAGTTGTTCCTCCTGCTCGCCCTGATGACGACATCAAAGAACAGAGTGACAAGAGCCGAGTTTTTGCATCAGTTCTCGGGTCATTATATGGCGGTCGAAACAACAATGATTCTAGGACCCATGATCCTTCACTACTTGAGTGCTCCTTCTCGTCCAAGTTTTATGTTCAAGTTGATGCTGAGCACCATGCTTATATGGAGGTAAGATATGGCATTTTGAATTCATCTTTCTTGAAAATTTTCCTATTCAATCTATCTCTATAAAGTGCTATTTCATCTATCTTTGATTAGCATAACTATTCCAAAGTGCTTAATGTTGATTGAGACTTGAAAAAAAACAATAAATTTATAAAGTTGAAATAATAATGTTGTTCTGATGAGAATATGGTTCCTCACGATCTTATTGGATAGATTTGACATTTACACTAACTTTCACTTATATTTCTTCCCTCCAGACAGTGAGCCTGGAGCTGAAAACAGTAAAGTTGGACGTCAGAGATCGTCTATTTGTGTTCATGCAAGACCGCACGGCTGCCTACAGAAGTGCACGTGCTGCCACAAAGACGACTTCCTCTCCTCTCCAGCAAAATGGGGGAGATGCTGCTGGCTCTGTTTTCTTCAGTGTTTCTGACGATACAAATTATTCAGCAAGAGAACAATTGTTGGGGTTACAAGACCTCACTGAGACCCCCACCAGCATTGCAACAGCTGTTCCTGCTGTATCGCGCTTTCTCTCTATTTACTGGCATCTTGTACCTCAGGTGATTCAAATCTATTGTTTTTAATACGGTATCACAGAAATACTTCACATTTTTAACGCACTTTCTCATTTATAGAAAAAATGCGCCATTGTGCTCGTCATGTCCGTCCGTCTGTCTGTCCGTCTGTGACCACGTTTTCGTCGACGAGAAAATGCACTCTCTGTCACTCACTGCAGTGAATACTGAGTTATATTTTTTATATTTGTGTTTGATATTGATGTGTATAGAGCACAATGAGAAAGAGTGCTCTATGCAAATGAAAACGTGAAATTTTTTGTTGATCATGAAACACCAGATCAAAAAAAAAACATTCTCAACTAAATGCTATTAGAGTGAAACTTACTCTCTGTTGTTCTCTGTCTAGAACGTAAATTTGAGCCTTGAGGATGTGTCTATGAACGTCACCTCGCACCCCACACGCAGCAACGTCTTGGCTCAAATGTCCAGTCTACAGTTCACTCTTCGTATACCTCGCGCTCCACATACCTTGCGTGAGTTTCTGAAGCTTCACAGGAGTTTGAAACCATAATATAAGTTGACTGCAACAACTTATTGGTATATTGGTAACTAGACTGAGGTGTCACATAACTAACTCGTTCGTCGTTTTCATTCTGATACAAGTTTTCATTCTTTATCCATTAAACATAGTAGATATACAAGACGAGAGTTGAAAAATAAATCCATGCCGGTATGTGATTCACAGTTATAAAAGAGGGATAGTGTAATATTGCGTGCAGTTTAATTATAAAATAAGGTTCTTGTTGATAGTGTGGCATGAATGAGTAAATTTCAGAAAGCGTTTAGTGTGTTTGTGCAAGGTAATTGTATGAAGTTTCATTGTTACATTTATTTAATAATAAATTTTAGCCACGAATATAGGAAATATTATTACAATTATATTAGTTGGGTTCAAAAGAATTTGGTTTCAATGTTTAAATGACTGAGAATACAATTAAACGATAAGGCCACTAAAGTTTCAAGCCAAAATGGCAAGCCTGATGTTCGTTTCAAGCATACTAGTTTTTCAGACTAATCTTTACAATACAAACTGAGCTAATCTGAATGCTAGTGTTCAGTAGAAGCTTCACGCTACAAATGAGATAAGGATGCATTTTCCCTTGCGGTGTCACAGAAGCGACGCCTGCACTCTTGCCTGAGGTGTACAGCAGCTTCAGCATGGATGGAGTGCAGCTAAACTCCTCTCACCACTCCTTCCTGTCACTGCGCACTCTCAGATCCGATTCATCAGTGAGTGCTTTACATCATCACTTCAGCTCTACTCCTCTCACCGCTCATTCATGTTACTGTGCACTCTCATAAACTCATCAGTGAGTGCTTTACATCATCACTTCAGCTCTACTCCTCTCACCACTCATTCATGTCACTGTGCACTCTCATAAACTCATCAGTGAGTGCTTTATCTCATCACTTCAGCTCTACTCCTCTCACCACTCCTTCCTGTTACTATGCACTCTCTCATCCGACTCATCAGTGAGTGCTTTATCTCATCCCTTATGTCATTCGGAAATTCCAGGAATGTTTGGTCAGAAGACAGCAGCTTCAGTAGTTTCTTGATTTGTTAATTTAAAAATGAATTTGTCATATAAATACATTCAAGTTCTTGTATTCAAACTGAAAATTCGTTTATAATTCCAATTATATATAATAGTGAGCGTTGTACTTCATAATGTCTAAGATATTCTTGCAACGGACAGTTCAGGCAGTGGTGCCTTATTTTTGTTCCTTGTAGCACCTTGGCCGGCGTGCTGTGTGTGGTGCAGAGCTTCACTCCTTCTTGTATTGGTTTGACCACCGAGACCTCTCAGTGTTCCTGCCCTACCTCAGCTGCCTCCTAAACTCCGCGGCCCCTCCGAAGCCTGTCAGTCAAACAATACCGTATAACATAATAAAAATAGACTATATTTCTTATATGACTATATTATATAGTCTTGACTATTATATAGTCACGACCTCTGCTTAGATGCTGACCGCTAGTAAAGGTTTTGACTCTACACCGAATGCGGATAAAGTAAAAGGTTTTCTGTGCCATTCAAGTTTAAAATAAGACAAAAATTCGTATCATCAACAAGCGTCAATAATTCTGAAATTCGATGTACAAAAAAATTATGAACTCTTCGGCAGTGGCATCTCAGTTGTAAACATTTGGTTCTAGGATCTTGAGTTAGTTAGACTGACCGTTGAAAATAAAATATTTTTATAAATTAAGATTCTTTGTTACTGCTTAAAAATGAAAGTACTGCAGCTGTTATATAACAACTGCTTAACCCGTAGGTAACTCTTGCAAAGGTTTCGAATTCCAGTGGATGCAATGAGCACTTACATACCTAGTATTTTCTTCGGTTATTTGTTTTTAAATATGAATGTTTCATGTTCAGGCTCCTGAAAGAAAAGACCAGAAGAAACTAGTTCCCCTACTACGTGCCTGCTGCGACAGCGTGCACCTGGTAGTAGAACTCCGCGATATCGGAGTGGGTGTTAAACTTCCCTCTGGTCCTCCACTGCTGCTGTCGCTCCTACACGGTTCCTTGGACACCGGCACAGGGGACTTCGTGCTGGAAGCGTTCACATCGCAGCTGGGCCGCGAGTGCTGTTGCTTGAGGCCGCTGCGGCTGCTAGAATGTTATTGCGAAGCGGCCAACAATTGCACCACTGGCCGCTGCCCTCCTGCTAGACGCCACTCAGGCGGGGGGGAACTGAAACAATCACCGGATCCTGTTATAGAAACTCGGCACAGGCGCAGTGTTGGTCACGCTGGTCGTGAGAAGGTCACCTCATCGCTGCTAGGGCAGTATGGTACTCAGAACTACCTTCTAAGCCTGACGGATCTAATGGATTATACTAATGTAGGGAACCGAGCCCAGGCTCCATACGATGAACTGCAATTGTTAGCTCAACTCAGAGGCGGTGACCATCAAGAACGTCATATTTGGGGCAGTCCTGTGTCTCTTGGACTTTGCTGCGTCCACTTCAGTCCAGGCTCTGTTTTTCACGAAGCTCCTCATGCAGATATTATCGACATGTTTGAAGGGAATAAGAATTTTATGGATTCTAGTCGCTCGTCTGATGGATGTCGACAACGATATTTCTCCAGAGGAGAGTCAGGAGTTGGGAGCTTCAGCTCGAGTTTCCAAAGACACCGTTCAAGTCAGTCACTTATCAATGATCCTGCTGTCACGGAGCAACATACACACGATAACGTCACTAACGTTCATCTTGATCACCTACAGCTTGAGTGGAGCCCTTCGCTTGCCAACTTCATGTGCGCAGTTCTCAGGTGAGCTCGCACTTTAACGACATTCTGGCAGGTTAACGATAGGATTTTTTAATTAGTGTATGCTCTTTATTAATTATGTTATTAATTGTATATACCTAATCTAATTTACGAACTCTTTCTACAATATTTCCATTTGAGTTGTACAACGACTGCCTTTTTCCTTTTCTAAAAACACAATAGTTGCTCCGGGATCTTTTTCTTGTTCCTCCTTTACATTGATTTTAACTTTCTTTTTCTGCCCTTTTTATTTATGGAACTTTCTACTGCAGTTACGCCGTGGAGGTAAAGCAGTTCTTGGGGCTAAAGCCCTCGCCCCAGCCCTCGCACTCGTCACCTAAACCTGATTCTCCTGTGACGTCATCTCATATTGAGAGCCTGAAAAGCCTCACGCTCGACTGCTCCAGCATCAATATCTTCGCACACACCAAATACGACCGTATGTGTAGATTTGATGCTAGCCCAAGTCACTAATTGTGTCACAGAAAAACGACATGCGTAGTACACATTTTTTTTTTCACGGTGAACCGATTCATTTGTCATAAATTACTAAATAGTGAATATTATTTATTTTTGTTATATTATTATGAAAGCTGGAGAATTCATGAGGAAACTTCAGAAAACTTTCATTTTTTCTAGAATCCCTGATGCTGCGATGCGACAGTGTGCGCTCAGCTCGCCGCAGCACCGCGCTGTTCCACGGCCTGAAGCTCATACAGTTTGTGCCACAGAAAAAGCCTTTTCATTGTGAAGATGCCGCCAGCATTAAGGTCATTACTCGCTTTATGGTTTTCTGGACGCTATACCGTACTTAGTCAATAAACCTAATTGAATGTTTGGTTCTTAAGTTGGAAAACTTAATGTCCCACTTTTTTTGCTCCATTTATGAAATTTAGCTTAAAATCTCTAAACTGATAATTAAAATTTATTGACTGGCTCAATTTTTATCATGTTATTTTCGTTTTGTATGCGCTGTGATTTCGTGAGCAGTTTTTGTGTACTGTCTCTTTGTCAGTTTAATTAGGTTGTGTGTTGAAAATTTTCATATCCTTTCTATCGACTTCCATTAACCATACATTTTCCAGTCGCACTTATATTGGCATGGCTAATTTTTATATTTGTTTTTTATTTATATATTTTATATTATTTTTTTCTCAATTTATATTGGCAGGGCTAATTTTTATATAAAGTGGTTAAAAGTTACACAAATAGGGGTGTCGAAATAAGAATTTCTTTTGAAGATATACCTACGGTGTTTCCCATTGCTATTTTTCTCAGATCTTACCTAACTATGATGTGGGAAATTTCCCATTGCTAATTTTGTCAGCACCTTAGCTAACTATGATGTTTGTGCAGTGCGGGTTGGTGGTAGCAGACGTGGGCGTGCTGAGCGTCGTGCTGAGTGAGGGCGACACGCTGCTGGAGGTGAGGAACGAGTGCTCGCTGCACTGGTGGCCTGCTACACACCTCACGCTCTTTGCTGTCTTCATGGATCTCAAGGAGTTGAGTTCCAGTCTGCGCTCCAACCACACCTGGACAATTTCCCCAACATGTGAGTTGTAGAGGTCATCAAGAGTATTTTTAAATTATTAATGACTTGTTAAGTGGAGCAAACGTTCAACGGTGATTGTGAAAAATTCAGACAGTTTAAGAAATTTTGCATTTTTACAATGAAGAGGCTAGTTTTATAGTTTAAATATTTCTTAATTTGATTTTTCCAGCACAAGTTGAGTCTCCCACTAAGCCAAAAACAGAGCTGCGACTGCAGGTTCTTGCTAAGAGTCCAGTGAGTTTGCGGCTAACTCTATCAGAACGTCACGAGGCTCGCTTGAGTGTAGTTGGCTTCACGTTTCTCACCGCCAAAGGTCTTACTTGCATCCAAGCATCTCTTTTGGACCTTGATCTTGACCAGCACAAAATTATGAGCGTCACTGATGGCAAGCTCGTCTCTTCCTTCAAATCCTCTGAGCTGCGTAACGAGAGACAAGCTTTTCCTGAGCTGGAGCAGCCAATAAACAAGGCTTGGCGTCTCACCATCGCGATTTGGAAGGTCACATTTCCTTATGAGTTCGATTTTGCAGAGGCATTCCATGAAGACTTCTTGTGTCTAGTAAAGTGGCTTAAAACGGTCCACAAGAACACAAAAAAAGTCAGCAGTCCTGTTGAGGCGAGCTTCGTTAACTCGCCAACTATTGGTAAATCCACCACCTCAAACGAGAAGAAGTTACCTCCTGACATAATCGTGAAGGTGACGGAGTGGGTCGTGAGTGTCGAGGACGATCCTTTTGAAGTGAAGCTCCGTTATAATTACGAGCTAATGGAGGACGAATACCAGGAGAGTTGCAAGCGAAAGAAAGCTTTTAACGCTCGGATAAATGACTTGCAGCGCTCAGGGGCTTTTCTCACTTCCAACAAAATTGAAGAGCTTCACAAGAGCCTCAAAGAAAAGGACTCGGAGACATACATCAAACGGTCAAAGCAGATGTACGAGTCAACGCCCGTGCGCAGTCCACTCTTTACGTGGGTTGTGAAGGATCTTGTTGGTTTTGCTTTGGCAGATCCATCTTTCGATGGAAAGGAAAATATCCTTCGCAACATGGAGGAAATTGATTCGTGCCCGTAAGTTAATAGGTATATGTTTGATTTCCTGCAATTTAAAATTGTAGATTAATAAAATGCTGCTTTTACCTACCTATAGTTCAAGGATGCGCGTCATATTTTATCGCACTTGATGCTAGTGTAAATGTCTTTACGAAGATTTCGACTTTAATCCTCACTATTGATATAAAATCTTCATTTTATAGCGAGCTACGTTTTGCCGATCTTATTAGTGCATGTTTTTAAAATTTATTGTTTTCGTTGTAGCAAATTAATTTTGAGTTCTCATCATTATTAATTGATAACGATTAATTAATAATAATTGAGTAATTATTTAACAATTGATTGCAAATTTTACGGATATTTTTCGCGGTCTAATCCTTGTTTCCATGTTATTTGTTTCATTAACAATAATTAAAATTTAATATTACCAGGAACGGGGACGAGGAGTTCAGCACCCTGTGGTGCAGGATGCTGAGCGCCTCGGTGGGCCTGTGGCAGCTCAGACTGAGGGACTACCCGCAGCCTCTGCTCGACGTGTCTGCCCTCGAGATGTGGGGGCGCCTCGTGTGTGGCGAGCAGTGCGCTCCTCACAAGAGAGGTGCTTAATAACTGTTGATTGTGGTAACTGGTGGCTCAGTTCATGGCCAACTCCTTTAATAACTGGGGATTGTTGTTAAAGAAGCTTAGCTTCTGGCCAACTCAGTCATTCATCAAATTCTGTTTGATAAATGAGTACCTGACTTGCCTAGAGTGTCGTGTTGTGTAATGCAAACAAAATAGTTCTGGGGGGTCTTCAAGCCGGTGATGGTCGTAGAGTACCTGTAGCCTGAAAACTGACCCTACCAACCTTCCTCTCTAGTCGCCCACACTGGGATGGACAATTACAACAACAATTACAACAACAACGTGGCAGCTAGATTTGCAGTTGGTGTGGGTTTGGGCAAGTACTTAAGTTGGTTTGGTTTTTTCTTCTGAGACGATCAGTGTAGATCGTCCTAACGCACACCACAGTAATGTTTGTTCCCCCGAGAAGTTAGACAAATTTATGACGTGAAAATGACCATGTTAACAATGCGTACGACCAAAATTAGAACAGCAGTGGTTTGGATCCCATTCTCAAACATCTAACTGCCATAATAAGTTATGCTATTTGATTTTGTCACGTCACTTGGTGGCGCAACTATATTCGAACTGCCAAGCTGCACCCCGTCACCTCAATCTTGGATTACGTACTATAAGGTTAACACAATAAATTACGTGATGCTGATTCCATCGTATGTGTTAAAAATTTTTCATCCTAGAACTCCTGACGCCGCTGCAGATATAGAATAGGTGCGACACACATGATTGAATGTGCATTCAATTTCTTGGAGGAATCAGTCTTGTATAATGGACATAAGCCATTTTTCTTTGACTGATTTCTTTATGCGTTCACTTCAGTGAATTTATCAGCCCTTGAATTTTCCTTTTTAGGCAAAATTGTTTATTGCATTGCAGGTGAGCGAACTGTAGTGCTGCCGCTGCCTGCGCCGTGGCACGATGGCAAAGTCAAGCGATGCCTGGCACCTCGCAAATTCTATCACGACTTCACCTGGGAGGCTCGCACCTTCATCCTAGCCTACGGCCCTTGCTGGGAACCTGCTATGTCACAATTCAGTTTAGGTGAGCGGCGACTGGGTCGAAGAATCTTTTGGTATCACTTTATAAATAAATCTGGTTTCAATTCAAAGTTACGCCAAAATAAATTCCAGTATTGAATGCACGATTCGTTACATAAAGTATTTTTTCGTCTCCGGCAATTTTATAATGAATCGATAATCTTTCAAAGTGAATGCCTAACAAGAATTACATATATGGCGGTCATTTACTTCAGTTTGAAATTATTTTCGTTACCTACACAGCCATGTCGCTTGTGACGAGTCGCTCTGTGGACCCATCCCTGCCGCTGCCCTGGTGGGATAAGGTCCGTCTTCTCCTACACGGCCGTCTGCTCCTGCTCGCCCAGAACTTCACCCTGAAGCTGCACGCCTCGCTAGACCCGTACAACACAACTGAGGAGATGGAGCTCACCTGGACCGACCTTACCATGGACTGGGTTAATGCTAAGCTCGACTTCTCTGGTGACTTGAATGTGTTCGTGCGCACGGCTTCCAAGTACGACGATGCCAGACTGCTGCGCATGCCCAATCTCAGAGTGAGTGGCATGCAGTGTCGTCACTCTCTCCTAATAGATTTTACGTTTGTATTGACTTACGTAACACCAATTTAAGCTTTTTTACTTGGTGTAACGGCATTATTTATCTTTAGTTAAGGAAAACTCCTGATGAAATCATTACTTCCCCATTTGATGTGCCGCATTTATATGAAATTTATTCTGCTTATAATTTGTTTATACGGCCGCGTCCACCTGGTGATTTTTTTTTCTTTGCATGCATGGGTTTCCATGACATATATCTTAGCTCCTAAGAAGGTGTTAACAGTTATCTCAAGCTCAGTTATTTTTTTCAGCTGGAGCTGAAGTTGCGCTGGATTTGTTTGGGCGATCCTAACGACCACCATGCAGTGATTCTCTGTGCACCAGACAAGCTGCCTGAATACTCCAGTAACCAAGTAAGGCATTTCTCTTTACTCGCTCGCTGACGTCGTGATCTCAGGTTTAAATATTCCTAACCTGGCTGACATTAACTTTAATTTGTTTAAGGGTCAAATCACTGTGCTATTATTTGCTAAGGTAGACTGAGTTAACTTATCTTCAAACCCGCTTGCACAATTAAGTCTATCATATATAGGTCTAATGCAAATAAAAAAATTACCTTCTTCCGTTTCCTTGTGTGATTATCAATTGAAAGTGTTTTTTTCTAAATGTCCAGCATCATTCATTGTTGCTTGATGCTCGTTCACTAATAAATTCCTGTATTTTGTTCTGACTTGTGCAGGAGCATGACTCGTATCGCTCATTCCGCAGCCGTAACCTGGATATTAACATTAACTTGGAGACACGTCCGCTGGTGCGGGACAACGTGGTCGTTAACCCTGTCATCGAGATGCTCTTCTATGGCAGCACACTCAGGTTTGATGCTTGCAACCTGATGAGGTTTTAAAAAGAATCATCTTGACAAAGTTGAAGTGCAAGTACTCGAAATAGATTTAAATTCTTGTGAAGAGATAGAATATTTGGTAGACTAATCATAGCCTCGGAAATTGGTATTTTTTATGCCATTAATTTACGGGTAGCTGATGACCTCTTTATTTTACTGTACACGCAGGTGGTTTGAGAATCTAAAGTTCATTTTGAGCGGCGTAACACGACCAATAAGGAGGGGCAAAGTATTCAACAACACGGCTCCCCGCAAACCGCAGCTGTCGCGCCACTACCGCAACATTCACCTCGCCTTGGCCTTGCAGGTTTGATTTTTTTCTTGTATTATTCTTGTATTGTTTTTGGATTTTTGTTGCATTATTCATCGATTTCTAATGTATCAATATCGGTTGTAAATAATTTGTTCCTGATGAGCCATGCATATTTTCAACATTATTGCCTCAATACAATATCCTTGTTTATTGCAGACATGTTGAACGTTATACAGACATGTTGAATCGTGTACATGTTACAAGAGAATTATCTTCAATGATGATCACCCGTTGTTATGATGGATTTGTTATCATACGATCATGTTTATTTTTTTTAGAGGTTTGATGTGCGCTACTGGTTGTCGGTGGGCGTAAAGAAAGGCTTCCATCTGAGTGGCGAGCGTCTCTCTCTCAGCTCTGGTGAGTGCTGTTAAACCCGTATTATTATATTAACCCTCTACCGTCTAACATAAGTAACCAGAGCAATATTGACACAAGCCTACTTCCCAAGAAAGATACGTTGCTAGTGAGCGCAAAATGACTTGCATTGAAGGTTGCCGCCACGTACGACAACTTTAAAATATTCTCTGTTGCGTACAAACGTCCTCAGGTTGCTACACTCAATACTTTACTTATAATTTAAGTTGAAAGTTATGTTCCCGGAGAGTGACATACAGCGGTAGAGGGTTAAAAGTGTTAGATGCATGGCCAGCAATTAATTATGGAAATTATTGACATTCATTTGAGAGACCTGATGATAATAAACGAAATTTACATACTCGTATTTCAAGTACCTACCTAATTCATCAATTATCAGAAGTACTTTTAAGACAACAATTTTTCTTAGAATAGAAAACTGTCGGCATAATTTTACCTGATTGATACCTCACCACTTACAAATAAGACTCTATCCACCTTATGGTTAAACTCAAACTACCCCGAATTTAGGATTAAACTCAAACTTAAAATGTATTTTATTTGCGTACACCTTGTAAAATGGGCCGTGGATCTAATAGTATGCTCCCCGATCTGTTCAACAGAACATAGTCGCGCGCTCACACCCCGGAATTCTGGGCTGAGGCAACGCTCCCTGTCTCGCTGGTCTGTTGTCTACCTCAATACAGAGCTGCTTCAGGCCCAGGTGAGGATATTTTTTACTCTAACTGCCTAATTATTTTGCTTAGAGTATTGATACAAGACTGTTATTTAGCTTTTTTATTATTATTATTTATTTATTTAGCTATATATTATTATTTTTATTTATGAGACATTATCTCGCGGTTAGAATCTCTGAGTTTATATGTTAAAAGTTTACTTTTAACCGTCGGATTGTTGTGAGCTCGTCAATTTATTGGCTATCATCCATAACTCTGCGAATATGTTTGTTTACTTAGAAAGGAGTTGAAAGACGGATGATATAATTTTTGTGGTGTACCATGGTAAAATTATACAAAATAGCCAACTTGCTGTTTGCCACTCGAATTTATTTTGTTGTCAGGTTTGGCTTCAAAGTGTCCTGACCGAAGAAGAACCCTCGGTGGAATCATATGAAAATGAGGAGACCGCCTCCAAAACTGACGGCAAAAAGTCAGTTCCTGATCAGCCGGACGGACAAGCAGGCCACAAGACGAGACCTGATAGCAAAGGATCGTCCAAGCGCGACGATGCTAACAAAACTGGCGATAATCACGACGCCGGTGCTGCCAAGAAAGAGTCTGATCAAGAGAGCACGAGGCGCAAAGTATTACTTTAAATACGCATTTTACTTCTAGTTATTTTATATTTATCATGTACCTTCATTTTGATGTAAAGGCTGTTGTAATGCTGCACTATATTTAGCATTCTAATAATTGTACGTTCATGCGAAGGCTGTTGCAATGCTTGACAATATTTAGCATGAAGTTTAAACCTCTTCAGTCGCCCCATCATTTGTTTTGACTCAGGTCGGTCCCACTCAGCCTCCTCAAGTCGAGAAGTTCTATTTCCTGCACGTCACCAAAGTCGCCTACATGCACGAGACGCTCTCTGCCGACCACCCCTACATGAGCAGCGGGCCCGCCACGGAGACCCCGCAGCACAGGCTCGTTGTGCATCACCTCAAGGTTATAACTTGACCTGGGTCCCCATAAGTTCTGACCTTATTCTACTTCGGTAAACTAAATTATTTTGTAGTTTAAATAGCGGAAATTCGAAACTTTAATTATGACTCAATAGTCTGAAGTTTTTAGCTCGCTAAGAAAAGAATTGCAACAATTTGTATGCGTAATATCTTTTACAGAATAATATCTAAGATTATCAACACTGTTCCAGTGGATCTTTTCTATCGATTGCATTTTAATAGTGTATTTGCAGCACTCGTACAGTAATAGTTATCACTCTCAGGGTGCATGGACGACACACAACCGCGACATCGTCTTGGCGCTCTACGACTCGTGGACCAAGAGCCGTCAGCTGAAGCACAACCTGAGACCCGATGTCCTGCAGAGCTTCTCTGGCGCCGCGCGCAACGCCCGCAGCGCTGCTGACCGGGCGCAGCCTGTGCTCAACGCCGCCTCTCCTTCATCTTTGCATGTCTGTTTTACAGACATCTTTGACTGTTAAATTGTTCGGTTTTGTGACAATAGCAAAATTGTAATCAGGCCTCTTCTTTATATTGAGGCCGTTTGGTGTGTTTAAGTTGCTCAATAAAAGAATACAGATACTAATAATTTTTTTGACTTCTAGGAATCAAACTCTTGATTGTCTCTACAGACGCCCTCTGGCCTAGAAGCAACTCCCTCGCCTCTGTCACGGCTGCAGTCAGGCACGGGTGCTGATCTGCTGCACCAGCTCATCAAGGAGGCCGAGAACAACTTCGTGGCGTACTCTGAAGACTGCAGCAACACGTCCGAGCAGCCCAGGGAGTCGAACACACTGCACGGTGTGACTGACTGTACCATGGATGATGTCGTCTGCAAGCGATGGCTCAGTGAGTGTCAAATTGATAATATTATATAGATTATCATCCCTGAACTGCTGATTCTTGGCTTGGTCCTTAACATGACGTGTCTTTCGCAGAGATCATCTGTTAATCAGAAACAGTTTTATGTTTTAGTGTCTCAATGCTTATATTGAATTGAATTTTCGTACTCATATAGCTTAACCTACAATTTCTTCAAAATAAAAAATTATTGCATATGAATTATTATCAAAGTTAAAGCGGCAATTCTGGAAACTTAATTATCATTTATTAGATTGAAAAGAAAAGTTGAGCCCAAACAAATCATTAGAATGATTCCTCAATGGTTTGATGATTCTTTGACTATTTTTTACAGTATCCTGAGATTACTAAATAATCATTGCAGTTGAGTTGGTGAACTCGCAAGTGTTGCTGAAAGGCTGCGAGACGCAAGGCTACGTAATTTTAAGTGCCGCGAAGAGTCAAGTTATTCAGCGCATCCATCGCCCCGCGTGGCGCCAGCAGACGCTCAACAGCAAGACCACTTGGTACGGCTCCCTGGAGTGCATGCAGTACTACGCTACTGTCAGCCCCAGCCGCTCACAGACGCAGATGGGTCAGTTCTTTCTCATCTCTACCTTAATATGGTTCCCCTAGTTTCCCCTGGAAATAACTGCTAGAAATAAGGTTCCCGCATAGCTCAATCTGAAGAGCTAGAGTAGCAACTACGGCCACTGAACTAACTAACTAAGGTTCCCGCAAGAATCCTACATATTAGTATGTGTTACCAATGAGCATTATTTCCTATAATCAGTATTGAGATCAACATTATTTCGAGTATGAATTTTGGATCATTTTCTAAAGCAGTATTGATGTTCGTGTATTTAGAGAAAAGTCCTTCATACAGCTAGAAAAACTAAATTCTTAATAAGTTCCAAATAAATTGCATTTTTATAAACCAAACTTGTATTATTAATGATGAGAACGATAATTACAATAAATATGGGTTAGTTATTGTAATTATTGTTAAGAACAACATTAATAACAATAAATCATCCATATTTATTATCGAAATAATGTTATTGTTATTAATGTTTAGGGCAACATAAATAATCAATAATGTTAATAATGTTGTTCTCGAGATAATTTCGAGTGCCGTTGCAGCTGACAATATTCTGTGGCTGAGCGTGGCGAATATTGAGGAGCGTGGAGATGCACACGAGCCTCTGGACCTCACGGACATCGTGGGCAGCAACCAGTGCGCGGGTGGCGTGGTCACTGACACGGTCGGGGGCGCGCAGCTCGATAAGTCGGGACATTGCCACGACATGCAGGTGATTAGGACCTGCATGCTACATTAGTGATTAATATGCAGGTAATTGCCGTAGGTTATTGTATGAATGTATGAATGACGAGCATGCAGATGATTACTTATATGATGCAGGTAATTATTACGGGCATGCTACCTTGCTGATTGTAGGTCACCGTTACCTACCCCTTGGCAGTTACCTACATGTAGGTAACTGCCGTAGGTACTTATATAAATGTATCTAATGAGCATGCAAGTGATTACCTGTGTGTTATAATCAACGTCACTGATTATAACACAATCCGCAATCAACGGTCACTGTCTGTGATGTATGCCGTGAGATTCGTTTATTAAAACTGTGTAACAAGCGTGTTAGTTGCTCACATTCAGGATGAACGGACGAACACAACCCAATTATTTCCTTAAAATTCAATGAGATTTTTTAAAGAAATCAATTTCAGAAATTCTATGCTGCTACAGTCTTCCTTAAATTACTAAGATTATTTGATAAGGCTTATTCATGTAATTCTGTGTTGGCGATGTCCGCCTCATAACATTCGATTTCATGGGGGGATGGAAAAGATCGACGATTAATCATCGTAATTTGCTACTGCAAGGTTTCAATTATTGAGATTATATTAAATTGAGAGTGGAGAACAGAACGTGACTTTGAGGGATCTTTACTACACAACATAGGTTACTAGTATATTGTAATAGTGATAGCACTGCTCCATTAATTTCGTGTTCCAGGTATTGAATAGTCGTGCATGTGTGGCTATACGTCTTCTTTAATATTTTATCTGCAGCTGCAAAGGATCGCGTATCTATATGTACTGTAATGAATGATAGTACCGCTCCACTAATTTTGTGTTTTGGATTTTGACTGGTCGTATGTGAAGTTAAACGTCGCCTTCCTTAATATTTTATGTGCAGTTGCAAAGGATCGCGTATCTATATTTACTGTAATGAATGATAGCACTGCTCTATTACTGTTTTGTTTTGAATTTTGACTGGTCGTTTGCGAAATTAAATATCGCCTTCTTTAATATTTTATGTACAGTTGCAAAGGATCGTGTATCTATTCATGTATATTGTAATCAATATGAATGAAAGCACTGCTGCAATAGTTTGATGTTTTATATTTTGGCTGGTCGTTTACGAAATTAAACGACCTCCTTTAATCATTTATGTGCAGCTGCAAAGGATCGTGTATCTATATATATTCCCACCAGGCAAGCGAAATTGAATCAACGCTGAAATAAACGTAGTTTTATTAGAATCAACGTGGATTAAAGGTTGTTTCAATGTCGTTTGCCTCGTGGGTTGTAATGAATGATGGCACCGCTCCATTAGTGTTTTGTTTTGGGTTTTGACTGGTCCTTAGCGAAGTTTAACGTCGCCTTCTTTAATATTTTATGTGCAGTTGCAAAGGATAGCGTATCTATATTTACTGTAATGAATGATAGCACTGCTCTATTACTGTTTTCTTTTGCATTTTGACTGGTCGTTTGCGAAGTTTAACGTCGCCTTCCTAATATTTTATGTGCAGTTGCAAAGAATCGTGTCGCGTTGTCGCTGCGAGTTCTACTATGTGTGCTACGGCGAGCTGGGCATGGAGCCCGAGCTGCTGGGCGAGGTGCAGCCTCCGCCGCCCAACACTGATGAGCTCTGGGGCGACCACAGAGATCCTACTGACACTTTCACTCTGATGCATCACGACCTCTGCATCAGCACCAACTCTTTGCAGGTGATTCCTCGCTCTTGTTTCAGAGAATTTCATGCAGTTTCTATTTTTGGTTTGAACTACGGTGTTTTGTTATGTTGTTTCAATAATATTTTTACTAATACGGGTAAACTGATCGTAATATCAGATTTACGATCGGCATGCAAAATGTATTATAAAATATAAAAAATTTATTAAAAAAACCATATTCAAATATATATTTAAAAATACATCCGAATATATTCTAAGTTTCAATTTGAATACACTTTGAGTTATTTTGATTAATTATCATGCGTAACATCGTCAGTACAACATGGTGGTGGACATCCTGAACAAGCTTCTTCTCTACGTGGACCCTGTCAAGAAGGCGGCGAGTTCAGCGCTCGCCAGGATGCGGTTCCAACTGCAGCTCAGCTCTGGTGATGACCAGAAGAAACCTATCGTCAAGCTCCAGAACCAACTCAGGTCAGCCAGTATGACCAGGGCCTATACTTTCAAAAAAAAGTAAGAGATCGTAAGTTCATCAGCCAATCATAGACGACCTTTCACCAATCATAGACCAGAAATTAAAGCGTAAGTACTTACGTTCACTTACCGAGTTTTGAAAGTATGGCCCCTGACCTTAAGCAAAGCGATCGTATTTGGTGATATACCATGTATGTCTTACTTGGAGCACTAACTGTACAAGAAATTGCAGGAAAAATCAGCACCTAGCAAATGCTATATTTCAGCTGTCTGAAAGCGAATATTGCTAGCAGCATTATTAATGAGACGTTCTATTTTAGTTTCATTCCCTGAAAAACCTCTAACCACTTGGACTTCTAACCTTGCTTGCTTCAACCCCGCTGTTACCTACCATAGATATTTTTGTACGGAATTATAACCATTTGCAGGAACCATTTACTGCAATTACGTGCGCTGGAGAAGGACGTGTACCTCGTACAGCGTGCCCTGGACCGCGATCCTCAGCACGACCCTCTGCTCAGAGAAATGGAGATCCTCAACAAGCGGGTAGATCCAGCCGAGGTCTTCTTCGTCTTACAACATTATTGAGTCGTATTTGTAGCAAGTGCAAGCTTATGTAATTTCAGCTCAAATTCATATTTAAATTTCAAGTTCAACATTGAATGGCATGTAGCAAGGTTTGTCAAGAAAAAATATGATGTTGAGCTAATATTATTTCTATTAGGCCGAGTAGTGAACATAAAATTTCTCATCTCCGGGCAAAAAAGTATAGCAGATAATGTGTTGATTGTTATGCACGCTGCGTTTTAGTTTTTGGTTACATGCTCTGAACTCTCACATTTAAAAGCCTTTTCAACTGGCAGGTTGTGTCTTGCAAAGAACGTCTCTCTAGTCTCAGTCAGGAACTTGCGATCAGAATTCATTGCTACAACGAGTCGCTGCTGCGAGCCAACCATAAAATGTCCATGGCTCAGGGAGACAAGGTCAGTATTGCCTTTACGAAGGTCGTATAACAATAACTACAATATTCCTAGTTCATATCAATTACTTTTAATTGCAATTTTTTTGCTGGTTTTTCTGAAAGTGATTTGGATAAGAAATTCCCTTCTGCCTCTTACTCGACTTCTAATCGGTATTGTTTAGTGAATATTCCGTGCCTGAGAAAACGCTTATAAAACTAAGCTCAAGTACAGTTTACTCTACAAAGCTAATCTTCGTCAGGTTACAACCATCAGAATAAACGAAGTGTTCTTCCGGAAAGCTCAGTGGCGCCTCACGGAAGACGATGGACAGCTGGGCATTTCTGAAGTGGCTCTTTCCAATTTCTTGTGAGTTCAGTCATTTTTTACCTACTAAGTTTATATGATTTGGTCTCGGTACTAACAGTCAATGGCGTCAGTTTCCACGTTCTAAAATCTTCATAATTTATTTCCCCTTGAAATTTATGAAAGATCATGGCAGGAAGCTTGGAAATATCGTGCTTGGCCAGCTGAGGCTTATGTTATCAGTGAACGAATACCTATATCAACATAAACCGAATGTTTTATTTTTGAGTAACTTCAGACATTTTCTGTGCCCAGGTACACTAAGAAGACGAATTCAGACGACAGCGGTGAACATTTACTCGAGCTTGGCTACGTCAACATGAAGAACTTGCTGCCCAACCAGGCCTACAGGGATGTGCTAGCCCCCACCACCCTCACCAGCGCATGTCCCCTCGACAGACAGGTACCTACCAGAGATGAGTTTCGATATTTTTTACGTGGCGTAGAAATATTCATTATGTATGCCAACATTTTACGTTGTAAAGCCTTATTGACAATGGTCACCAGAAAATGCCATGTGGGATGCAAGTTTCGTTTAAAGAAATAAAAAGGAAAAGTTTTACGATAGATTCTCAACTTTTTTGGTATTCTTATGGACATCATCGTTTTGCTGTCTGTTCTATGATTGTCGTTCCAATTTGTCCTCAGAAAACGTTGCGGATATTCTGTCGAGAGAAGCCTCCTTGTGGTGGCATCTCCGTTATCGACCACTTTGAGATCAACGTCGTACCGCTCGATATTTGTAAGTGACGCACTGCAACTTGTGTCAATATTATTTTCTCTTTCACCTCCGTCCAGTGTAAAATTTTACCTAAGAAGTAGACTATGTTTTTAAACTATAGTATACTCTTTATTTGACCTCTTCATTCTTCTACAGCTTTGACTTATCAGTTCTACAAGACGATTCTGAAATTTTGCTTCCCTGACAACGTGGTGGTGGTCGAAGAATCAGAAAGCAGGAGGCGTCAGTTGGCGCGTCGGGCTGCTAGAGCCAACAAGGACTCGCACTTCTATGTCAAGCTTCAGAAAGATGATGTCGAAATCATGAAGGTATTTATAATCACGAGTTGATATCTATTAGCTACCTCTATGTTTGGTCGCCATGTTTTTCTTTAATCTTAGAAAGTAATCTTATACTGTGGATGAGTGTGGAAGGAAGCCTTAATTTTTTAAAACAACTGGCACAAGAAAACCAAACCTTGATTGTATACGAAGCCTAAAAACCTCTTTACTCTTTCAGCAAAGAGCCGAGCAGAACAAAATGTTCGTTTACATCAAGATTCCTGAGCTGAAGATTCGCCTAAGTTACAAGGGGATGAAGGAAAAGAACTTGACAGACGTGACGAACTTCAGGCTCGTGGTGCCGTCGCTGGAGTACCACAACGTCACGTGGACGTGGCTCGACTTTCTCAACGGACTTAAGGAGCACTGCAAGAGTGCGCTCGTGCCGCAGGTATGCTTCATGCTGCGTTTGGCTACATCTATAAACTACGTTTCCAATGGCAGTTAATAATATATTAGCTAATTAACTAACGTATATAACGGCAGTTAAAAATATATAAGAAAATCAACTCACGTATATAACGGCAGCTAATAATACATTAGATAATCAACTAACGTATATAAAGGTCGTTACCGAGCTGTGAGATACGATTCACATTGACGGCTTGTCAGCGTATTCTATGTAGGTTTGACTAGTTGTATCCTGACGTTAACTTTAGTTACCGCGGCTTGCATGCCGTCGATGACGGGCTATGGATCCGCAGACGAAGTGTTGGATCCTGATGAGATCCTTGCGCTGCTTTTTATAGTTTCAATTGTTTAACAAAGATGCTACTATTTCAAAGTTTGTCTTTAAATTCAAGAGAAAACATTTCAAATTAATCACAAAATTTCTCCACGATTTTTACGTAGTGGGTCATTTTTGAAAGTTTCCACGGATCTTTCAACGCATGAATTAAAAAAAAGCTTTGGATCGTTGAGATCTCATTGTAATGATGACAAGGAGAAGCATGATAGGTGAGAAGGTGTTGATAAAATTCTTGGTGTAAATACGGTCATTAATGCGCAGGTAATTGGAATTATTATCTAGTTTGAAGTATTTTCTGGTGATTATATTTGCACAGTGCGTGCTTGTGAACGCTCTAGAGAGCTGCGTGAGGTGGCTGCACTGACTCTGGTTTATTTCTGTGCAGTCTAGTTTGAAGTATTTTCTGGTGATTATATTTGCACAGTGCGTGCTTGAGAACATTATAGAGAGCTGCGTGAGGTGGCTGCGCTGACTCTGGTTTGTTTCTGTGCAGGTCATAAAGATCAAGCTGAACGTGCTGAACAAAGGAACCGACGCCACGGCTGAGCTCAACGAAGAGGCTAAAGCCAGGCTGCTCCTTGGCGACCGCCATCTGGTCAGATAAAATATTTCTATTCATCATCATAAAATATTTCTCATCATCCCACCATATGTATTAAATATATATACTGGTATTATAAATGTATACATATAATTATACTTACTGGTATAATAACATTAGTATTCAATATATATATACTGGTATTATAAATGTATACATATAATCATAATTACTGGTATAATAATGTTTTTCATCCATTTTGCTTAATCGGTTTGAAAATCGTTAGTATGCCATTTGACAGCGATGCTCCTCATGTCAAGTCCAACCGGCAAGTTTTGTATATTTGTTGTTGTGTATTCTTTCTTCAATGCTGGAAGTCGTGAGCTCTTCAAACATTCGACGCAATAAGGTCATCTGATGATTATGCTTTTATTACATACTTCAAACGATCATCTTTCTGATATGTTGACCAAATCGAGGATATATTCGTAATAATCACTAATTCCATTTTACGTATATCTGTATTCAAGTCTTATTAAGTATTCATTGCCATGCGTTTGAATTATGCTCTAATTTAATCGATTTATCATAATTCTTGTTATAATTATGCATTATTATTAATTGTGTATTAATATCTATTTCAGCCTTCTACCGCACGCACGTCCAAGAAAAGTTTGTTCAAGTTCAAGAAGTAACGCATTGGATGAATTCCGTCATGTCTTCATTGACAGGAGTCTCATAGTTAGAGTTACGAAAACTTTCATCTATTCGATATTGTTAGTGCTCGTTTTAAAATATTCTTTCACCGAAACATTTTGTCCTAAAACTTTATTCCGATCTCTGGCAATGAAATTTGTTCTGGTGTTCCGTGAGTATTTTTTTTTTATGATTTATGACCGTTCATGCTGCACGAGCCAAAGTTTATGCATTCCACATTTAATTTTTATGCCCATTATGTTCATATGAATAATTTCAAGACATTTCTTCGTATCTTTGTATTCAGGAAAATTTCAGTGTTCATCTCTTTTCCGACTTCTGTTTGTTTCTCGTCTGTATTTACTTCGCCTTGCTGCTCAACTAGCGAGTCATTACCACGATCTCTTTTATTCAACGAAACTTGTACATGACATTTTTATTTCTGTGTTCTATTCTATGCTGGACGGAAAGATTACTTTGTCCTGTCAGGATGCTTACGATTACATGATGGAGGTTATCATGTCAGAACTACTATTATTACAATAATTTTAAACCTTCTGCAAGCTATAGTCTTTCTGAGGACGTACTTTACATTAGTTATGTGCTTAGGTATTGGTGACCTTATAAACAGGCATAGCTACCTATATAGGAGGAAAGTGTTTCAGAGAGTGAATTAGTTCGTTACGCGTATCGGTGGCACTCACGTTTCTTGCTCTTATTAAATCATATTATAATATCTTATTATCAAAATGAAATGTTTATTTTTTACCACACTTCTCTTTAACTTCAATTCTTGTTGTCTGTCTGCTACAAATCTTATAATCGATATTTAACACAAAATGTAAAAAAATATAATTTATTTTTAATACATAAAAATAAAATAGAAATTCATTGTATATGTTTTACATCGGAGAAATCGGCCTCTTTAGAAGTGTGGTATTTAAAAGGTACTCTTTTAAACGCATATCATTGTGAATGTTATTACTAATTCAATGAGGTTTGTTCAAGTGCGTGCAATATGTATGGTGATACATTGTAGACATGTATGCTGCGTAGCTCCTCTTATTCTGCTCTATCATCGTACGCTAGCTCTTGATTTAGTTCAAATACTGCGTAAGATCCTGTGTTCGTTACTTATTCTCTTAGCTTAAGATATTTAAACGAGTAAAATGGTCTCATGCTTAGAATGCTGCTTAACTATATCTGCTTTCAATGTGGATTAAGTATTGTGATTTTGAGGACAGTACTTAGGTTGATTATGTTATTGCTACTTAGTGCCTTGACTGTGATATTTCCTACTTCGAAGTTACTCCGAATATAAATACTATATCGTCAGTACAATGTTAATCATTTATTCCTTTTTTTCGAATGAGTGTACTCGAAAAGAATACCACAATTAATGAACGTGAGTGTTTTTCCGATCGATCGTTTCTCGTTATATTCTTTCGATTGAGTTGAATGGTGGACGCCGGGAAGCATTTCTACCTATCGTCCATAATCCATGACTGCTTCTTGCCGAATTGATTGCATCAACTTGAATTGGTATGCATACTGTACTCTCACGCATTGCAACTAATGATGTAATTCGAAAAAATATCTATTCTATTCATTTGTTTGTTGTTTCTCGTGTTGCAATGCTTGTAATTCATTTTCTATTTATCTCAGCCCAAAATTATAATTTATCTGCTTGCCTTCTAATTATCCATCGTTGCGGGCATTTAGTATGAATCACATCCCGCTTACTTTTATTGTCCCTCGAAACAATGACGAATAACCGAACATGGCCTTCCGTGAAAGTTGTACTTCATTCAGTCCAGTGAATTGCACACCTTTTTAAGTTGAGTTAATGTTTCAGTTAATATGCGTGAACGCAGTTTAAGCCATGGGGCTAGCTCGTTTTTGGCAACTCTTCACAGCGAGGCTCATACGGTTCACGGAGCCACACAGTTGCTCGCGTCGCTCACGCCTCTGCGTTGTGTGCCGCGATCGTCCGCTCCATACGTCCTTAATCATAGCTCGGTCGAGACGTTGAGGTTCTATCAAGTCTCGAAACGTCCGCTCCATACGTCCTTAATCATTGCTCGGTCGAGACGTTAAGGTTCTAGCAAGTCTCGAAACGCCCGCCCCACTCGTCCTTAATCATAGCTCGGTCGAGACGTTAAGGTTATCAAGTCTCGAAACGTCCGACACATACGTCCTCAATCATATCTCGGTCGAGACGTTGAGGTTCATTCAAGTCTCGAAAAGCCCGCCCCATACGTCCTTAATCATATCTCGGTCGAGACGTTAAGGTTCTATCAAGGCTCGAAACTTCCGCTCCATACGTCCTTAATCATATCTCGGTCGAGACTTTAGGGTTCTATCAAGTCTCCAAACGCCCGCTTAATACGTCCTTAATCATATCTCGGTCGAGACGTTAAGGTTCTATCTCGTCCCGAAACATTTGTACTCTTTTCATCATAATTTTATTTATTCAGCATCGTAGGGAATAGAAATTTCTCTGGCTTGTGTGCCTCGCTCGTCCAGCTTGTATGTCGTTAACCCAATCGTCGTTCCATACGTTCGTTACGCTAAGGCTTTGTTAAGTCACAAAATATATGCGCTTTTTTCATCCTAATAGCATTCATTTATCATCGTAGGAAATATAAATGCAACGGAAGAAAATAGGAGCAAAGGGGAAAGTTATGTACATTTTCTGATGCGCAGGGATTACTACACGTGTTCATGTGCTCCCGATATTCAAGCTGTCATCATCCGAAGAAATTGAAGTTTTGGTTTATTGAAGTGCGGTGCGTTGATACTTGTTGAACAAAATTATTTGAAATTGACCTGTGACGATGTATATCGGATATTTGAACACACTTTTCATATGTGTATTCTGTAGTTTTAGGATACTGGCCCTGCCGGACCAAATAACAGTAGGTAAGTATTTCACCTACTGTGTAGACGTGTAGGTTAGTGTTTGACGTATACCTATACGCAGGCCTAGGTCGTTTACTTCTGGTTTATTTGAGCTTGCATCTTTTGAATATTTTGCATTTAACATCAGCTTAATTTTTAACTGTGATGAGCGTTGTTTTTGTTTAATTCTTGTTAACCCAATCATGCGCGCGATAAGCTCACAGCCAATCACAAACTGAGCGAATTTCCTTACCTCCTTATATAGATGGTTAATTAATTTATGCACTAAACTGAGCGTCGTGTTGTTACAAAATCGACATTCACCTTTGTTTGCGCAATCAAATTATTCGCGGAAATTATTCAATTTATCAAAACGAACATGCTGCCTAAACTTATAGCTGCACCCTCGTGAAAATGTACGTTTGATGTTCTGTGTTGAAACACAATGATATTATAAGTGTAGAAATAACTTTATTTTATTATAGTTAGAAGAATTATGTTGAAGCTCAGGGAATAGTTAGTTCTTTATAATGTTCAGCTGAATGGCTGTTCTCGTGACTTATCATTCGCGATCAATGTAGATAACGTGACAAATATGTGCAACTCACGCGGCGCTCTGCCAGTCTTTGTGACAGGGTAAACCGAGCCAAATATTCAGGGCGCAAAACAAGTAATTACTTACCAGAACTTTTCATACTCATGCGTTCCCGCTACACAGTGAATTTCAAGGATATATAAAAGCGAACTATTATGAATCGTATTTAGGGATGAGGAAAAAATATTTTGATGGACTAGCGTTACTCAGATAATTTCATAAAATAACTGAAATTATATTTTTCAGAAAAATTGGTATTCCCAATCCTGATTGATGCTCTTACAATAATTTCTCCTGAGCCTCTTATTACTTATAAATCTAATTTCATTATAAAATTTTCTCGCAAAATATACTACTGAAATAGTAGGGATTCATTTTCAACAATGCTTCTATACTACTCTACATAATAAAAAGTGTTTGGTATGGGATGATGCACTCATTTTAGTCGTATGAATAGTGAAAACAATAGATAGACTCTTATAGTCATCGTATCAAATTAAATCGCCCTTTATCATGAGACATTGTTACTGATCCACAACTTAATTAATATACTTTAAAATAAAACAAATCCGTCATAACTCTAATAAATGGCAATAAACGTCAGAGGCAGCAGCTTCGTCGGAATATTTAAAATTGCGTTTCTCGCGGGCACTGCGATGAAGAACATAACACAGTTCAGTTTGGGTCTCCTTAATTCGCTTCATTAATCATGATTTGGTGGCAGATGTATGGCCTTCTCGGAAATATAAATATAAAAATATTAGTGTGCTAGTGATATATTATAGTTTTAATGCATTAAATGCTCAGCCATCGTTTCCTCAGTGATGCCAGGAATGCGTCAAGAACTTCGTATGTTCTTCGCATATGACATGCACTCACAGAATCGAGTCCCTAACCTCATGGCAATGTGCCAGTGAGCTGCCGCACAAACTCTCCTCACCGCAAATATAAATAGATCCAAAGCTCGGTGGGGGTCCCAATACTGGCATGTTTTACGGCAGATATTATGAAGAACCATCGGCAGCTCTGCCGCTCACTTGCTCTGGCAGGATTAACGGCCTTCGCCTCATGCGACCACCTACAGCTCATTCGAGGAGCATTGCGAGCAATTCTGAAGCTATTTTGCTGTTCAAATAAATTATAAACAAAAGTTTACTTGGCAGCATATCGGCTCTGATTGCATCATTTAAAGTCAAAGAGAAACTGCACATTTTAACTTCAAAGTGAAACTATTCATTTTCACTTCAAGGAGAAACTCCTAATTTTCCATGCATAGACAAACGAATTTTCTACTATATCATCGAATAATGTAGCCCATAAATTGATTAAATCGATGCGAAACATAATTTTTTCTATAGTTACCCTAGAAACTTCCATGCAAATGCGTTTTTCGCAGTTTAAAAATTGTAACCGATCGTTCTTTTAAGAAAAATTGTCTTTTGTAATGCAGTCATGAACTTTAATTTCGGAAGCGGATGAAATTTAAGTGAGGTTATTGCCAAAAGTTTAATTCATTTAAGCGAGAAAATTTGCCTTATTGGATCTGAACTTTTTTGAAATCGCAAGCTCTAAATGTTATCACAGTGTTATTCGTTTTTCAATTAGTTTTTTTTATGTATAACACTCTTGAATGCAGAGTTGTTACAGCATGGAGTTTATTTGATCTCCACCAATATTCTTAGGAATAGATTTTACGTTCACATATAGAGCAGCTTCGTAGGTATTTGTTTGCTTTCAGGCGGGATTTTCGACCCATATGATGACCGTCAGGAGTTGGCGTTCCGATATGCAGTTGAGCGCGTCAATCAAGACAAGTCCACCCTCGTGCGATCAACATTGAACGCGGACATCCAGAGGCTTCCCGCTGACGACAGCTTCCACGCGTCAAAAAAAGGTTTGTTCTGTTTTGGTTTGTCTCTTTGAGACCAATATTGTCCCAACTAAAAGTGATATCTTGCAATAAATAAAAGTTGGGTTTAATTATTGACTCACATAGTGAGTCTGGCACAAAATATATATGGAAGGTCTCTTCATGAGGGAAAATGTACACCATTCTAATATGATAGAGTATTCTGTTTTGCCTGCAGTTTGTCAGCTGCTGAGGTCGGGTGTGGCGGCCATATTTGGTCCGCAGTCCGAGAAGACAGCTAATCACGTTCAGAGCATCTGCGATGCTCTCGAAGTGCCACACATCGAAACGAGATGGGACTTCAAGCTGCGCCGCGATGAATATTCCCTGAACCTTTACCCTCATCCGACTTCGCTCAGTCAGGTTAAAGACTTCTAGTTCTATTTTATTTATTTATATATTATATATTTATAGTTTTAAATGAAATTGTCAAACCGACTCAAGAATCAGAAAATTTTCTCCACGTCTCTCTGTTACCGACCATTTTAATAGCCACTGCAAAAGTTCATAAGATTCTCTCAGCGGTGCTTTGTCAAATGTCTGCTCGGTTAATCCCTGGGCTAGTTTATTACCTGGAATAAGCATGCTCTTATTTCATTGTTTGCACTCATTTAAATTCTTTGCAAAGCTTAAGTGCAAATTAAAGCTTCTCAGCAAAGCCACGAAGTGCCTAACAGCAGTAAACTTCAAGTTGACTTCAGTTAAACACAAAAATTCAAATGTTTATTAGCATATTTTCCACTTGCGCTCAAGTAAAATTCTTGAAATCCCAATCAAATTTCGTTGCGGGAGATTTAATGAACATATTTGGAGATAAATAAATAAGCATGCAGTTATTTGATGGAAATCATGCTTGGGAATCTTATTTGAGCCTTGAAAAAAAAACCGGCCACATTTCTGCATTTTCGCTGTTATGTTATTTGCATTAATATATTTGAATGAGACCATCTACTGCAATAAAAAGACTGGCGTAAGATCAGTTCATCTATTCAACTGCGGTGCGACGTACGTCTGCCGTTGTCGTGCCAACGTCGTTGTGCTGTTACTTTTAAGTGCACGACCTGTTCCTAAGTTTTATTTAGCTGGAAAATGTTCAATTTTAATTGTTAAAGCAAACAATGTTTTCAACAGTGAGGGTCTTGAATATGTAAGGAAATAATGTATTCAAGAGTGGAGGCATTGAGTCTTTAACGGAAACTATAAATTCAACAGTAATGGCTTTTAATTTAAAGCAAACAATATATTAAACAGTGAGGACCTTAATAATTATAGCGATCAGTGATGACTAATTCGTTTGCATGGTCAGAAAATTTTTCACAGAGGCTTTATTGACTCTGGTTCAAACTGATGGGCATTCAAAGTTTTTAATGATCCCAAGACTAACAATATTTGACTTCAACACCATTGCTTTGGGTTATTCTTTAGTGGCGGTACTAAACATTCTCTCAGAGCTCGTAAGACATCTTCTGCTCAATAATAGAGTCTTGTTTGAAATCTGTACTTATCGCCAATCAGATTAGACAATCAGCCAAACGAGTGCCAAGTTTTTCGTGCAGTTCATTGAGCCTCTATTTGGCTCTCGGGGTTTTTAATTTAGCACAAGACAAACTTAGCCTATCTTCTGGTCCATAGTGATAGATCGGGACATTTCATCGTTAAATTCCACCGGATTGAACATATTAATTTTCCACTCTGGTAAATTTTTCACGATTCATTGCTGCTAATTAAACTAGTAAAATGAACGTATACTAATTTGATTTGTGTTATTCTTACGTGCTATAAAACTTCATCATAATTTTACTTAATGAAAAGTGCACGCCATATCATTTTTATATTCTTATATAGCTGGTACTAGTCGGTCATTACTTTCTTCATCAGTAGTTATAATTTTCCGTATATATACTTTTTCTTAATTTTTCGGCTTTATACCTTATCGCATTTATCATTTATTTTTTTGTATTTTGAATGACGCCTTTTCGCACTTGACTGAAAAAATGTAATTCCATCCCAGGCGTACTACGATGTGCTCAGGCGACTCGAGTGGAAGAACTTTGTGGTGCTCTACGACACCAGTGAAGGACTCATCCGCCTCCAGTCCCTACTCAAGTCCAACGAATTGAAAGTGACTGTTCGCCAGCTGCACGAGGATTCGGACTGGAGGTTAGGCTGCGTAAAAGAACAAAATGGGAAAAATGTCAAATATTTGCTTACCTCATTAACCCACGTTAGTGTAAGAATGAATGAAGTGTAGTATTTATTTTTGAGCTTTTATCGGTGTCGATAAATATTATTATTTCTGAAGGATTTTTATGCCGACAGACCACTTTTGAAGGACATCAAGAAGAGCCAGGAAACAAAAATCGTGATCGACGTGAAGCAGCATAGAATTTATGAAATCCTGAAGCAAGCAGCGCAAATCGGACTGATGAGCGAGTACCATAGCTACTTCATCACCTCTTTGGTGAGCAGGCAGTGCAAATAACAATGCAATTATGAATATGTGCACTGGTCAAAACTAAATTCTAATGTGATGAAAATTTATTTGTATTGCCTCCATGCCAATTGAACTGTTTTATGCATTTAAAATTTCGAAAAATTAATTTCCACTGCACTTTTTTCATTTTACTATTTAATATATCATATAGATTAGTATAATGTGAGTTCTAGATTCTAATTAATGTGAATTCTCACCACAGGATCTGCATCTCGTGAACATGGATGACTTTAAATACAGCGGCGCGAACATTACGTCACTGAGACTCGTCGATCCAAACAAACCCGAAGCCGTCCAATTTGTCGAAGAGTGGAAATACGGAGAACTTCGCTATGGCAAAACTATTGACGAAGACATCGCTCGGATAACAGTACGTATTCTATTGTTGCCAGAACTGCAGTGGAGGGCAGCAATTATTTCGAAAAAGTTGTCTGCTGTAAAACTCATTTATGCAGATTTTAATGTATCATTTTTGCACGTTTAGAATACGAGAGGACATTGAAATTTGCGCAAAAATAGAAAAATTTAATGTTAAAGTTTCTTTTTATTTTATATCGCCTTGAAGTGCCCTGTTAGAAAAATTACGGTTAACGGTATTACCGGCGTTTCAGTGGCCGGTCGGCACGTTAAAAGAAACACCGTGTCGCCGTTTTTATTCTAATTTAACACTAGAAATCCGTAAAACATCTGATAAAAACGGCAAAACAGTTCATTTTCACGGGGCGACCGGCCACTAGAACGCCAGTGGGGGCCGTTTTTAGCGCATTTTCTCATTTATGAAAAAATGCACTATTGTGCTCGCCATGTCCGTCTGTCCGTCCGTCTGTCTGTCCGTCCGTGACCTCAAGTTTTCGTTGACGAGAAAATGCGCTCTCTGTCACTCACTGCAGTGAGTACTGAGTTATATTTTTTTCTAACAGTGTGGATGACATGAGAATTTATTTGCACATCAGACGGAGTCCGCCCTCATGTACGATGCAGTGCAGTTGTTCGCTCGCGCCCTCGACGACCTCGACAGGTCCCGTGAAGTGGACATCACGCCCCTCTACTGCGAGGGCGACAAGACGTGGCCGCATGGCAGCTCCCTCATCAACTACATGAAGTGGGTCAGTCTCATGTGGAGTGGGTCAGTCTTTTAGGAAGTGGGTCGTCTCATTAACTACATGAAGTGGGTCAGTCTCATGTGGAGTGGGTCAGTGTTTTAGGAAGTGGGTCGTCTCATTAACTGCATGAAGTGGGTCAGTCTCATGTGGAGTGGGTCAGTGTTTTAGGAAGTGGGTCGTCTCATCAACTACATGAAGTGGGTCAGTCTCATGTGGGATGGGTCAGTCTCATATGAAGTGGGTTGTCTCATTAACTACATGAAGTTGGTCAGTCTTTTAAGAAGTTGGTCGTCTCATCAACAACAGGATTTGGGTCAGGCATATTAAGTAATTTAAGTGGGTCGGGTTCATCACCCACTTAAAGTGTTGAAATGTTCAAATAGTTGAATCCAATTACCCTACTTAAGTGGTTCAGTCTCTTCAACTGCATTCATTGACTGCAGTGTTACAGTCAGCATCAACTGCATTCTTAAAAAAAAAACTCAATAACCTTCATCATTTGTTGATAATTTCATAACTTTCATTATTTGTTGATAATTTGGAAGCTGAGCTATTTTTGCTTATTATTTCAGAGCAAAAACTATTTAAAAAACAAATGAAATGGCTCTTGTTTCAAATTTGACCTTCATCGACTCATCGTGAGTCTTAATTCTCCATTTAAACTTGAGTGAAAATTCAGCCGAAACTTGAAACCTAACGTAAGTATTCGATCAATTAAACTAATAATAAAATAAAAAATTCAATAATAAAAATTATTGTTTGTTTTATTATTATAATTCATTACTTATAATTATTAATTATTTACTGATAATATATAATTCAAAATTACACACATAGAATAAGTGACGTGTTTCTCTACAGTACAGCGCTCATCGCAGCGAGGCTGATCTCTTGAACGGAGGCGGGGTTTTTGACACGCGTAAAATTGGTGGCATGGGAGCAGTGCCCAACATGCCTTATGGAATGCCAACCAATGGCAGGCCGGGTATGCCACCTTTAGTGTCACCTATGGACAACAGATACGGGAACTTGATGATGCCCGGCGGGATGCCCTTCACCAACGCAACTCATCGACCTTATGACATGGTTCAGGTAATATTTTTACTTTACTAAACGACACTATCCGTATCACGATTAGAATACATGTCGATCAGGAGTGACAATGTCATTTGAAAGTACGCAGCTATCCAAAAATGAAGGAAAGGTCCTTCCTTCCAAACATTAGTATGTATTGTATTAATGAGGCTTTTCTTCGTATATTGTTCTGCCGAGTTTCCATAGTGGATTTCAGCATTAAATGCTTATACAAAGTAGTAAATTTACTTTCTTGTAATAATAGTACACGACCGCTTTCATTTCCAGGTTTATGGGCTTACGGGACTTATCAAGTTCGACACACGAGGCTTTAGAACAGATTTCGAGCTAGATATCCTTGAGCTGGATGCAAAATTCGGACTAAAGAAGGTAGCGACCTTGATTTAAGAAGAATTCGTAATCCATTTAAAACTCGTTTCAATAAATATATCAATTGTTAACTCACATTTTAATTATATTACCATAGTGCTCCATTGTGCGCTGTAATGTATTGTTATTATGCAATTTTTGACCTAAAAATATAAATTAAGCTTATGATGATGATTAAACTAGAAGTCTTCGTATTAAGATATTTTCAATTCATATTCATCAAATGTATTTTTCACAAACGTTTCATTTCAATTATATAGAAATGAATTCATTTTAAACTTGGATCCGATTCAATCATCAATTCAAAAACATGCTAATAATTACTGTTTGAATCTCTACGCAACTACGTACATAATTTTAAAACAGTCTCTGTTCTAGGTTGGAACTTGGTCATTAGCTGGCGGCGCTAACTTTACAAGGTCTTTGGTCGAGTCCTCCTCAGGCATAACGCTCAACCTACAGAACAGAACTCTCATCGTCACTACCGCCATCGTAAGCCTATACTCATACCTGCACAGGCTTCTGTGACGGTTAATCGTAACTTCATAAAGTTATTCTCAAATTTTAACGTTTTTCCTGCTCCCGATTTTTTAATGTTATTATTTTTCGCACATAAAACTACGAAGTGGAGAATGATTACCGATTCACATTTTGATTGTCAGGATTTGAGGTACCCTAGAATAAATGTACCCGAAGGAAGAATAGATGAGTTCTGGCCAAATTTAACTGTTCTAAAATAATCTTCTAATTCGACTGAAAATTTTGCATTAATCCAGTTGCTATATCTTGGAAATTGCAACAGGTCAACATTTCGCCATGTGATGACGAAATGTGTGTGATGTTAGATTGAACATAACACAAAGTAATAACAAGTTTATTGACGTTCTATGGCATGGTGGAAGTTCAGTTTTAACATTAAAATTTGAAACGCATCCTTCATCAATTTCTCGAGAAATACTTCCAGCATCATGTGTACAGAACGTCATGAAAAATTTCTTGTGAGCATTGAATGTTTTTACTAAAGTGCCAAGGATACGCCTCTTTGAACTATTAAAGGTGGCACTTGAGGCAGAATTTGTTAATAATAGCGATATGAACAATACACCAGCGATCATTAATGAAAAATATCTAGCATTCAGTGATATCAAAATTTGTCTGTTTACTGAGGCCAATTCAAATTGGAAATGATACTCTGAAGTAATATAATGAAAAATTATTCCCGAATTACTTTACACCGAACTGAATGAAATTCTATTATCATCTATTAACACGTTGACTCCGAAGTGGTACATATGCGTACCACGAAATATATTTCTCCAAGACGTAGTGGTAAATAATTCAGGTTGCCTAAAATCGGCCAAATCCGAAAACAAAAAAGGCCAAAAAAAGGCCGATAACTCCGGAGCGCAGCCGTGCACCACCATTTTTGTGCACCAATAAGCCCTGAATCGAACGCCTTGGATCTCTCCGGACATCCACCAATCAGCCATGAACCACTTGGCTTTGTCTTCCTCCGGCCTCGCACAGAACCTGCCGTGCATCACCAGGCCGCAGATCGAATCTGACTTCCGGGCATCGTTAAATTACGTAATTTTACGTTCACCGCATCTGAGGTTAGGTTTCAGATAGCATAGTTCTGTTCTAAAATTTATCGTCCTTCGACAAGTGGCCGTTCGACCGAGGGCTGGTTCGACCCACGGCCTAGATACGGACGGCTTGAAGTGTTGAAGGCTACGTTCTGGAAGGCAGGAATCATGCTGGTCCATTAGGTCATGCTGGGCAGTGGTGGTCTTCGGCAGGCGACCCCGATAACTCAATATATAGTAGTTTATTTGTAGGTTCCGCTATAAAAATTCCAATTATTTTCTTTTTGCAGTATTTGAAATTTAATTAGGAAGTACCCCTATCATAAGTTTTAGCCGGCCAACGCAATTGAGAAAAACTAAATTACGGAATATGTCGGGAAAAAATGACCATCGGGCAACCCTATTTAAAAACAGTACAAAAAATGAAATAATAGTTCAAGATGAAGCAATCGTAGTTAACGTGTTAAGACTAGGCCCTGGCACAGAGATTACTCGCTGAGAAGTACAATGTTCTGACCACCTCTGTTTCAAGAATAATTGAATTTGGACAACGGACATGTCGTACAATGGACCGCAAGAAACAGAGATTTGTTTCTATATTGTGCAGCTTTTTTAGGTTGACCGCGTCTCTATGCAACCACACAAAGGTTTAGACGATTTGATAACTTATCCTGAAATTGAATGAAATTTTTGTGTATGAAAGCTCATTTGGTCATGAGAACAGCTATGCATTCTTGTATACGAATTTCTCCGTTGGAAATGGGTTAATCTTTTCCCGCTGTAGGAAAAATAATCATACACTTATTGGTTGGCACTTAATGTCGCAAATCACAATCTAATTTTTCTTATTAACAGGTAGCGCCGTACACAATGCTGAAGGAGACGTCTGAACAGCTAACGGGCAACGACCGCTTCGAGGGCTTCTGTGTGGATCTCATCCATGAGATATCGCTGGACCTCGGCTTCAACTACACATTCAAGGCAAGCCATTCGATTTATCTTTCATACTATGCATTATATTTATTTATTATAACTATCCTCACCTAAAATACTTTGCATTAATTCTCAAAGGGGAGGAAAATATTTAATCCTGTAGATGTCTAATATTCCATATGATCATTTTAAAAAATGAAATCAGTCTGGCCTGCCATGCAGAGCAGAGGATACTTCAAGAATCATATTTCAATTCTTGAAGTATTCTCAATAGAAGGCCGAATCGGGCACCGACTTAAGTAAGCCTATACAATCAATTATGTGCATCCTTAAAATGTTTATTGTAATTTATTGTAGCTTAAAGAGGAAGAAGCCTTTAGGTTCTCACTTTCTTACAAATAATCTAAATGAAGATGTTTCTCCAGCTCGTGGCCGATGGGAGCTACGGCACCAAAGATCCAGTGACAGGGGAATGGGACGGCATGATCAGAGAGCTTCTGGATCATGTGAGCATCGACAAAAATTACCTCTGAAAATTGCAGTGTTGTAGCTTATGCGCCAAGTGTGGCTAACTCAGTTGTCATGAAGAACTTACGAGCGAAGAAATGCAGCATATTTTAGATTAAAATGTGTGTTTTTAATAGTATGTTTTGAAATAATGTAGCGCATTTGTGCCTTTTCTTGGCTCCTGAATTGTTATGCTAGTATCTCTTTCTTCTAGTCTCGTACATCCTATCTTTAACTGTAATAAATTTTTTAGCTGACTTTTAAATTATGCATCTATCGCAGAAAGCCGATTTGGGCATTGTGGATTTCACCATCACGTACGAACGAGAGGAGGCAGTCGACTTCAGCATGCCTTTCATGAATCTCGGTAGGTTGTGCATGTATACTTAGATTAATTATATTCAATTTTTTTTTATTTCTTCAGCGAAAACACTCCCATGAACACTTTCGGCCGCTGACATCTTCAGTCGAGCCTTTTTCTTCCAAAATTGTCACCCAATAACAAAGCCAGCCGAATGGCGGCCATGTTCAATTCTTAATCTCAGCCATTCCTTAGCTCAACAATCCCATATCAAAGTCATTGATTATAACGATTAAATATTTTCTGCAATCCATTTATTCAGCCATCCTTAGACTTATATTTAATAATGAATCAACTGTGTATAATAATCAGCTGAATCAACTATGTTCCTTCGACAGTTGATACTGCAATATTTGTTTTGAAAACGATCTTACACAGAGGAAAATAATTGTTTGAAATAATCGACTCTCAATTAGTTTATACGTTTTCTGAAAGCCAGTCTAATGTCGTTGTACTCTCAGGCATCAGCATCATCTACAAGAAGCCTACGAAGAAAGCCCCCAGTCTGTTCTCCTTCATGTCGCCCTTCTCTCTGGACGTTTGGATTTACATGGCCACTGCCTACCTCGGCGTCTCAGTACTTCTCTTCATGCTTGCCAGGTGATGTAGGACGTTTTTATTTTGGTATTTTGTAATTATGATTTGAGTTTTGTTATAGTTTTTTTGTCTTTTTTTCAGACCGAAGCGACATAAATAGTAAGGATTGTAGCACAAAATAAACGTCTCAGGTTGATATAAAATAAGAAAAGCAATGCAATTCTCTGATACCTACAGTTACATTTCCCAAATTTCTTATGGTGCTGAATAGTTTACGAATTATTCCCAAAGTAACGATGCATAACGTAATACAGGAAACTAATGTCAATTTAATTCCTCATAGCATCTTTCTCCATTGTCTGATCAAATGCAAATAAGGATTTAGAGCTTTCGGCCATCATCGACGGAGGCCTTGGTTGGTTCGAACGCATTGAAGCTTCCTCCATTCCTTTTACCTCACACTATTTCTCTAGGATTAGATGAATTATCCTGTATTTCATACCGAACGTAACTCTTCCTAGCTACTATTGTCGTAACTATTGTATTCGCTTTTATCGTAAACTTATTTATACAAATTGCAATTATTATACAAGTAAAATATCAATCGGCCTCCAATTGGGGATAAAATTTCGTTATGTGTAATTGTCCATCAGCGTCAAAGTGGTGTTTGAGATGCGGAGCTTAAAATGGCAATGTCTAAAGGCTGTAACACCCAACAGAATGTCACCTAAGGAGTGGGATTGTCCTTATCCCTGCATTGAAGATCCTGACGAGCTAGAGAATTGCTTCACGCTCTCCAATTCCATGTGGTTCAATATAGCGACTTTTCTGTGTCAGGGAGCCGATATCGCTCCCAGGTATCTTAATGGCCACACTTCGTGCACTGGAGCTAATACGAGTCTGATTAACTAACTATTTAACTAACTAAATCAAAATTTGCATATACCATTTGTCGTTTTGCGATTTGTAATACTCGAAATCCACGCTGCGACCGTGTTGATTGATAGTCTATTAAATAGTGTTCTAAATAAACTAGTGAACTTTCTCTAATGACGTAACGGGCATGCGGATGTACGGGATCCTCGTTCGATGGGCTTATAAAGTGTGAGCGTTATTAATTCCAAGCACAATTCTTAGGACCGCTGTTCTTCTCTTATAATGACTATTTCAAGAATATATGACTACGCTAAGAAACGGAAACATGACATACTGTAGGTGCTCGTCCAAGTCGGCAGCACAACGTTCAGCGTCACCTGAGACCCGGATGTTTTTTTACACAGTTTCTAAAGACAGCTGTCGTTTTTGCTTTTTCGCTTGAATTTCCCGCTTGAATTTGGACTTGAATTGAACGCTTATTTGAACGCAAACTAAACTAATCCATCCATTGAATCTTGAAAACTCTACGAAATTTAAGTTGTCGCTATCTTACACGAATTCTTAGAAATTTCTCAAACGTACAGTCCTCCTATATCAACGATCAATTTTTGAGTTTGTAAATATTAAAATCGGATTATTTACGAAAATAAAAATGGCATTGAAATTGTGATAATTTTTGTCCATTATTTTAATAAAAAAATTGGTGTTTTTCAATTAATTTAAATATCAATTCATGAAAAAGTATGTCGAAATTAACTCGCTTATTAAAGTATAGTTAAAAACTCATTCACCCCGTTTTTTTCCTAACGTCTCCTATTTATTAAAAATATTATTTCGTTTAATTTCACAATCCCGCCTTCTGCCTTAGTAGAAATAATTAAAACTGGATTGTTTCTGTGACTATTCTATCGTTATACAATTTTTTTAGTAATAATCACTTGTGCCTCTTAAAATTTACAGTTTTCCACAATTTTTACCGTTAACACTTCAACTTCAGAATCTTGATATGTTTTGAGGTAAAAATATTTCTCTAGATAAAAACAGTTTGAATTTTGGTCCTGAAATTTCAATCTAGAAAAATATCGAGGCGCGAAGTCTTGCTCGCCGACTGAGAATAAATTTTAGCTTTTCACTCCTGTAAGCTATAAAACTCTGCTGCCTACTTCCGTCATCACCAACACCATCAGAACAGAAGAAATAAGGGACATTTTTATTAACAAAATTTTAATATCAACTGAAGATGCTATGTGGTGCATGACAACGGATGCAAAAATGAAATCAATTGTGAATTTTATATTATCACGTTTGACTTCTTTTAAGTTACCTCTTCGCATATGAATTCCACCATAAGGATTGTGAGCCATGGAACTTCTTTCGGCACTTCATTTTACCGGATTTAAAAAGAATGTTTTCATAATTCTGCATTAGTAGATTCATTGCTTAAATGAACTATGCAATTATTTAAACTCAACTATAAAATTGACGGTACCGTGATGGCACAACTTCGAGCATCTTCATGCATTTCATCAATTCAAGGGTTTATGCTTCTGCATGCTAACAACATTTTGTGTTTCTCCAGTGCACCAGTTCACTTTCAGTCTAAATATAAAAGCAGTTATCTTGTTTTAACGTCATGCCGGACCTTATGACATTGCTCATTATTTTTCAACGCTATCACTAGTGAAGGTACCATTAGAATCCTTGCATGGGCCGTAAGCCGACGCGTGATTTGTGTCTGATCCCTCCCACGTTTATGTTCCTCCTTTTAATTGGATTTGCGGAAACTCTCATCTGTTTTAAAACAAGGGTTGAGCTATAATCATCGACGGTATCGATGCTATACCCTACAGAATTGCCCCCGAAGAATGGGACAACCCTCACCCGTGTATCCAAGATCCTGACGAGTTAGAGAATGCCATAACCCTGAGTAACGCCTTCTGGTTCACCATTGGTTCTCTCATGCAGCAAGGATCAGACATAGCGCCTAAGTAAGGGGTTCTAGTATCTCTAGTATCCACACGTCATCTATTAGTGCAATAGTTCAGCGCTTCCCTAGCAATTAATAATCTCATCTTCTGCATATTATAAGGTCCTAGAAAAATTTAGTTGCTTTCTTAGTACTCATCATAGTACTCATGCAGCATAGCAATTGTGATTTCTAACATTTACGATTAAACCCCACATATGGGCCGATAGGCACAGCTGGCTAACTTTGCAGCACTACAATCTAGATGATCATCTATAGATAATAATCATGTTTGGGGAAAAATAATTAGGATAATTGACTCCAGGATAAAACATTTGGCCCAAGTTGAATCTTAATCACGTATTAAGGGAAGCTGTCGTTAAATTACTAGCCAATGTTAAATAAGGCTAGAACATTACATTGAACCTGATATGAAACTGATGAACTGGAGAGCAAGTAACCATGAAAATTGTTCCTATCACTCATTGCGAGAATTAGTTTTAAACATTTATATTAACGCTTCCAGGTATAATATCTTTTTGAATTTGCATTCACTTTTCTTTCAGTGTTTTGCCTCACCAGGTTGTATGATAACAGCTCTAAAGTTTAAGTTCAATGCTTCAATGTGATTTAGCAATTCAGCTTCAGAACAGACCTCGACCAAAAAATCTTTCCGACAAACATTTTCATTATTTTGGATAAATTTCAGGATGAATTTTGTGGTGGGGAATATAATAACAACAGAAGATTCAAACATACATCGTAGCAGATTAAAGCTAGCAAAAAGTAGTAATGACATCCATGTCGAACGGAAAGACTCCAGATCATTCAGCGTTCCCAAAGGTTCCCAAGCAAAAACGTCTATTTCTCTTCAGTACATTAATTCAGCATTAATAGATTTCTGAAGTCGAAAAAATATAAGGATTGCAAGAAACGAATTTATCTCAATGGAAACGATCGGCTACTGCTTTATGCACAGTATTTCACTATTCATTAATTACTTTACCGCACACGGAGCTCTGAGAAACACTCCCTCGTCCCAAATCAGTGAGAAGTATCAATAGATCGACAGATTTAGTCTAATATGAGCGAAATAATAATTGCCTCAGACTTTGAAAAGCTGCCTAGACCGCGTTGCTATTTATTTTGCTGCCTTCATTTGCATGTTTTCTCTTCTTTTAAATAATGAAGGCTCGGTTTCGTTTTGTTACTAAACCCGCGAGAAAAGAAGAATCGGCTGGCATGGATTAATTTGAACTTGATTTTAATGTTTCTAACAGGCAATGGAGTTGAGACTTTATTCCAGTCCCAATCGTTATTATTTTGTCTCTCAGATTTACCCCGAGAGTGTTTGTAGAGTGAACTAAAATGTAATGAGTTTAAAAGTTCTTGATGTAAATATCGCCGGCAGAACTGTAAAATTGAGAAATTATTCTTACTTAGTAATCTGATATGCATGATTTTTTGTATAACTGATTAAATAATATTTCTGAATTGGTAGATTGATACTTGAGAAAGTATGTTGGCTATGTTGAAAAAAATTGACAATGAAATTATTCAATCCAATCTGTGAAGATTTATTGTCTAGTGATCAAAAATTTACTCAATGAAATGCAATAGAATGTTTGGTTTAGTGGTTGATATTACGGAGAAAATATAATTAACTTTCTTCCGCACAAATCGTTTACAGTCCAAGGTTAAAAACCTTTAAAAGAAATATATTCTACTTATTACGATGAAAATTTGTCAAGTTTTCATTTCACTTTTCTTAATGCTAAAAATTACATAGAATGACATTACAATATCTAAATGCTTTAGATTATTATTTAGAATATCTGCCAGGGGCCATACTTTCAAAACTCGCTAAGTGAACGTAAGTACTTACGCTCTATTTTCTTGTCTATGATTTGTGGATTTTGCTTGAAAGGCCGTCAATGATTGGCTGAAGAACTTACGATCTTCTAACTTTTTTTTGAAAGTATAGGCCCTGCTTCGTAAGTGCACTGCAAATAGCAGCGCCTGCGTGCGCCTGTAAACGAGAGCACCCGCGGTGCCAGCCCGTGCCTGGTGGCTGGTTCAGCTTACGTGGCCGCTGCTCTCTATGCGCATGTTTCTTTGTCATTACAACACCACATCAGAGTTCACCTTCCTGACATATAAAAATATTATCAGATAATACACATTTTATCATGAATTGCATATCGGCACTTTAAGATATTAGATATGATCTTATAGAACGCGAATTTCAACTCCCGAACACAAGATAATATTATGTGATTATATACATTTTATTGTGAATTGTATGCCAGTATTCAAAGTTAACTTTATAATTTTATGAAGACCAGCTGATATGATCTTAATTTTTATTTAGAAAGGCTACTCTACTGGAGTATTTCCAAAAGAATTCATCCCGGTAGGACAGAAAAATTTACGATTCTACAATATTTATTAAACAGTCACGCTTGTTCGAAATAGAAGAAATGAACGGCAAATTCCTATCCAATCAAATTTCTTACCTAAAGCGCAGTAAAAAAAGTAAATTTATCACTGGGTGCGGTAAGTTTAGTTCAGTTGGTATAGTTTCTAATAATGGCATCAACAAAAGCACCATCTCTATGAACGTGATCAAAATTCGTCTCTACCAATTTTGCTTATCAAAAGCATTCAAACTGCTTTATAGTCGTAGAATACCGAGTGCTGCGAAAATTTCTTAACATCAAAGTTTACGGTGCTGCCAAAACTATTTAATTTAATACAAATAATATATTTTAATTAAATTTCTATGGATGCGTGACTCCAGTTTCATGTTACTCATTACCGGATTTAATTTAGATACGGGATGATTGTATGGTATCATTCGTACGATGTAGGGCGTACACATGACCTGCCGCTCAGCATGCAGCTGCAATTGCCGGTGTGGCGCGAGACATCGCAGGCTGTCGCGGCGGCGACGCCGCAGGTCCCGAACAATATTTTTTGCCGTCCGTTGCGCCGGCCAGCGACCTCAGCTTCGCTACGGTCGATGAACTCGAGATGCTTAAAGTTTATGTAATAAACAAATGATTTAAATTTTGACGCTCATTAGCAGCAGCACGATTATTAACTTTCAATACCATTATCCACGTTCTGTATCATACACAGAATAAGTTTATGTGCGCGCTCGTAAGTTTACGGATGTGGCCCGTATCGTTAAAACCAATCGTATAGGGAAAATACCAATAAAATCAGAGTCTCGCCACGGTATTAAATTTCCTCTTTGAAAAAGATTAGTAATGAAGTGCTTGAATTTAATGTTATAATTTAACGGCCTTTTCTTATTCTCTGTTGCTACAATGAATTCAATCTGAGTGTTTCAATTAAATCAATGTGTAAATTTCTCAATCTCTGACTTTTTACCATTGTAAATTCAACCATTGAAACAGTTAAACCCAGAAAAAACATATTATTGCCGTCTAGCATTGAATTTCGTTATATTATTTTTTTTTGTGGGCACAGATTGGACTGAATTATTTCAAAAAGTTGAGTAAAAATCATTGAAAAGAATATATCAATGATTTGTATTCCGATATTTTTAATCTAGTAGAGATTAAAATTTAAAAAAATAAAAAAAAATTATTCTTATCATCGAACCATAATAGTTGACATTTGCTGGCAAAAATATTGAATTTTTATCGAAGAGAGAATTATTTTCAAACACAATAGCCATCACTGTGAATCCCTCTTGCCTTTCTATTCACTGTGGCTGTAGTTATTTACGAACTTCAGGGCAGTCTCAACCCGCATCGTAGCCGGCATCTGGTGGTTCTTCACCCTCATCATGATCTCATCGTACACCGCCAATCTCGCTGCCTTCCTCACCGTTGAGAGGATGGAATCTCCCATCGAAGGGGCTGAAGATTTGGCCAAACAAACCAAGATCAAGTACGGGTCTAAACTCGGAGGCTCGACCTACGCTTTCTTCAGGTGTGTGCTACGACGACCAAGCGATAACCTAGAGCGCCGAAAGGAATTTATTTTTGGGGAATAATTTTGATTGAAAATTGGCTTCGTTCCAATTTGTTATAAGTATATTCAATATACTTTCAAAATTAAGAATATTGTATTTATGAAACAATTTGAATGTTTGCTAAAATATATTAATCTTACTTTGCGTAGGCCTAATTGTGAAAACGCTAAACATTTTTTTTGGCAGCCTAATTTCTCGTTAGCTAAAAATCGCAAAAGTATTCGTTCACCAGGCATTCGATGCCGATTGCAGCGGTAAAAACCTCTCAGAACATATTTATGTTTCCGTTCCAGTTTTCTTGTACTAAATGATATTTCAATTCACTGAGAGTCATATTTAGTCATACTTCTATTTCTTATTATTAAAATTTTATTTGCAAAATATTTTATAACTTTCTTAATTGCGAAGCACTTCAATCACTTCAGCGCTATCGGAAGAAACAAGACTAAAACTGAATAATTCACCCAATATATTTTCACAGATCTGTGAATATTTTCTATATATTATTATTTAATAAGCATTAATAAATAATATTACTTATTATTTAATTATTATTATTATTATTTAAAACTTCTTGTTTAATTTAATAATAGTATTATTAAATAAAAATACATATCATTTAATTATTATTATTATTATTATTTAAAACTTAATATTTAATTTATTAATAGTACTATTAAATAATAATACTTTTTATTATATTATTATGGCGCTGCAGAGACAGCAAGATCCCCACATACAAGAGGATGTGGACGGCCATGAGCACCGCCCGCCCCACGGTCTTCACGAGCTCCAATACAGAGGGCGTCGAGCGCGTCTCCAAGGCGAGTTGGCTTAATAGAATTTGGCTTAAAACGGGTTAATAACTACGTGATTAATTGGAGTACGTGGGAAATATTCATTCATTGTACGATATTTATCAGAACAATCTGAATTGTTATAATATAATATAATATAATATAATATAATATAATATAATATAATATAATATAATATGTGTAGTGAGTACACGTGAAAATACAAAAAATGATACATACGCTGGTATTACGCATGAAGAAGTGAGTATACGAGTTCACATAAAATTTGAGTCAGAGTTAAATAAGAGGATAATATTATTTCGAAAGAATTGCATTCAATTAATGATATTTCATAAAATAAAAAACCATTATAACAATTTTTATGGAAGCATTATAGTGTCATATTTTTAGCTCTAAAAAGTTAACAAGATAATATACCTAGGGGAGAAATAAAAGGAACTGACGAATTAACATCCGGAATGCTAATGTAATCATACTAATCAAAGGATTGCTTAATTATGCATTAATTTAATCATTATTTTGAGGCAGTCGGACGGCATGTTTGCGTTCATGATGGAGTCATCGAGTATTGACTACGAAGTGGAGCGCCGCTGTGACCTCATGCAGGTCGGCGGCCTGCTCGACTCCAAGAGCTACGGCATCGCCCTGCCTCCAGGTACGGCATCGCCCTGCCTCCAGGTACTGCATCTGCCTCCAGGTACGGCATCACCCTGCCTCCAGGTACGGTATTACCTTGCCTCCAGGTACGGCATCGCCCTGCCTCCAGGTACGGCATTATCTTGCCTCCAGGTATGACATCACCCTGCCTCCAGGTATGACATCACCCTGCCTCCAGGTATGACATCACCCTGCCTCCAGGTAAGACGTTGCGCTGCCTCCAGGTACTGCATTGTCTTGCCTCCAGGTACGGCATCGAGAGATGTACATTCATCGGGAGAAGTGTTAGAGAAGATTATTCTCAAATTATGACCTAGCTTGAACTATAATATAATCAAGGGAAAGATTAAGGTATGAAAACTCCTGAATTAAACACGTGAAATAAAACTTCCTTATCGGAAAACAAAAAATTGGAGTCAATAATTTTATGAAATAGGATTGTCAAAACAAATGAAAAACATTGTTTTCGAAAATTTTTGATAAAAATCTTTATTGTAAATAGTGTGTTCTGGCAAAATTTTGTTCCGATGTTGCTCTGTCAGATGTTCCGATGTTGCTCTGTCATGTTCCGATGTTGCTCTGTCGGATGTTCCGATGTTGCTCTGTCATGTTCCAATGTTGCTCTGTCAGAAATTTCTGCATTGAATTATAACTTTCGGGTCAGTTATTCCAATCATCATACGAGTTTTTCTGCTTAATTTCTTAGGATCTCCGTACACAAACGTGATCAGTTCAGGGATCCTCAAATTGAAGGAAACTGGAGTCCTTCACACCCTCAAGACGCGCTGGTGGAAAGAACGTAAAGGTGGAGGCAAGTGTACGGTGAGTCATGAGCCAAACACATTAATATTAATGAAAAATTATTAAAACGATGATTATCTGCCTTCATTTTTTACGGGCTAAGGGGATTGATTGCGCGTTAAACTGCATGAAATTATTCCTCACTTTTATTCCTGCCTTTGGCATTAAAATTTGTTTCCAGTTTTAACAACTCTTTACATTTTCTGATGAAAAAACTTGTACAAAATACCTCGACGCCGATTTTCAACTGTAAAAACTTTGCAATCCTGGAGTTATATTTATTTTTCATCCGTTGAAATTCGTTCAATTCATCCAAATTGCATGATTTTTCTCTGACCCTACCTCTATTAATCGTTTCAATACTTCAACGTGATGTGAATATGTTTTCATATATGAATTCTCTTTTTGCTTGAACTTCAACAACACAAATTTTTCACAATAACCATTCAAATCAAAGCATCGTTCAATCGTAAAATAAAGGCGCACCCAATTGTACAAACATGATGGCAGAGGCACTATTTGGTTTGAATCCTAGCCTACATACTGCGCATGGGAAGAGTACGACGATCGATGGTGGGTTAAATACTTTCCGTTTCAATTTTGGCCGATGTTGGTTCCATTTCTACGCATAGATTCATGCGATGCTATTATCAGTTTAATTAAATTAACTGCTCAAGCATGGTAAAAACTTTTGCGACTTCCAATTTATTAAGTACAATGGAGATGAGACTTTTCCAAGTTCGAGGAACTCCAAGAAAAGCTAAACCAATATAACAACTATTTAGAAACACAACAGAGAATGTAAGTAGCTGTTTCAGCGATTGAAGGGGAATTCTCGACATGCAATTCAAAAGTCTTCATAGTGATCGAGAGTGAGAAGTTATGATCGCAGCTGAAATGTTGAGACACTTGCTGAGACGCTATGGTGCAGATGGAGGACTCGTCGACATCGACGAGCGGAGCAGCTGAGCTCGGCCTGGACAATGTTGGCGGTGTGTTCGTGGTCCTCATAGGAGGCATGATAATGGCCGCCTTCATGGCCGTCTGCGAGTTTCTCTGGAACGCCAGGGAGCTCGCAACTGATGAGAATGTGAGTGTTTTTCATGTAATTCATGTCAACATGAATAAGTTTGGTGCAGCAATTGATTTTTTATCGTAAATATTTCACTAGAGTAATCTTTTCTCAAAGAAATGTTGATACTTCGAAGTTTCGAACGTATTGATGAAGAATGTTTTCACTATTTCTCTTCCCAGGCGAGCTTCTGTGATGAACTCAGTAGCGAAGTCCGATTCATCATGAAGTGTTCCGGTAACACAAAGGCTGTCCGCAAGAAAGGATCGGTGACTCCAGAAGAACCTTTCATTTATGGATCTTACGGATCCTCTTCCTATGGATATGTATCAAGAAAATGACCTGCCAAACTCTGAAAAAATCTCAGGCTAATCGTATTATGTACTCGCAAAAAAATACTCCTTCTCATTCTAGTTTAATGTTCGGGAAGTCAGGTTGAGAAAAATCTTCAGTGCTGTAAATGAGAAATGAATGAGCGTCTAATTTTTTCCAGAGTGAGAAAGTTAGATATCCTAGTACCTAATGTATTGTAATTTTATTATCTTCCTATTTTAGCGCTTAGGTGAATATTCTGTGATCGTCTGTGTGTCGTTAAATCGTTCAAGAATATTTTAAACAATAATGACTTATCAGTGATGCACTGAAAAATGGCAGTTTTATTCAATGTCGACAAAGCGAAACCCCTCGACGATGTTGAAAGGGGGTGTTGTGTAATTGAGGAGCAGTGCATGGATGTTCAGAAGGCAAGAGAAGTCAACGTCATTGTTATTAGTGAATAACGACAAATTGATTCTCAAAATTTGTGCAAAACCTCAATTTAAAACAACCGTGATAGAAATATTTATTTAACTCGAAAACAATTTCCTGGCAAACGACGGAAAAATTAAATGATCTCAAACGAGTAATGGAAATCTACGATCCCTTTGACCGGTATCAGCACAGGTACTTTCCACTCTCGTGATACTAGGCGCATTGGAGTTATTCTCGAAAAAAATTCTGCTTCAACCTATAAAATATGGTCGCGAATACATTTTTTAACAGAAGTTACATGCCGGAAAAAAATACGCAGATGAATGAAATGTCGTCAGTGTTCAAAGTCAAATGATGAACTGAGTTTATCAATTTTGAGAGCGGATTCAAAGATGAAAAAACTGTGTTCTTGTGTGTGACTTCTCAGCGCTATCCATGTACATATCAATTGTGAAACAAAAACTGGGATGAAACGAAGCATGCATTTATAAAAATTTTGCAGCACTAAATTAAAGAAATTGTCATTTAAACAATTCGACGAAATGAAAATTAACGACGTGAGAATAAATGTTTAAATAATCCAATAGCAACGCTTCAAAAACATAAACTACATTTAAAATTATATACAACTGCCCATAAACATCGGTGAAGGTGATTATTGAAGCTACTTACCTGAAGATTGTTTACAAATGATTTTACAATAGCCAGTTGTTCCATTTTCGTTTGCTGTGGTTATGCATCCGTGAATTCTGTGTGGTATAATTTACTGCATGTTATCTTAACTACTCTTTGTGTTTTTGCTGTAAGAACTAACTATTCGAAGATAAAAGTTGTGTGCACCTGCTTCTGTGGTGGATTTCAACTTAGAGACAGAAAACAGGAAAACAGTTTTATTTCGATTATTGTTATGTTTTAGTATGAGGATAATTTCAGTAAGGCTTTTCGAATGATTATGTTCTGAAGTTGACGACTTATCAACGCATGAAATATTATTTGGCCGTTTAAATGCCTTTAATTTATAATATCGAATAAGTATCTTCATCATAAAGTTAACCCAGAACTATTTTATCGTAGTTTTTTATTTCGATTAAAATGCACATGAGTTTCATGACCTAATAGTCATCTAACGTTGAAACAATGTAGACTAAACGTTGTTCCAACGAGATTACCTCGGATTACCTCGTACATAAGGTTGCTTACACTTTATTTGCCTGACGGGCGTTTGTTTGTGAACTAATTTTTGGTGGCTTCAGTGGCTTGGGTTTTGATTTTGCCAGACGGAAGATGAGGAGGACGGCGCTGAAGCAGCTGAGCTCGGCCTGGACAATGTGGGCGGCGTGTTCGTGGTGATGGCTGGGGGACTTGCGCTCGCCTGCGTCACCGCCTGCTGCGAGTTCACCTGGAAAGCCAGGAAACTGGCCACCGAAGAGGGGGTGAGCCGTGAATAATTTGTATCTGGTTTTTAAATAATATTTGAACATTTGGAACCGTTACTGGCCACCGAGGAGGGGGTGAGCCGTGAATAATTTCTATATGGCTTTTAACTTGAATATTTTGACATTTGGAACCGTTTCGGAACAGGGAAAAGGAACACATATGAATAGATGATACACCATTGTTTTCAAGCCTATTTCTGCGCATTTTCGTGTCATTTTTAATTTGTTTTCTTCAGATACCTGCCAATAGACCAAAATGACCGGCCTTTATGCTATTTATATAATTCGATTGAGAGAAATCAGATCTAATTAAAGGGCTCAAATCTTGTTGCTTGCAGGCGACGTTCTCTGACGAGCTGTGGAAGGAGATCAAGTTCATTTTGAACTGCTCGGCGAATAGCAAGCCTGTGCGTAAGAAGGCGCCCCCTCATGACTCCGAGTCCAATAACTACGCAGCTGGTGGATACGGCTTCACTCCTGACGTGCTGAACTGACCTGCTGACGCTGGCGGCTACGGCTTCACTCCTGACGTGCTGAACTGACTCGCTGGCGGCTACGGCTTCACTCCTGACGTACTAAACTGACCTGCTGACGCTGGCGGCTACGGCTTCACTCCTGACGTGCTGAACTGACCTGCTGACGTTGGCGGCTACGGCTTCACTCCTGACGTGCTGAACTGACCTACTGACGCTGGTGGATACGGCTTCACTCCTGACGTACTGAACTGACCTGCTGACGCTGGTGGATACGGCTTCACTCTTGACGTTCTGAACTGACCTACTGACGCTGGTGGATACGGCTTCACTCCTGACGTGCTGAACTGACCTACTGACGCTGGTGGATACGGCTTCACCCATGACGTGCTGAACTGACCTGCTGACGCTGGCAACTCTTTACTCTCAACATACTGACGCTCACAGCTACGGCCTCTCTCATGATGTACTAAACTGACCGGTTAACGCTGTCTGATGTGCTAATTTGTTTTGCTTATATAGTGGCAGACGTAGCTCCATTACTGACATGTCCTAATTCTGGTGCTGTTAACTGACGTATGACCATTGCCATGGCGGTGAAAATTAATGAACTGAAGCTGACAGTTGGGGCTGTGCGAACGACGCATAGAAGTGACGCTTTGATGCTAGTAATGACTTCTACCCTCTTGTTCAGAAATGACGAGCTAATTCATCCACTAATAACGTGCTGTATATCCTATAATTTCTTATTTTAGCTGAAGCTTTTGATGCACACTGAGTCTATTTAAAACATTCAATTATTTTTCCATTAGCATCTACCTTATTTTTGCCGACAGGGTTTGAAATGGCTTTTGATAAATGAAAACTGATTTCTAATTCTTCCATATCGTAATATTCACGTAGAATTTAATGATTTGGATTTGTGCAAATTTTGAAAGGGGCTCTAATTTGCCTATAAAACTGGATGCAAAAAGATATTTACAGGATGAAAATTTTTAAATCAATGCATTCATTCGGAGAACTTCTTAAGAGTTATTCTAGCGTAGTAATTTTAATTTGCAGGCAAATAAATGTGCATTGAATGTGAATGTTTTTCTACAGGTGATGTCTTCAACTTGATGTTAGATGTAATTTGTTTGTTGAATTTGAGATGATGGATTTAAAGATGTTTTTCCGCTACAAATGAAACCCATTCGGGCCTGTGTATCTAATGCATTAGAGGATACCGTGTGGCGTCTGCCAAATTTATCGCTAAAAGCACGCTAAAAGGACATCAATTTATGAAAATCAAATTTATCTTAACAATCTTGGTTTCATTCCTATTCCTTCTTTGGAGCCTTCATAGCATTTGGGAAAGTGTTAAATTTTATTATACTGTGATAGAGGCAATTTAAATGAAGTGAACTATAAAAATTTCTCATGAAGTCGATGTGCTGTCTGGTGAACTGTGGAGTCAAAAAACGAGTTCAATTGTGAATCTCTATTGAATTTTATTTAATTACAACTCAATTGAAATGTAGATTCAATCTTTAATTTAGTTGCGAATCTTCAATTCAGTTTTTACGATTATTGGACGTTCTCGGATAAATTAAAAAATATATTTAATTAAAAATTTTTACCGGTACTGTAAAAGTTATTTAAATAGTCTATCCATAAAAGAAATTGAACTCATTAAAATGATTACTGCTCAAACATAAATGGTTCAATCAGAATGGAAATTACTGTACTATATGCCTGGTATAATTGAACACTAACTGTCTCGATGAGCAGAACAGACTCTAATGAGGACAATTCTGACCAAAAGCATCGCGTTGCTTCAGCAATAAATTTCCTTGTATAGGATTTGACCAAAACTGAGTTAAATGAGAGCGGAAAATTAATTGAATACTATCAAAGGCTTTATGTGAAATATATTTCTAAAGCAACTGTAAGCGGTTACGTCGGGTGATATAAGTTGTTATGATTCATAAAGCATAACTACTTTTAGAATGTGATCAGTTTCAGCGAATAAAGCTGTTCGGTGCGATGGATGCACACTTATAAGACGCTGTATCAGCGGACCACCCTCATATGCGGTGTGTTGTCCTGCTCGATAACATCGATCGGAGACCACGAATCTTGAACTCGAGATCGTACGCTACTTGTTAGAGAGCCTTTACTCGAGCGCTTGTGAGGTGGGTCTTGAGTGGGTAGAACATTTGCGGAATTTAATGTTGTCAAAGGTTGTGGATAAATTCGTATACTTAATCCATGGCGCATATCAAACGAGGGTAACACAAATAAAAAACCAAATAAATACTTATTTGAATTAATCATCCATATTGATCATCATTTCGGCTGCACATGTTTTAATCTTCTTGCTTATTGCATGCAATTATTGCTGAATTTCAAACATGATAGTCTGATTTAGTCTCGAAGTAACTCTGCGCTCACTGCCATAGTTGGGAGAATATTTCAGGAGTCAAATCTGGCAGACTATGGCTACGTTCAGGTTTTCTTACTTGATTTTCTGAAGTTTAGAGTTTCTTGATTTTTTTTCTTGTGAAGATCGTTGACGTTACAGATGCAGATCCCGTTGCGATGGATCACTGTTGCACTGGTGATCAGTACGTTATCTTCAGTCTCGTGCGAGGAAGGGTCGCTACGGGACAGTGGGCGTGATGAGAGTCTCTCGCGTATTCAGAATATTGCAGCCAAACCTGAGGCGCCCGCAACAAGCTCTCAACCTCTTAATGTTAATGGCACTGTGTCTGAAGAAACTACATTAGCTAAATCAAAGACTTCGAAAGCGGAAAATGCTACCATCTCCAATACAAATTTGGTTAAAAATGTCCCCAATGCTTTTAAGACTGGCGTAGATAAAGCCAAAGAAGAGACTAAAGAACTTCAGGAGGCAAATAAAAGTTCAGATTCGTTTCGAGAAGATCTAGAAGAGCGTTCTGGAAAGCTCCTAGCGTACTACACTACAAAGACCAAAAATCTTTTTGCCACGACGTCCATTTCAGTGCTATCTACTTGTTTCTCTGCCACCAACACGGCGTGTACGGGCAGAAGGAAGAAGCGGTCTCTCGACAGGGGTGTCGATGTGACAGGTTTTGACATGCCAAGGTAGGTCCACAATCTCTGCATATTCTTTAAGTAAGACTCACGATGCACGTGAACTTTCTTTATGTAAAATTCATGCTACATCTGAGCTTATATGTAAACCAATTCTTTGTATTGAGCTAGTGATGTCTGTATATGTACCTATGTAATGTAGGTGAAATTATGTTTCCTGTTAATAACGTAATAAAGTTGGGTTATTCCATGAACAAAACAGTGACACGGTTATTTTTATTGGAAAATAAACTCACTTGAGTAGGATTATGAAAACGATGACTCATAGCAGCCTAGATCAAATGAATTAAAAATTAACCATATTTTTCCTCAATGGCAGTTCAACCAACTTGGACGGGACCGTTCAGGAACCAAGCGAGCCAAATTACGCGACTGGAAATGTTAGTGGTGATCGGGACCCTAAAAAATTTACGATATGGAGTACGTTATTCAGCACCTACACTCTCACGTCGACTTATTACTTCTCTGGCACCACTGTGACCATCAGCGGCGCTTGCAGCATCGCAGGAATGGGAAGTTCTTGCTTCGGGTAGAAATAATTCGGATTTTGCTTTGATCAGTAACTACTTGATGATGTAACGAAACTTATTGTTCTTTAAAACTTGATACAATTTCGCCAGACCACGTAATTACATTTCGAATCGCATAGCATGACTTTTCTTGAGAAGTTATGTTGCAACAATCGATTCCAATGTAATCGCGCACGAATTAATACACTTGATGTTGAAGTGACAAGTACACATTCTAAGATCAAACTTAATATTCGTCAGTCAAATTTGGATTAAAAAAAATTGTGTTATTAAACTGTATCTCCTTCTACTATACGATGTTATTTTACACATTTAGGTGAAACTTTCCCTTACTTTTTTATCATCTTTAGATGTTTTATATTCAATAGAATTTTTTGTATTTTAGCATAAAGAATTCATTCAGCACACGCCAATATTGTTTTTTTAACCTTACAAACTCATCTGGAGTGTTTATACTGAATCCAGTGCATTAATTCAAAATAATGACTATAAAATTAATTGTTTATCTATATAATTATAAATATTAGTGTGGGCTGGCAGAATTTCTTCTCTTAAACAAGTTTTGTTAAAGACCAGAGAGTTAGTTTTATTTATTAGCTTCTTGCTAGTTTTTTCAATAAGTCGTACTAGATTCTTCGTAGCTGTTGGAAGATTGAAAATTAAATTACCGATAGAAATTTTTAATATTGAACGACGTTTCAAATGTACAACATTCATTTTCAAGTTAAAGACGCTTTGAGTAACGAAATTTGGGTCGACATATGTACGAAATCAAGTAAATTGGATACCATTCAAATAATGCTAAAATTTCGTTAATGTGATACTACCTACATGAAGATTTTACAAGCGCAAAAAAACTATTCGGCAAACAATCTCAAAGTTCTGACGAAGCCGGTGGTTTGAAGGTTGATAGCTGGAGTCCTCTCCTTAATGATGAGGGCCTCTGCTATAGCCAGTCGTATAGGATCGGGGCATCGCATAACAATACTGGTGATCGATAAATCGCATAACGATAAACTAACTCTCTAGCTGGTCTTTAACAAACTTATTTAAGGGAAAATAATTATAAATGCATATACATGTAAATGTAAATTTCAATATAAAAAGAGATTAATAAATAGATATTGTTTTCATGCTAATTTTTAACTATATAGCGACCACACAACTCTGTTTATTTGTTCTAATTAAAAATATTTGTAAGCCTCCTCCACCCACAATAGAATAGTTTATTGCAAAAGCATTGTTTTCCGATAAAAATTTCACTAGTTTTTGAGGAAATTTTTGAAGGAAATGCACCGTCTATACGCACGCGATGTTTAAAAAGCCACGAAAAAGCCTCAAGGTTTTCTAGTAGCGCCTCCCAGCAGCCAAGTGAAGGATGGTTTTCTCTAGCGCATTGAGCACCGCTGATGAACCAATTTATTTTTCGTTTAAAATGTAGAAATGATTATTGGAAATGTAGATACATGTATGAATTTAGGTCCATCTATTAATTATTATTCACGGCAGGAAGCTCACATTTCTGAATAAAATTGGGAAAAATCCTGCTGGATATGGGTTTTAGTAACTCTGGACTCGTTTATATTAATTTCTTAATTTAGTTCACTTCAAATCATGGGATCGCTTTATTTATGTTAAAATTAATTGGTACATTACGTAGAAATAAACAAAAACATGATATGTACTTTCTTAACTTTTTGTGTCAATTGAAATACGTAAATTACGAATGAACGCTGCTTAATCCTTTAACTTCTAGCAGCACACAATGTCGGCTGTAGAGAAGACGTTTTCTGTTTATGCATGACGCTCATTCGGTCTTAGCTGCGCTTTATTAATTTTTTTTCCAATGAATCAATTTAAAAAAATGTGATATGGATCCAATGTGGGGGTTTGCACTGTCAAGAAAATTGGTCGCTAAAGGGATAATTGTATTTAAATATTTATGACAGGTTATTTATTCAATTAAGGTTACTTTCAATAATTATTTCATGATATCAAGATCTATGAAAATTAACTTGAGCATTAGTACACTTTTTACTTAATGCACTTCATACTCCAATTTGGGGAAAAGCTTGTCGCTGTCGTATTTAGTCTTTCTAACTTCGCCGCAGATGTTGCTGCTGTTTGTGCTTCTAGCCTTGAGCCCTGCGGCTCTAGGTGACTCCCAAGATTTAATACTCGGGCAGAGAGAAGCCAAACTACTGGCGTTTTTTAGGAGCACGTCGCTGACAAGCATTGCCACGTCCACTAAATTTGCGCTCTCGACTTGCTGGTCCACATCAAACGTTGCTTGCTCTGGACGGCGAAAGAGACGAGCTCTTATCAGCCCTAAGCATGACGCTGTTCGGTAATTATTCGTATACGTATTGTGTTAGCTATGTTCAGTTATGCATGAAAAGAGAGTTTAATTTACTTTTACGGCTGTATAGGCATTTGCTCGTGATTTTTATTAATTAATCCATAAATGAATAGCATTTCTTTATAAAGATGTTCGTTTAAATGGCTAAAGGTTTGAGTTATATAAGTAAATTGCAGTAAAGTCAGAGATGAGGTCATTAACATAATCATCCATTATAAAGAGCCAAATATCAATCCGATGCAAACGATTTTTGGACAAACATTATCAAATTTATCTCATGGTGCTGCCTGTTTAAGTACTTGACTGAAAAAAATTATCTTATAAAAATTGAATTCTCTGCTATTTCTAACCATTTTGTTTATTAAATGTTAGTGAACTGGAAGAGAACCTGCGTTTGGACAGCAGCGTGGCACTCCCCGGAGAGTCATCAGCATCTTTCGTGGATAACAATAACGGCGTCGAGAGATCTGGTCGCAAACTCACCGTGTGGACAACCGGCTTCACGACCGTGACCATCACAACAACTTCGTATTATGCTGGAACGACCGTGTCAATATCAGCTCTGTGTACGATCCCCGGCATGTCTGCGTCGTGTTTTGGTTGAGTGAACAGCAAGACTCGTTCATCGACTCAAGACATATCTGACGATGGTCAACTCGAAATATCAAATGTTATTAGTAAATAGATGGCCATGGAATACAATTTCGTGCCTTGTAAACTCAATTTGATATTGATTTGCCGAACAATTATTTGTTCTATAGCTTTATGTGCCACTCTGGATCAGAATATCTCTTGTGTAAATAATTTCTTAACTTGTTTTGTGAATAATTTCTTAACTTTTGAACGAATGTACAGATGTTTTTAATGAGAATTGATGTCACTTAACTCTGAGGAAAATCTTACACTAGTGCTAAAAGTTTGGTTCATTTTTGTTAATACGGCAATAAAAATATATGTTTACATGCAATGAGTTTCAAGCCATTTATTTTTCAGCTGTAGTCTGAGTGTATAAACTGAAGAATATTTGATAAGGAAACTGCAGCAATAAATTATCTTCCTCTCACACACAGACTAATTAACAGTCATATACGATGTATAAAACTGCTGCAGCGACTCTTGATTGCACGATTCGCCGAGAATCTCGCCCTGAGGATGAACGCTTTTCAAACGCTGACGCAGATTAGTGAAGTAAAAGTTTAATCTCAAACTCAAAAGTGATAGACGAAATGCGTGGCCAAAACAAACATAGGTGACGGTATTCAACTATCTTTCTTGATATATTCCACTATCTCAAGTTGTCAAGTATATACTTTTCAAACATGATAAATTCAACTATTCAACTATTTTCTTACTTATGAACGAAGGCTAGATGGTCAGTGGTCTATATTTTCTAGTAATATCTCACTTTTACATGAGGTGCTTAGATTTTTTGAAATGCAGATATGTAAAAATTTTAAGGTAATGACTATAAATACATTGAAAATGTAAAAATATTAGATTCAGTCATCGTTGACATTATAATCAGCGAAAATTACCGAATAGTTTAGACGTGATTGCACGTGATTGATATGTTGATTTATACCGAGTACCTTCTACATTGGTAATCAAATTTGAATCAGAATTGAATTACGAGTGAAGGCCTATATACTGCTGGATATATACAATTAAATAGTGATTGAACAGTATGACGACGCTCACGCAATTATCACAGCTGTTAAATTTATACTTAGTATGAATTATTGTATCAAGGGAGATTGATTTTTATCAAGGGAGATTGATTTGTATCACGTGAAGAGAAAACTAGAACTGACTTGCCACGAATGAATAAATTTTTTATACAGTGAATTTTATTCATATTGTTGAAATGTTTTATTAGAAAATTATTGCAAATATTTGAGAAAAAACGTACGTCGTGCAGAAAACACGGAATTATTTGCGTTGAGCTACGCATTATATCCCTTAAGTGGATGTTTTGAAAGGTTACTTTATTTTCCCAAAATAACATTTTAAACTATGGATTAAAACAATATTCTTTAGTCGAATTTTTTAAATAATTCTTTTCAGTGCTTCAATTTGTTATAATAAATCGAATACTGTGGCGTAGCAGAAATGGAATTGAAAGGAGATCTTCCATTGTTTTTAGTTATTCTGGTGATCGTGATTCACTGTGCTCACGGTCTTGCGACTCAAAATACTTCATTGGCTGTGAAAGTACCGAAATCTCAAGCTAATAACAATTTATCGGATGATAACAACTCTACAACTTCTTGGCTCCTCAAAGAATCAGAATATTCATTGAACTTCGATTGGCCAGGTCCCAAAGAAAATCACCTCAAAGTTCAACATAATGTGTTTGAGAATCAACAGAAAGCTGTCGAGCAGGGCCTACGTAATGCCAGAATTTTCGCGTTCCGTTCGTACACTTCGCGCACTCTGATCGTATCGAGCACCGTACTCGCCTTGAGCACATGCGTTAGCTCCATCAATACCGTGGCGTGTGTGGGGCGACGAAGGAGGAAGCGAATGAACGTTGCTGCGCCACATATCAACCTCAAGTAAGATAATACATTCTAGGAGTAAATGAAATATTGTAAGTACATGAAGAATTTTCCTCAATCGAAGAATATAATATGGTGATGGTAGAAGCCTGTGTGACTAAACGAAAGTAATTCATTATCGTTTTTTCAGTATTTTGAATTGTCGTCAAAAAGGTACTTTCAATCCTTATAAAAATTCATATTATACATTATTTTCTGATTACGCTACACTTACAGATCAGATATTACTTTCTTAATGACATGTCAACGTCGTTGCAGTGAGCAGTCTTTAGATGTCCTCTACCCGAGCCTGATGGAGGCAGAAGTCGCTGCAACAACGCAGAAACCGCAGCCAGAACGCATGCCTAAGAACATCTTCACCATTTGGACGACCGGCTTCACCACCGTCACGTTCTTAACAACTTCTTACTACCAGGGCATTACGGTCTCCGTATCTCTTGCCTGCAACCCTGGCAATGCGGTTACATCCTGTTTTGGTTGATGATGTCTCTGCTATATATACCGCTGACGTTCGAATGGTTGGAGTCTCTGATATCACGATAAGATGTGTATACCATCGACGTTTGAATGGTTGGTGTCTTTGCTACATAACACCGACGTTGATGTCTCCGTTACCACCGACGTTTGAATGGTTGATGTTTCTGTTTGAATGGTTGGTGTCTCTGCTATATACCACTGATGTTTGAATGGTTGGTGTCTCTGCTACCACCGACGTTTGAATAGTTGGTGTCTCTGTTATCATTGGCGTTTGAATGGTTGACTTTTAAGCCTTAAATTAGAGATATAAACTTTTGTTCGAAAATATTCGTTCGCACTCGGGTGCGAACGTTAAAAACCGTTGGTATAAAAAAGAAATCCAAACCAGAAAACAATTGTTTATGAAAGCCAAATAATGTGTCTATATATATTTCAATTAGAATATATAAAATTAAATTTTTTCAAATATTAATTGAAGGGACTGACTGTAATGCGATGTTATCTTGAGCTCTATAGTAAATATCAGTATATGCTGCACTTAATTATTTGCCTTCTCGACTATTCCTTTGAATAAATTTGGTTTGAAAAACATAATTGAAACGTACAGCCAGTCTTGCGTACGTGGGGAACAGGTACAACAATTGTTTAGGTTCAATAATCGTATTTTACCGTTTAGGTTTAGATGGATATACGTACATGATTGCTTGTCTGTGGGCAGTTAAAACAAAGTTATGACTGTGCATGTGATGTTAATTTCTCAATAATATGTTATATCTACTTTCAAATTATTTTGCGTAAGAAATTAAAAACATTAATATTCTTTTGATCATATATGTTTGTTCTAAATCGTCATGAACTTTTACTTCGATCTGCCCCGGAAAATTAGTAACACATTTCCTTCGGTGAGCGGCCAATTTTGACTGCATCGATTCTACGACCGAGCGACTCTTGGGTGAAGAGAATAAAATAATTTCAAATGAAAACCAAGTTCAATCAGTGACATGTTAACTTTGAAGCAACCAAGTCCACCACAATTCGACTTAATTAATTTTATTTACTTCGGAAAGGTTAGTTTTTAAAGAACAATGAGCTGAGCATTCAGCATGATCCAGGATCGGTCTTCAGAACACATATGTGGATCTGAATAACAGAGCCCTCTCCCTTCTGCTATGCTATAACGCGTAGAGGCGTTCAATTTCGAAATTTTGTCCTCTTTTAGCGTTAAGTAAGGACAATTTCACAGCTCAATATTTTGCATAGTAGGAAATATAGCGGGTTCGAAAAGAAAAACTATTGCTTTATTATGCCAGACAACCCACTAACCAGATCTCGAGCAAGTAAAGACGTTGAGAACGGTTATTGCTATTGAGACGAAAGCATTTTTTTGCCCTGCAAAATAAGAGAGGTATATTGTATATTCTATCCTCCTTAAAAATAATTTGGAGTCATCAAGCAAAAACGAGCAAAAAATGGGCGCCACAGGTTGTAAAAACCAGACTTTGAAATTTATAGGTGCTGAAATTAATGTTCCCGTGCATTGTTAAAGCTCTTTCTGGTCATACCAAAAATTATGTAAGCACGAAATGGCGCTGAAACAATCAGTTACATCAGCAAATAACTGATTTTTTTTTAAATTTCTTGCAGATTATGCTAGTTTTTCTAGTGAGACTACCTAATCAACTTATAATAAGTTTTAAAACTTATTCAAATGATTTTTAAGATTTTACAGATGCATCGGACAGGTATCACTAGAATGTGATATTCAATCCAGGGTTTTCTTTTTTTGCTTCGATCAATTGGTCCTCAAAAACTAAGATGAGTAATGAGTACATGACCAGGAAATTCGGGCAGAAAAAGCATGTTAATATAGATGCATGTACTTATGATATAGCGATCAAAAGTTTTTCAGACCATGAATTTGATGAACAGGAAAAGACTATGAAGAATTTACATTATAAAAGGGGCATAGAGAGCTTAACTAGATCAGTTCGAGTCTTTTTCGATATGGGCTAGTCTTATTCCAAGCTACAGTACGCAAGCTTTGACGTATTTTGAGATGGCATTATTTTTAACTTCTTCAATTTGAACAATAGACAATTTTCAAATTTAACACTATTTTCATCGTCATAAATGAGAGGCAAAATCTTATGAAGGCCTTTCTACGATTATTTTCTATTCTTAGCTTGTAAATGAAAATATTCATAAAGTGGGTGTGAAGATGTCAATTATCGTTTCCTTGCGTAAAAATTTTTTGAATCTTTTGTGTAAAATTTCACATGTTCGACTGTACCTCAATGAGTATTTATAAATTTACCGCCGAAATGTGAATCATCTCTGATCAATAGATCCAAGATCCCATACGAATTTTGCATTATTAATCTGAATCACAATTTTTTAAATTTAAAAAGAATTTTAGAAAAGAGAGAATTTAGAATTAGAAAATTCAGAAACAAATCAGATTTGTTTCACATTTAAATCTTTCGATATAGAATGAAAAAAATTAATTCATGTAGGTAAATTAATTTGGAAAAAATTTTCCTAGCAAAATAATTTTCAGGGTCATGACTGTCAGACTTCAAATTTCATAGCTAGCATTTTTAAAGGAAAATATCTAGTTATTTAATATCTATTATGTGTCATTGCCTTTGTATTTTTCTAGATAAAAACCATGCTAAAAGTGATTTTGTTGGCTGTGGTGCTAAGCGTTCACCTCAGCGTTGCGTCTGAAGATGTCGGGAAGGTGGCACCTCAAGGAGAGGCTCTCAGCTCCGGAGGTGAAAATGCCGATGGAAAAATTGCTGATACCGACGAAAAAGCGCGGGTGAAGATTAGAAGTCCGGACGAGAATGATCCAGAAAACCCTGACCGCAGTGCAAAATTTTTTGCGTTCTACACTTCGAAAACCAAAGCCATAATAGCCACTTCTACGGTGTACATGCTGTCGACGTGCTTCTCAACAACAGATACGCCCTCATGTTCGGGGAGGCGCAAGAGAAATGTCTTTAGTGATAAAATGAACCCGTTCTTCATTGACGAGTAAGCATTAGAAAATGTATTTCTTTGCAATGATTACTCCATCAATTATATGAGCAGAGAGGCTGATAGGAAAATTGTCACGATGAATTAATTATTTTACTTCTAAAGCAGTTCGTTCCAATGCAGAAATCAGAGAGAAATCGAATTTCGAATGTATATGAGTTCTAACTTGAAAGGAAAAAAATAAACTAATATTACATAACTATGTTATAGTTTGACGAATGTTGTTCTTGATTTTGCAGTGGAGGCAACATGATCAGCAGCAGTTTGAGCGATCCAGACTTCGAAGTAAACTCTGACGCTAGGAAGCCGTCGGGCAAGAAGTTCACGATTTGGAGCACGTTATTCTCGACGTACACGGTCGTCACGACCTCGTATTATTCCGGGACCACCGTCACCGTGTCCGCTCTCTGCAACCCAGGCTTCGCTGCTTCATGCTTCGGTTAACGATAAATATGGTGACCGGTCATAAGGGACACTCAACCATTCAATGGCCACGTGTCAGCTAATCATATTGGATTATCTGGAATTAGTAGCAATTCTGAAAATTTCTTGCGGGCGATTTCTATCCAGCACCCGAAAATTGTTATATTTTTGGGCATATTTCTAAAAAATCGGTTTGTACGCGATGATGGCGAATAAAAAACAAAATGGTACTAAGCTCATTTAAATCTGGGAGTTCCATCATTGCCATGTTGTAACCTGACAAGCAGGCTAATAGCAAGGCTCTGTCAGACAGGATGTGCATGATGATGGTAAGGCTTATACGGTAAAGCTGTTAAACACGGCAGATTAAATCCCCATTGCCTGGGAGGGTGGTTCATGACCATGACGAAATCGATGATAAAACGCACCAATATATATCGGCAGATGAAGAGGTAAATAGTACGGTATCATCAACATCAAGCTAGCACGGTACTCATGGAAGTATTGATTCACACACACACACACACACACACACACACACACACACACACACACACACACACACAAACACACTCAAATACACTCGCAACTCAGTGAATATTAACATAATTCAAAGACACATCAATTTTTAAGACATGACCCTCGGTTTTCTACTGTTCTGTCATTTCCTTTTTAGAGTCAAGGCATAAATGCGACTAAATTTTTTCGAACTCAATGAATTCATATAAACTTAAATTGTGCTGATCCAATATTTACTACTATGAAATAGTGCTTCTGAAATACGCGACTGATAACAAAATTTTCTTAGTGATTTATTGTTAATGATAATATCTTTAGTTAATTATATTTTAATGGTTGATGTTACATAGTAAATCTCTCGTATCTGTAAACTATTCTTGTCCTTGCCTTTTGAAATAATCTCAAATCCTTTTTGTCTTGCGTATGTAAAAAAATCTACTCATGCGCATTTAGTTTCGATGGGTGCAAAGTTCTCCGAAAATTTTTTAAAAGTGTTCACTTTTTATTTATATTTTGAGGATTTTAATTACGCAAAACATTTGCCCAGCGTCCATGTTATCGCAAGAAAACCATGTAAAATGGTTTTACATTCATAGTTCATGACGCTTAAAACAAAACTCTATGAAAGTATTTTTTTCATCCAACCGATTTTTTTCGGTACAGGAAAACTTCAGCGCTAGTTATAAGGGGAGGCAAGCCTAAGACGCTAGAACAGTTCTGCGTTTTTTCAATCTAGGTTGATTCATAAATTTCCTGTGACACACTATAGTAGACAGGGCAATATAATGATGCCAAGCTCGTAATTAAGGCCATTGATTTTTTAGGGATCTGAACTTGCCCTGAGTACTTATTAATTGTTCACCAATTAGAAATTAAAAGCATCGCGATATTTGAATATGTGATCTCTAGACCTTCCTTTCAACTAGGGCTAAGCTAGATCGGCGGGCTTCCAGTCTAGCCTCCTAAGCTAGAATCGATGGAAAACATTTTCTAACTCTCAATAATTCCTGAATATACTTGATATAGTGATGGGAGGTAAGCAACACATTGGGCATTGGTCTACAAAGGTTACACGGTTAATCTTATTTGCTCACCTAGTGACACCTTATACAAGTATTTATACGAGGGGCACAAGTTATTCAGAGGAACGACGAAGTGAAAGTAAGCGACGCTCGAAATGTTGCCACCGTCGCTTGGTTGAGTTAGTTTTGTTCTAGAGCCAACTTTGATTACTCGAAATAACTGCTATTACAAAATCTTAAAAAGTAAGTGAAAGTAAGCGACGCTCGAAATGTTGCCACCGTCGCTTGGTTGAGTTAGTTTTGTTCTAGAGCTAACTATGATTACTCGAAATAACTGCTATTACAAAATATTAATACTATTACAAAACTATCGGACCTAAAGATATCTAAACTGGCCATGCTTAACTGGCTTACAATGATGATTATTTTTATTTTATTTTAGACTATTTGATATGGCTATCGCAAGAGACTACGAAGACCATACATATTTACGGTATTAAATATGCGACAAAATCCGCTTTACACCTAATAATCTCAAAAGGATTATAATAATCTCTCAGCAATAGTTGGTGTCTCTGCTATATACTACCGACGTTTGAATAGTTGGTGTCTATGCTATATACCACTGACGTTTGAATGGTTGGTGTCACTGCTACCACCGACGTTCGAATGGTTGAGGTTTCTTCTTCCACTGACACTTGAATGGTGATGTCTTTGCTTTCACCGGCGTTTGAATGGTTGACTTTAAGCCCAAAAATTACAATGGAATATTAATTTTGGTTCAAATTTTATTCGTTGGCACTCAGGTGCGAACATTAGAAGCTAGTTGATATGTAAAAAAATTACAGTTTTTTACCGAGAAATCCAAATCCAGAAGCAATAGTTGCGTTTTTTTATGAAAGCCAAATATTGTATCTATGTTCATTATTATTCGAATATATAAAACGCAATTTTTTCCAATATTAACTAAATGGGACTGATTGTAATGCAATGTTATACTTGAGTTCTATCGTAAATATCAGTTTGTGCTGCATGAAATTATTTTCCTTCTCGACTATCCCTTTGAATAAATTTGGATTGACAAACACAATAAAAATTTACAGCCAGTCTTGTATCATGGGTAACAGGCACAACAATTGTGTACACTGTTAGAAAAATTTCCGTTTACGGTATTACCGGCGTTTCAGTGGCCGGTCGGCACGTGAAAAGAAACACCGTGTCGCCGTTTTATTCTAATATAACACTAGAAAACGGTAGAAATCCGTAAAACATCTGATGAAAACGGCGAAACAGTTTATTTTCACGGGGCGACCGGCCACTAGAACGCCAGTGGGACCGTTTTTTCACCGTTTTTTTTTCTAACAGTGTAGGTTCAATAATCGTATTTTTTCGTTCAGGTTTTGAATAGATATAAATGATTGCTTCTCTGTGGGTAGTCAAACAAAGTTATGACGGTGCATGGGATGTTCATATATTCTCAATGATGTGTTATATCTACCTTCAAATCATTTTGCGCAAGTGATTACGAACATTATTATTCTTTCGATCGTATATGTTTGCTTTAAATCTTCATGAACGTTTACTTCGATCTGTCTCGGAAAATTAGCAGTATATTTCCTCCCGATGAACGGCGAATTCTGACTACATCGATTCCACGACAGAAGGACTCTCGTGTGAAGAGAGTGAAATGAATTCAAATGAGAAGCAAGTTGAATCAGTGACATGTTAACTTTGAAACAACCAAGTTCGCCACAATTCGACTTAATTAAATTAATTTACCTCGGAAAGTGTAGTTTTTAAAGCACAATGAGCGGAGCATTCAGCATGATCCAGGATCGATCTTCACAACACACAAAAGTATGTAGATGTGAGGAACTGAGCCCTCTCCCTTCTGCTATGCTATGAAATGAAGAGGCGTTCAATTGCGCAATTTTTTCCCTTTTTTGGCGTTCAAGCCAAATTTTGCAGCATAACATTGTGTTTAGTAGGCTTTAGCGGGTTCGGAAAAATAACTATTACTTAACTATTTAAGACGACCCAGTCACCGGAGCTCGAGCAAGTAGAGACTCCTACGTAGGTCTTCGCTGAGACAGGTTTATATTCAGGCACGATTGAGGCTATCTAGACGATATAGCCATTTTGTTTCCTACTGTTTTTGCTCTGCAAAGTAAGGCAGGTATGTTGTATATTCTATCATCTTTATAAATAATTTGGAGTCATCAAGCAAAAACAAACAAAAAAAGGGCACCTCAGTTTGTAAAAACCAGATTTTGAGATTTATAGGTGCTAAAACTAATGTTCCGGTGCATTGTTAAGCTCTTTACAGTCATTCCATAAATTATGTAAGCATGAAATGGCGCTGAAACAATCAGGTACATCAGCAAATGACTGAATTTTATTTGATGAGAAATTCCTTGCAAGTTATGCTAATTTTTTCTATTGAGACTATCAACTCACAAATCAATTTGATAGGTTTTAAATTTATACAAATGATTTCGAAGATTTTATAGATGCATCGGACTGCTAATTATTAAAGTTTGCACTAAATTGTGATATTCAATCCAAAGGTTTCTGTTAAGCTTCGTAAACCACAATATTGGTCTTCAAAAACTAAGATGAATGATGAATACATGATCAGGAAAATTGAGGCCAAAGAAGCATGTCGATATAAATACATGTACCTATGGAAGATCGAAGTTTTTCAGATGACAAATAATGTGAACAGGAAAAAGGCCAGGTAGAATTAACATTATAAAAGGGGCTTTGAGACTTTAACTGGATCAGTTCGGGTCTTTCTTGATAAGGATTTGTCTTATTCCAACCTTCAGTACGACAGCTTGGAAATATTTTCAGACGAGTTAATTTTTAATTTTTATATTAGAATTTAACTTACGCCCATCGTCAGAATTGAGAAGCAAAATCTTATGAAGGTCGTTCTATGATAATTTTCCATTCTGAGCTTTTAAACGAAAGTATTCATAAAGTGAGTGTAAAAATATGAATTGTCTTTTCCCTGCGTGGAAATTCTTTAAACCTTTTGTGTAAAAATTCACATATACGACTGTACCTCTATCCATGGGTATTGAGTGAAATTACTTCCGAAATGTGCATCATCTCTGAATAAAAGATCCAAGATCCCATTCAAATTTTGCGTCGTTAATCTGTATCACAATTTCTAATTCTAAAAAGAATGTTAGAAAATATTTGAAAATAATTAATCAGATTTGTTTTGTATTTAAATCTTTCGATATAGAATGAAATTCCAAGTAAATGAATTTGGAAAAAGAAATCCTCGCACAAGAGTTTTCAGGGTCATTAATGTTAGACTTCAGATTTTACAGCTAAAAATTTTTAGGGAAAAACCTTGTTATTTAATTTCTATTTTGTGTAATGCCTTTGCATTTTTCTAGGTACAAACAATGCTACAAATGTTTTTTGTGGCTGTGGTGCTAAGCGTTCACCTCAGCGTGGCGGCAGACGCTGTCGGGAAGGTGGCACCTCAAGGCGAGGCTTTCAGCTCCGGAGGTGAAAATGCCGATGAAAAAATTGCTGATACCGACGAAAAAGCGCGGGTGAAGCCTAGAAGCCCGGATGAGAGTGATCCAGAAAACATGGAACGCAGTGCAAAACAATTTGCGTTCTACACATCGAGCACCCAAGCCATAATAGCCACTTCCACGGTGTACATGCTGTCAACGTGCTTCTCAACAACAAATGAGACCTCCTGTTCGGGGAGGCGCAAAAGAAATGTTTTTAGTGATAAAATGAACCCGTTCTTCATTAACGAGTAAGAAATAGAAAATCTATCTCTTTGCAATAATTATCCCAGCAATTATATGAATATAGAAGCTATTATAAAGATTGTCGTGATGAACTAATTATTTTAATTTATAGCAGTTCGCTCTAATGTGAACAAATGCAGAAAACAGAGGTAAATCAAATTTCAAATGCATGTGGGCTATGACTTGAAAGGAAAAAATGAACTAATATCATATGTTATAATTTGACAAATGTTGTTCTTAATTTTGCAGTGAAGGCAACATGCTCAGTAGCAGTTTGAACGATCCAGACTTCGAGGTAAACTCTGACGCTAGCAAACGTCAGCTTTTCACGATTTGGAGCACGTTATTTTCGACGTACACGGTCGTCACGACCTCGTATTATTCCGGGACCACCGTCACCGTGTCCGCTCTATGCAACCCGGGCTTCGCTGCCTCCTGCTTCGGTTAACGATAAATATGGTGACCTGTCATAAGGGACACTCAACCATTCAATGGCCACGTGTCAGCTAATCACATTGGATTATCTGGAACTAGTACATATATTGAAAATTTATTATGGGAAATTTCATTCCAGTACACAATCCTTCAATAATTGTTATATTTTTGGGCATATTTCTACCAAATCGGTTTATTCACGATGGCAACGAATAAAACAAATGATGCTAAGTTCTAATATTTTCTTTCAAGAAAACAGTGCTTCCGAAATTCGAGAACGCTAACAAAATTTTTTCGTGATTTATTGTTAATGATAATATTTATTAATTATTTCATTTTAATTTTTGATGTTTCATAGTAAATTTTTCATATATGAGAAATATTCTTGTCCTTGCATTGGGAAAAAACATCTCAAACCTTTTTTGTCGTATCAATATAAAAAATTAACTCGTGCATTTCGTTTCGATTGGTGCAAAGTTTTTAATAAATATCAGTGTTGTAAAATTTGTCAGAGGGTTTACTTTTTAATATATATTGAGGGTTTTATTGATGAAACAGAAAATGACCAATGGCCATGTTATCCCGTTAAAATCATGTAAAACGGTTTTACATTCCTAGTTCATTACGCATAGAACAGTACTAAAAAAATTGTTTATCCTATAACCGATTTTTTCGGTACAGGAGAACTTCAGCGCTAGTTATAAGGGGAGGCAAGCCAAAGACGCTAGAGCAGTTCTGCGTTTTTTCAGTCGAGGTTGATTCATAAATTTCCTGTGACACACTAAAGTTGGCCTAATAATCTAGGATAAAAATTTATCGCAGGCAGAGAAAAGCAACACAAATTTATTGGAAAAAATTTAATGCTTTAATATTAACTGAACGGAAATTGCATCTATATTATGAATTTCAAATATGCAATCTAATCTTTCAATTAAGTAGCTTCAAAAAATTTTGCCCTGGGATATACTGCTTTTGTGATTGTTCTGCATTGAAAAAAAAAACACTTTGAAAACACTTTTGAATAGTTAACGTACCGACCTTGCTATTCATCATTGCCTTAACCATTCTGTTCCCATGCCCTTGCATGGTACCATTCCCAAAAAAAACAGCACAATATTGAAAAAGACATGGCTGCCGGATATGTTCAAACTACTCGTAATTTCTTCTAGCGTCATAGAATAGAATAGAATGGAATAGAATAGAATAGAATAGAAGTGTCGGCACTGAAGAAATAAGCCCATGGCCTGTTGCCGATTCTTGAACTTTTCGTGACTTGATTCACAAGGGATCCGGCCTTTGGAACCCGATCCTTCCTTACTGACGATTGATTGAGATAGCTGCTGGACTTATTGCCTGGTCCGTAATTTGCTAGGCATTTTAAGACTGAACATATGCTCCAGCATAGCTTCGTCTGGACTTATTGCCTGGTCCGTAATTTGCTAGGCATTTTAAGACTGAACATATGCTCCTGCATAGCTTCGTATAGTCTGTTTTTGAAGATGTTCATACTCGGAGCGTCAACGATGCTGTCAGGGTCATGTCTAAAATATATGAACGGTCCACATTACAAGTGCTTTTCCCATATAAAGCGTAACTCGAGTGAGAAAGTTCACCGTCATCTTGTTATTCATTACAATTTACATTTAAATTGGTCTATTATTATTGTCGCGAAGAAGGTACAGAATTATCACCAATCACCTCAATAATCAAGCTCGAAAAACGGAAATACAAAGTCAGACCTATTTGACCAATTTACAACGAATAGGAAATCATTTAAGTAATTCGAATAATTGGATAACTAGCTATTATGAATCTAAGGATAACTGGCTTAAACGTTCAACTTTTTATCTAATGCTGAACAAGGCGACTCCAAAGCAAAATATAAAATGTGCTTAATTAAATAGAAAAACACATCATGAATGTAACACAATATTATACCAAAAACTCATGTTATTTTTGGTATTTCTTCAAAAATAAGAGTGAAAAATAGTTAAGCAATTTTATGAGAATAATATCTGGAATTCAAATCCGATTTGTTTCTTACCGCTGAATGATATTCATTGATATAAAATTGTGGCATCTAACCACAAAATTGAACAGAAGAAAATTGAGAAGAAATTTCATTGTGCAACCCCACATGATATGTTCCACCTATGCTATGTTTCTTAGTGTCAACCCACAAGTTCCAACTAGGTTCATGTTGTAAACTGAGATGCAAGTTAACTGGGCCTTTATTGTGTATGATAATGGTAAGGTGCAGGCTAACCCACCGAGACAGGCTAATACGGTGGGGAAGGTATGGCCATGATTGAATGGAGACATTCATCATACCATGACGTACTGACAGAGGTGTGGTTACGATTAAAAAATTATAATCGGCAAAACTCTGCTAGCATGCAAGGTATTTATGAAAGTCTCGATGCAAACAATCACACTCAAAAATCATATAAGCAAAAATCTAAACAATGAAACTCAAAAACGATTTTATACAAAATCCGAGTTTTGGTTCTCGTACCTTTCTGTCAAATTAAGGATTTAGTTCCAAGCCGAATTTTGATGCTGACCCGACTCTGCAACACGTGCCGCCTAAGACGTGGGGAGAACGTTAATCAGCCGCTCTATGTCCGTTTTGGCAGGGCTTGAAGTGCAGCTTCTAAGCACTTTGAAGCTGGCTGTGACGCGGTTCCAGCCAGCCCTTGTCATACTTTCACGATATTATGAAGTCAGAAAGGAGATTCTGACCAGAAGCTCATTTGAATCGGGTGGTCAAGCGGACCATTTGTTTTCTTAGCCGAGGGTAGCACTGATGGACAAATACGCGCTACCCGATTTTTGTTAGGGAGGAAGGAATGAAACTGGTGTTTTCAACTAAATAAATAACACGAATTAAGCAGATGCTCTTTCAATGTTTTTCTTCGGAAAAGAAATCGCTATCGGAAGACGTGAGTAATGACAATCTTTATTGATGATTTTTTGTAAATTAAAGCAGTTTTTTATGCTACATAGCAATCTGACATATATCAATTATTATTTAACTTTCCTTCTGAAACAATCTGAAAGACTTCTTGCGTACACTAACATAAAAGCACTTTATGGACACATGCGAGTGGTAAGGTAACGTTTGAAATTTTTCCTTAAACATTTCAGTGTTCGGAATTGTCAAAATGATACACCTTTTTTTTATTTTTTGAGGCTCTTATCCTTTAAAAACACTAACTAGCGGCTATCTCGTCTCCAGCAAAATATGTAAAAACGCATCGATTTTCCCTGCAGAAAAAACTGCTCATCGAAGTGATTTTTTCACTTAAATGAATTTTTTCGATGCAGGAAAACTGCAACGTTAGTATAAGAGGTGGCTAGCGTAAGACGCTAGAACAGTTCTGCGCTGTAAAAGTCGAGGTTGGTTCAAAAATTTTCTGTTGCACATGAAAGAAATTAAGGCAATATAATAAAGCCATGCACGAAATTACGACGAACGTTATACACATGAACAAAATGTGTTCAGATTATTCAGTTTTAAGCACACAAATAAATATCCAGTCCAATTGATTCGTTTGTGTTCAAGTTGAAAGAACTAAAATATATTTCATCACTAAACTGAGATTATTCACATTCGGCCAACTATGCAGAAAATTTCAAACTAGAATTTAACGACGCCCCAGCTTCATTACGGTTGTAGTCAGTCATTTTTTCAATAAGGAATTATCATGAAAAGTATCCATTTTAAACAGCGAGTGTTATATATTAGTTAAAGTCTTCGAATTAATTAGGATTTCTGTTCTTTATGTCGTGTTTGTGGAACTTGAGCATCTGTGATAAAGCTTCACCTCTGTCAAAAAAATGAATGAGTACACATTTTTGCAGAAATTAAATGTTATAATATTCTATGACCGTAATTTATTGGGTCATTATAAATTTGTTACTCATAAATTCAGCTTTCAGCCATTATCAAAAACGATATGCATGGGTAAAAAGGGCTTATGTGTTTTAATAGAATTAAAAACGCTCGATGCAATTGCTTTTATACAATGAAAGCATATTCCGTCAAAGACTCACCGTCCTTGCAAGTTATTCATGCAGTTATTATTTATTTTGTATGTCGTTGTTATACCATTACGTGAGAAAATAATGAGGGATTTAAATGCATTTAGCATTTGATGAGGGATGACTGCTAAATGCTTCCGAAATATTTTCACTAGCGTCAGGACAATCACATATGAACAATGAGCACTAAAATTTCGACTAATTGAACAATGACCTCGAAATGAGTTTAAATTAAAATGTGAATTCTTTTGGTTAGGAGTTATGGTCACTGTATAGGGTCGGCACAGTAACAGCCCATAACTTCTCAAAAATCATATTCAAAGTATGGGAAAAGAAAATTATCAAGTAACATTGAAAGAAGGCATTGGCAAACATGGAAGTCAACTTCCTATTTCGGGTTTTTAAATAAAGTTCAATTAAGACTGAATTTGAAAAAGTTAAAATTACATAAAAGCACTAGTTGGAATGACTGCTCCCAATTTATAGATGTACAAAATCAAATGGATTTTGCTCATAGTTAAACTATATAAGCCAAAGCTTTGATTTGGAAAAGCCAATTATCTTGGTGCGACTCAATTTAATACGGGATTAGCCTACTGGATTTTTCCGTACAATGAAGTTATTTTCTTACTGATTTTAAGTTTTAGATTCGATTCAAATCCATATTATCTAATCTTGGTATTTATTTTATTTAAAAAAATAAATTTTCTATAACTTTCACTTCTCTTTAAAATGGATAACTTTTATTTAAGGTTTGAAAATATTACATTAAATTGATCCGTGCAAAACTTATGTTTGAACTCTTATATACTACAAAAATTCAAATAATTACAGTTGAGAAAACAACAAGAAAATTGTTAAAAAGTACAATACAATGGGCTTCAACGAATCTTAATTAAAGAACAACTTCTGCCTAGATATTCTAATAGTCTATTATGAACGATGTATTTTTTCCTCAATAAGCGTATATGTCGACATTGAAATGAGTTGCTTGTAGTGATGAACGGATAATAGATATGGTTGCATTTTTTAACGATAATGTCACAGTCATGGGATTTTTTGAAAATATGCGTGAGCATTTGCTCTCGATTTATTATTTTAGTGAGTGTAAAATAATTTTGCCGAGATATTTAAATTATTAACTACTTCATGAAATTGTTGAAAAGTAGGCTAGAAAGTCTATTAGCCGGGCTGGCATAAAAGTCATGTTTTATAAAGATTTATGTTAATTTTTATCTTCTGAATTCTTAGATGAACAAAATACTGTTGTTCCTCGCGATCGCTGCGGCGCTGTGCTGCGATCTTTGGCCAGCAATGGCAGACGACGTTGGAGACACAACTCCGGAGGGCGATGGTCAAGTGGGCGTCAGAAATGAAACCTCTGCACCAAAGGCCTCGATCCAGGAGGATAGTGAAATTCTTCAGAGAGAACTGGATGTCAGTTCCGACGACCCTGAAGACCAAAAACGGAATGCAAAGTTCTTTGCATTCTATACCTCAAAAACCAAAGCCGTGATAGTTACAGGGACTGTCTTTGCGCTGTCCACTTGCTTCTCTACCACCAACACGCCTTCTTGTGCCGGAAGAAGGAAGAGAAATGTCTTCTCGGATAAAATGAATCCATTCTTAAGTGACGAGTGAGAACTTTTTTTTTGCTTAGTATCTAACACCAAATCCTTACATTATTTATGAATCGTTACTGAGATCTGATTGCGCGAAATTATTTGCTGATGCACAAGCACACCCGGGCAGGTCGACACACACATGTACGCGGAAGCAAAAATTTTACTTAGTTCGGAGCTTTCAATGGAGCTAGCAGAATTTAAAAAATACGAACACATTACTGCTTCTAGAAATTGTTTTCTTTCGTTTACCGATTACCGAGATTTTAAATGTCTATGACAATTGGTTGTGCTAGTGAAGTTTTTTAATTTATTTATTTCATGCTTAATGACAAAATTTCCTAATTCCAGCAACGGCAACGCGATCAGTAGCAGCTTGGGTGATCCGGACTTTGAAATAAACTCAGGGGCAGCGAGACCAACTGGCAAGAAGTTCACGATTTGGAGCACGTTATTCTCGACGTACACGGTGATCACGACCTCGTACTACGCCGGCACAACCGTCACCGTGTCCGCTCTTTGCAACCCGGGCTTCGCTGCCTCCTGCTTCGGTTAACTCGAAGACCTCTCTTCATCTTCATTCCGTTCATAGCAAAGTGTGTATAGCAAGCCCAATCGTTGGTTCGAATCCTGTTCTCTGTTTAATTAAATTTAATTTGTTTGCGACGGAATAGAGAAAATAAAAATTTCCACATGACAAGTTCAGCCAACAGCCAAGTGAGCAATAGTCATAAAAACATCTTCCGGTAAATGATATTGAAACATTTATGATTAAGGGTTGGTTTCGTTCAAACAACGTCTAATTAACGTTATTTCAACGTCAGACGCCCACCAATGCAGCGCTTAATTGCCTGCTTTTATTAGACTTTTCCAAATTTAGCATATGCACAATCCACTATGGAAACCTAACGGATGGAATGAACAGAGTGAAATGAACCGGATTCCGCGCACCGTTAGCAAATACAGTCTTGAATTTCAACTTTATGCTTTGGTATTTGAGGCATCCAATTGGATGCTTTATTTTTGATGTTACATAGAATATCTCTCGATAAAATTTGTTTTTCACCCCCCAACGTATACAAAAATTATTATAGGTACCCTGAGAAGTTGATAAGCTTTCCGGCTCAGATATGTTAACTTGCCCTAGAATTGAAGGTTTAATATAAACATTGTTAAAAACTTTTCATGCCGGAGGAATTATAACCACATAGCCGACGCGCATTTAATATACCGTTTGTCGAAAGAAAATTCAGAAAAAAGAAGGGCATTCAACGAATGTTTCACAATTACTATTCAGAAGTCCCTTTCTTTCCTTCCTTCCTTCCTATTAAATATTTCTTCAGCCGTTCGTCCATTGAATGCCACATAGGCACGTACGAGAGAACAATGACAGTTTTACGGATAGACATATCCATCCATGTTGTCGGCGGATTCAGTCCTATAAGACCAATTAATACAGCAATGCAAAATCATATTAGTGACTTGTATGCAATTATTAGACTAAATATGCCCGAAAGTGTAAATAAAATAATTAGCAGGAAGCCCGCATATTAGTCTTCTAAAAAGCAAACTATCATTAGATGTCTCATTCATAGTCAGGAGCGTGTCTAGTAACAGCATAGCAGTTAAAATCATGACATTTTAAAGATTTTCTAGAAGCCATTTTTCAAGGAGTCAAAGCTTGCAAGTTATAATAAACATATACGGCAATCAAACCTAAGCCCCTGTAAAAGAATCGAATATTCTTAATTTCTACTGGAAAAAAACAAAAACAGATGTTCAAAACATGAAATCTGAAACGTGCACTAAATCACATGAACAAAAAATGGGTAAATAAACAAGAATTGTAATCAATTAACGCGATGAAATACGAGGTAAAAAACAGAAAAACAAATGTCTATTTTTTCCTTTGACTTATGTTCATGGACGAGAATCTGGTTTTGACCACAATAACTCATATCAATATTTATACATAAATAATAAATAACTAAAAACATGTTTGAGACCTTAAATTATTTTCAATTTACATGGCAATCCATTTAGAAAATTGTTTTGAATAAAAAGAGACTAGTTGTAATTATCCTCATATTTCTAGGTAGAAAGCTAATGCACCGTGTAAATGAACATTTGTCGACTTTCTGACACATTTTTCATTACTACATACATTACTAGCATTTTCCCAGCTCTTATCTAAATAAACTAGACAGGTTTTCACAGATCAGAGTACACAAGGCAGTAGAAATCACAATTATCCAACGAGTTCCTCAGTTCGGCATGCCACCCACCGTCCATATAGTGCTGGGGCGCGTAGCTCCAGTACTGCTTAAGCGTTCTGTAGCTATGAGCTTATTCCTTATGGGAAGTCCTAGTGTGTATTTAAGGATGCTTGTGACCACTTGCCCAGCGCAATCGCTTTCCTTAACGTGGATTGAGGGAAGAAATACGAAGGTTAGTTTGCCTGTTGCTGTTTTCTTAATAGGCAATAAGTAAGGTTGATAAGTATTTTTGCATGATGCTGTCTTCGAATTATGGAAATGAGTGAGAGTCAGTGAGCTCGAATTATGTGTGGTCTGTGTGAAAACCCGGGCAGAGGTGAGAAAAAATTTCTGTGGCTTGGATTTCTAAAAACGAGACACTCGACAGCTCGTCTCTTCACAGACAATAATATAAGCATGTTCCAGCAGTCGTTAATAACTTTCTAGACTAGTGGAAATCTTTAAAATGATAATTATTCATTAATTTCATTCATATCAGTAGCGTTTAAAATAATAAATTAATACATCTTTATTTGAAAAGTAGAATGAACGCTAGTCATAATTTTATTTTAATATACAACGTTTTAAACAGGATAATTAGAAAACTTTGATTCGATTTGTTAGATTTCTTGTCAATAATCAAGAATATATTAATATAAATATTATTAATTCTTTATTTGGTTCCTAGTGATTGCATTTATAAGCATATATGAAGAAACTTTAATCGAAGATAATAAATTGGAATGCAAAGTCATCTTGACACTAAACTGCTAAAATCGGCTGAATGTTCCTAGTGAAACAATCATTGTAAACACAAAGACCGATGTCTCCACATTTAGGCAGGGAACCGAAACTTGCGACTTATGTTATGATTTGAATTGTGTCAGAAAAAAAGGAATAAAGGTTCTTGGAAAAACAGCAACGTCTTGCATCCCGAGTGGGTCATCCAAACAAACTCAGTCTTACACTCAGAGAAATAAATGAGACTTTGTTCAAATAGCGAAGCACTTTTTGCCATATGTGGATTCATCTTGACCCATTTTATCCAGACTAAAGGACACATCAATGCCATCTCTCTGCTCATGAAGTGGGTTAGAAAGTGTTTTAAGATTTGGACAACATGAGCATGACCTATAAATTTTTCAAATTTTACGAAGCAACTTCTTGTACGGAAGAGGATGGTCACTAACTCAACACTATCACAGAAGTCTCAATGGTCGGCCGCGTGTTATTGAAGTCATTGTTGCTTCAGTTGGCGTGAGTCTATAAGAACCACGTGGAGTTTTCTGTTTGCTCAGTCAGCCTCAGACTATCAGTGTGACGCGTGCGTGACTGGAACCCTCACGAAGTCTCACTGCACAAGTTATTGCTGTTTTCAGGTACACAGCCATCTTTGTTTGTATTTGCTTTAGTTCTTGTGTGAAAATTAAAATTGCAAAAGCCTCATGTAATCTGATCATTATCTGGATCATCTTTTATGACTCATTAAATGGTTTACAGTAACGTTGCCTAGAACGGAATGTGCGGAGCGTGACAGATGCTCCGGTCTGTGAGAGATACAAATTTGCGGACACCCTAACTTCCTTTCTATGGATTTTCTTGATTTATTACAGTATTAAAAAGGTTATTACTATTCTGATTTCTCACGAATATATGAATTTAGTCCTGTAAGAACGGGCGAGTAGAGCGTTAATCTCAAGATATTCAATCACATAAAAACAAAATTTCTTGAGTCATGGATAATTAATTTTAGAGCTGGGTCATTGTTCGGTTGACCGGGGGCTGCTCAACATTTCGATTTCATTTTTTATAAAATGTGCGATGTAACTCACATTTACTTACTAATTCAAAAATTTGCGAATTAAATGTGATTTACTCGCAAATTGTTGTATCACGAAACTTTTCCGCACATGGCGAAGTACAATTACATTGATCTGATTGATTCCAGTATTCCGCTTCGAATGAATCGTTTCATAACTTGCAATCATCAAGGACAGGGCCGGGCGGCGGCATGTAGCACGGATCTGACGACCAGATCGTTTAAAACGGTCTCACTTTCACTGGAAGCTTCTACGCGGATCGCCTGGACTTTTTCCGACGTAACTGTTAGTCGTTTCCGGTACGGATTGCGTTGAACGTTAGTTTCTGTTGGGAGCCTCTGTGAAGAAATTCATTATTCCGAAGTAAAGTAAAACACTACGGGTAATATGATATGTATAACGATCATATATAGCATTCTTAAAAGTATGCAATATTTTAAATTTGCAGCAAAAGTAGTTTTCATTCAGCCAGCGGAGAAAGTAGATTTAATTCACCGCGACTGATGGCTGTGATGTTTCAAATCATAGAGCAAGACTTTCATAGAAGGCGGAAAATAACAGATTTATCGTTGGTCCAAAATTCAGTGGAAGAAAAGTTTTTGAAATGTCGGCCATTGAGATCGGTACGCAATGTTTGGGTGCCGACCCGACGTAGATAGCTTATGTGCTATACCGACTTACTTTTTTCGCAGTGGTGACATTGGATGACGCGCCATGAAATTCTGTATATTTGTGTGCCATGATAACCGGAAAATGATCAAAGCACATCGGTTGCCACACTCTACACTGACCGAATTGCATGCTTGCTCTTGTTCGCGGTATTTTCTTGCGTTGTTTTTTCCATCTTATTCTGGCAAAAAGTTTGCAACCCTGTGATTTATCAGCCAAAGAATTAAGAAATAAACCATGTAACTATATTTCAATGATCCTTATGTTATTTATAATGTAACTGGAAGCTAGAGGACCCTCTGTCTGTTGTAAATAGCCGATAGGTTTACTATATAGGAATTCGAACCGAGTTCCTTTCCTCGATCGTTTGAGTTACGCGTTCTTGGAGAATGAAAGTTGCACAGAGCGCACGTTCCTACGCTCGCTTTCTTTTTATTATATGAGTCGTTATAGATGATTGGCGAATTCATCATAGATTATTTGATTGATTGTACAATGTATGTGTTATGAAATAGACTTAATATAGAATGAGGAGGAGTTACAATTTAGGCGAAACATCAAATGAGCGCGTTTCGGGAGAGCTCTTCGAACGTGGACGATGAACACTAGTTGAAGCCATCAACTCTATCATTCCTAAGACCTGCATGTTCGGAACAAAAAATACTGTGAAAATATTGGTTTTCCGATCCAGTTAAACAAATCTGGAGAATTATATTCTAGATACTTCAGAAAACAGAAATCCCATTGGTGGCGACATATGTGAACGGACGAAGCCAAATATGCCGTATAGAATTTGAACTTATAACCAGTGGAATAAATTTGTTTCTTTTGTGCCGAACTACAACTCGCAATCAATGGAGTATTCAAGACTTTTTAGGAAGTTGAAAGGTGTATTTCAGCAAAATCAGGTTTTTGTTGTGTGATCCATTTGAAGTGTGCAAGACTCTTAAACAAATCATTCGTATTCATTAGAATTTTCGAACGTCACTATGTCAATCTCGTCGAATTTTGTAAATTATTACGGAAGAATTAAAATCAACCAGTGTAGTGCATTAATTTATAATGCTACGTTATTTTTTCTTGGTTTCATTGAACCGAATCTGCTGGAAATTTATATTTTCTTTATGTAAGACTGAAAATCAGACGGCTTTCCCATGCATATGTGTTATTTGTTGTACATTCACGCCCGCTTTATGTGGTTCATTAAAATACAATGAGATTTTCCAGGCGCGCTTTCAACAGATGCAGTTATGTAATTGCGTTTCAGAATATCACAAGAGAATGATATTCTGTTTGTAACGGTGTAATCATGTGACGAGAGAAGTGGGGGGAGAAGGTACGATTAGAAATATGAAATTTGATTTTCATGTCGTTAAGAATATATCAAGAATCATAAAATTTTGAATAGCAAGCGAGAGCTGAATGGAAGTTTTATGCCAAGCTGGTCTTCCTTAAATTAATATTTTTAGTTTGAAAATACCTGTTTAACATGTTTATGAAAAACGGGTTTAAGGCTTTTGGATTTGATCGGTCGAACATTATGAATGAATTCTGTCTTTTTCATTCAAATTAAGTCAGGAAAACCAAAATAATCCGTTTATAATTAGAATTTTTCAACGTTTATTGGTTGATCTTAGTGATTTATATATCAAATTAAATCGGATTTTGGGTTTGGGTCGTTCAATTACTCGTCAGCATGAACAAAGCTATGAGCATTTAGACAAAAATCTGCATGTAGGACTCGTGCAGCTTCCAGTCGCAAGAATACATGAGAAGAAACGTTTGACCTCAATGTTGCTGTGCGTGACGAGGAATGCTTCCATAGAAAGAACAAAATTTGAATCAATGAATTTTGCTTCATTTTCGGTGGTGGCCTGTTTCGCTTATTCCGCACATTCCACCTACAGTTTGTTAAACGCATTCAATTGATAAGTATAATAATATATGAATGACGTTAAACATATTTGACAGATTTTCTCATTGTGTGAAATATCTAAGCCAAATTTCAAGCACGTTTGCAATAAGTAATATATAAAATAAAATGAGTGACGAATTTTGACTTATTATCGTCAACTTGACGGCAACTAATAGAAATATATATATATAACTAATAGTATAGAATAGAAGTGTCGGCATTGAAGAAATAGGCCCATGGCTTGTTGCCGATTCTTGTACTTTTCGTGATTTGATTCACAAGGGATCCGGCCTTCTGAACCCGATCTTTCCATAACTGACGATTGATTGAGATAGCTGCTGAACTTATTACCTGGTCCGTAAGGTGCTAGGCATTTTTAATGTTTTCGTTTATGTTCGAATACATTAGATTAGTCATCTAAAAAATATACGTACATAAAAATCAATTGAAAATGTGTTAAAATAGTCGCTGGATTTTACGAAGTAACTCGAAACCTCAGGGTTTAATATGTGTTTTGTTCTGTTGCAGAAGACAACTGCAATGGAGTTGGAAGCCTCCTCCAGGGCCCTGGTGTTTGTCAAGAACTTTTTACGGTGCGGGAACATTTTGTGCGGCCAAGAACTCACTTTCCTCATCCTATTCTCTGCCATCCAGCTTGTCTTCAGTATTGTCGCTAATCAGTTTGCAACGAGCGTGGCGACCGACACAACTACAGCTATTTATCCTTTCATAGGAGACTTCATCGGTAACTTTTTCAGAAACGTTTTTGGCATAACCTTTGCAAAAAGGTAGCGCATGGTTAAATAACATCTCGTGTATACAAATTCCAGCATGAATTAATACTCTTTTTGTCTGATATCATTGTTAATTCCTGATACCTTTTTAATATCAGTGTTTAATCCCTAGCAACACCTCAGTTTTTGGAGGGAATATTTAAACTATTTAATTTGAATGTCGAAAGGTTTCATTACAGAGGCGAATAGGCTTGCCCCTGGTGTGATGTAATCATCATCATAATAATATGGACGTTAAGAGCCTGCGTAGTGCCAACTCCACTCGTCACCTGTTAAATGATGACGATATGAATGTAATTGTTGAATGGTAAATTATGTCATTTAAGACTATTCGGGGAGACATCACTTGAGAGATTATAAGGGCAACACGAACTTGGAATATTCTTTGATCTAAAACTGAAGTTAAGAAAGTTAAACTGTTTATTCGTGAAGAAAAAATATGTGTTTCTTAATCGATGTGAAAATGAATCATAGCTTGAATCATAGCTCCATGCCTTGTAAGAATAAATGTTCTAATGAAAATATATGTTAGTAAATATTTACCGTAAACTAAACTTCAGTAAACTTTTAATCATTCAATCCTTAGCCTATTTTGAATCTTCAATAGACCTTTAAAGTCGTAAATAAATCTATAGCAATTATAGTTCATGCGTGTGCCATGATCATTTCATTGAGTTTTTTACATAGAATTTAACGGCTAAGGAATGAACAACGTATAAAGTAAAAGGAATAGTTATGTAACTCCATTATTTGCACTAATAGCTGTCAGTGTGCTTTTGTACCAGCCTCGTCTTAGGGTTAGATGTATAAAATGTAACACAGTACGATCTGGTTCACTTAATCCAAGTAATCTTATTTAACCTTTAACCTAAGAGGTTCACTTTCATCACGACTCAAACCTATGTGGCGTTTCTGGTAAGCCAGCGCCGCCAATACCGCCTCCAAGCTGTGCTCGTATCCGCTGTGTGAGTTAGCGTGGTGATCTCGATGCTGCCGACCAGCTCGTCGGAACTCGTAGGCCGACGAGCCTCGAATGTCACCGTCATTGCGCTCTCGAACATGACGAAGCCGTTCTCTGAGAACACTCCGGCCACGTCCGTCTCGAGGAAGACAAAGAGGGCCACTTCGTCGGTGGTGAGGGAAACTAAGTAAGTTTGGTTTTCAGAAGAGACCGCGTGCACTCCCGTTACCTGTGGCAGCGAGAGAATCTTAATTTGGTATTTGAATTTAGAATTTTTCCGCAGTAATCGTCTGAGAAGTAATACAAAGAGATTCAAATCTTAAGATTTATAATTCAAAGAGGAAAATATTTTAAGAAACTATAATCTAATATAAACTAGTATCCAACATCCAACACCATCACAGCAACAAATGATCAATGAAAAGATAACTAAAAGATTCCAACGCGAATCGCTCTGAGTAGAGAACACTCACTTGGACACTGGCATATTTAAGCTGGGCGTTGTTGGGTTCCCCTAACAATAGGAAGGTACTAGGCGCTACAGGCTGTCCTTGAGCGTCTTGAGCAGTGAATGTGATGAAGCAGGTGTCGAGTGACGCGTACAGCCAGTCGTGACACAGCTGCTCAACTTTCAAGTCGCGGTACACGTCCAACACCCACACTTCTGAGGCGTTCTGCGCCGCCTGGGACATGATAAATTGAATATACGTGCAGGAAGTATGTTCAATTTCTACTTCGCTCATTCCTCGTTCATAGATGGGATATTATGGGATGGAATTAGATGGGATTTATATTGGATATTTATACTCGTGTTATAACAATCATCGAATACTTGTACTGCTTGGTAGTGTTAGCTCTGCATTAAAGAATCGATTTTAGCTGCAAGTTTAGCTAAATTGTATGAATGAAAAAATTCAAATGATTCCGAGTCGTTTTTCATGAAATTTGCATTGTAATTCCCGGCGTTATCAAAATGCTTCATGATCTATATCGCACAATGAGAAAAAAATAAATCATGCTATGTTGATGCGTATCTTAAAAATAAACCGAAAATTGGTCTCTTAAAGATGTAGGACATTATCTAAAATTCGCATCTTAACAACACAGATTAAATTTTTAAAATCATTGGTTATGATTACGAAAACTCATATCACAATAATACAAATAAGCCTAAATACATATAGTTATGAAAAAAAATAGAGAAACAGAACAAAATGAAACAAAATCCTTAGAACGTTCTAAGAGATTAAGCACAATAGAGTCGAGCTGGAGGGATGTCCTCGAGAGGGACTGGAAGCTGGAGTAGCTCCTGAGCTCGAGGGCGAGGGTCACTTCCGCAGAGGGCTCTGGAGTGTCGTTAATTACCCACACGTGAATCTGAGAACAAGAAACGTTTGAATACAAATAAATGTTCGTGTGTTAATTACCTTCCTTAAATTAGGAAATGTTGTTCAATGATTATTGTTCATAGTTGATAACTCTGCTGATATGAATTCATGTCTTTTCTTCAACTAATCATTGTTATTTTTCTATTATTAAAGTCGCTAATTCATTGTTAAAACCCAAACAATTTTAAACTTGAATGAATGTATTAAAAATTCACACATTTTGGGCACATTCAATTCAGTTAGTTACATTGACTCATTTGGGTACATTCAATTTAAGAATCGAATTTATATGCTAAAATTTCAGTTGCCAATCATTCAGGTGATACATTTGTTGACTAAGAATATTGCGAGCTGACAGATTTACTGAGACGCATGATATTATCTAAGGAGAAAAATTTTCGCAAAGCTAGCTAATCTTGTTGACAGAAGATGAGACAAACAATCTGAAACTTGGAGAAGATCATTGACGAATCGGATAGTTTCCCGAATGAAAGGAATACGAGGAAGTTATAAAAATTGACTGAGTAATGGAAATTCGTTGTGAAAAAAATTACGCGTGAAATCATAGGAGTCTTATCCCTGTTAATATTTGCTAAAAATAAAATCTCACCTGAGTTCCATCAATGTACGGCGACACTAGAATCGGGCTGAAAAAGTTCTTAGAGTAGTAATGCAGCATCTTCCACCGACCTCCGTACTCTGTAAAGTGGTACGGAATAAGTTCTTAGAGTAATAGTGCAGCTTCGTACACCGACCTCTGTACTCTGTAAAGTGGTACAGAATAAGTTCTTAGAGCAGTAGTGCAGCTACGTAAACCGATCCCCATTCTTTGTTAATTGTTACAGAAGGAGCATTTAGTGTGCTATTGCAGCTTCTTTAACCGAATTCCAAACTCTGTTAAGGGGAGCGTCTACCCTAAAATTTATCTCGGCTATTTACGAACGGATCACTCTGAAACTTGGTACACATATGTAAAACAGAATTCTAAGACATTTTTGTTCGTGTGAATTTTTCGAAAAAAATGAAAGAAAACGTGAAATTCTTAGAAAACGGCCAAAAATATCTATTACTGAAAGAACTCCCCCACCCGCCCCCCTTTCATGAAGTGTCGTGTACGTAAAAATCAACGTACAGAGATGGTAGTGGTACCGTTGGATAGGCCAGAATGTCAGCTTTAAGATGAGACTAAACATGTAACTGCAGCACAACTCAAGTAGACACTATATATAAAGAGCTCAGCAGCTAATTAGTTCCTATCTAATTACTTAATGAACTCCCCCACCCGCCCCCCTTTCATGAAATGCCGTGAAATCATAAATCAACGTAGAGAGATGGCAGTGGTACCGTTGGATAGGGCAGAATGTCAGCTTTAAAATGAGTATAAAAACCGAAAAAGTGGAAATTTTTAATTTTAGAGTAGACGCTCCCCTTAAGTGGAACAGAAGACGCATTCCCTACAGACTGCTCGACGCCCTATTTTTATTGTCACGCGAAGAGAACGAAAAACTTGCTTATTGGCATTAGTACTAAACCGATGTTCTATGAGCGGGTGGTGAGTCTTACTGTTCTGAAATATTTGCATTTTTTGTCAAAAACGCACAGTAATAAACCTCAAATTGTTTACTTATTCACGATGACAAAACTTCTGTCGCTGCTGTTCGACAAGAAATCAATCATGAAGCGACAAACGAAAACAAATTGCTGTTGGTGCCGTGGTATCCAAAATAATGGCCTTAATTATTTCTCTTGTATTAGTTAGAATTTAAATTAAGCATTTAATTATTTGATAACTTTTAAAAAGTTATCTGCAATCATTCAAGAAATGATTATCAAATTATATTCTAAACTTATATGTACTGATTTTTCATTCATTAATTTGTACTAACCTTACAATTTATTATTTACGCTTAACCCTTACCAGTTTGTTCAGAAATTAAATGCAGTAATTTTACAATTCGATTATTAATCTTCCTCAATGCCAACCCAAAACACTGGATGCCAATATCAATATGCTAATCTAACGAAGGTGCTTGTACATGGTCATTCACGAAAACTTCCTGATTTGAAAGCTCAATAAAAAGGAAACTAGTATAATTATCATTACAACACACATGCAATTGAAAAATATATATAACCTGAATTTTTGTATATTTCGTTTTTTAAGATAACATCGGACGAATGACGATTGCCATTGCCAATGCATTAAGTTGGCAACGAAGTTGACGATTTTTGAAGTTGCGTTCAACTCGCTGAAGCATATTAACAGGTATGTTGGCAATGGCTCGGCCCATCTTGTTCTTCAAATGAGGTAGGGTCCTTGGACAGTCATTGTAAACAACTGATTTAAAATAATTCCATTAAAAAATCGCACGGAGCCAAATCGGAACCCGATTCGATCGGAAAACGACCTGAAGGACGAATACGGAACCGAGTTCGGAATACTCGTTAAATGGAGATTACGGACGGAACGGCCATTAGAAAAGTAAAAGCCTCGAAAGCAAACGTATGCTGCTAACTTGTCCAACACATAGTGGCAATTAATTGAATGAGACACAAAACTTCATGACTTTGCCTTTCATATGAAATACTTGCAACCCTTTTCCTGTAAGATCTGGGTGTTGGGCGTGAAATACAAAACAGGAAACTTTCGTGAATCACCCTGTATGTTCTGCACACCTATTGAGCTCCAGGAAGCTCCAGGCCAGATGTCGTTGAGTTGCCAGTACAACGCTCCACTAGTGAGACCTTCGCCTCCCTCCAGCAGCGTGGACCTCCGTCTTCTGTAAGTCTCTGTCTGCACCCTCATGGCCATGGCCTGGTGCACCTGATAATAATTTTAGAGAAAATTTGTAATAAATTCTCTTATTTGCCCGTTTCGGGGATTCGGTACGTTATTACAGAGGTTATTTGAATAACGTATTACAAATAGTTTCGAAAATAAAAACCATAAACGTTTATTATATTTCGTTGTTCAGTAAAGGAGTAAAACTGTGGATAATAATTGGAGTAGAAAAAAAACATTTTTTTGACAATTTTAAAACAACAACATAAGAGAGATAACAAAAAATGGCTAGTCGCACAATGAAAACTCTCATTTTTGCTAAGTGCTGCATGGTTTGTGGGAGCGATGGTGAGCAAATAATTAGATTCTAGAGATTATTATAACCTGGGCAAATGTTGAGATAATCTTAACCTAAGCAAAGGTTGAGATAATCATAACCTGAGTAAGGTAGAGATAATGTTTGTAGTCCACGAGAGGGTTGCCGGAGTCCGGGAACTCCAAGTGCGTCCTGATCTGCATGTTGAGTTCCGTGTTGCCGAATGGATGATGTTGTCTGTAGCTCATTTGGTCCGATGATATCGTCCAGTCACTTGCATTCGTCACGGTCGCCATTGTTCTAATTTCACGAAAATTCGAACAAAATTATAAATCCCAAGGCTAAAGGTTTGTTCTTTAAAATGTCAGCGTGAATATAAAATTAGAAGTATTTTCTCGATAACTGAATAAAATATTCAGTTATGGGTAGCAAATAAATCTAAATCTGCAAATATTTCGAGCTATTTGAACTTTCGTTTGCTTCCAATGCAGTCTACAAACGACACGTTTTGCCGCTGATATTTTATTACCTAACTAAAGAAAAGGTAATTTAGCTGCCTGCTTACCTAAAGCTTGGCCAGGACTGGTAGCCGTACTCGGAGACCATCCTCGATGCTGGATATATCCTCCAGTCCCAGCCATTCTTGAGGTAGTTGTAAAAATGAACTGATCGCATAAATAATAGGAGATTCAATTACGCTTGACCATTTCATATTGCTGGTGCAGTCAAATTTACGTAAAAATGTGCTATGCTTGTACATAATACGCTGATTAAAAGAAATGATTATTAAGGAAAATCTTGTTTTTAATGGCAATTAAATAGCATGTATAGTTCCGTGATTTTTTATGCTTTGGTATCTTAAATGAGGTACAAATCTTAAAATAATATCAATAATGTAGATCATTTAAAAAATGTATCCAAAATGCCAACAATCACGTAAGGTTTAGAGTGACTGACCGTCCCCAAAATTGTTGCTGTAGGGATTCTGTGCAACGTAGCCCTCTTGTTCGGAGCGCAGGCCGTTACTGGGCGAAGATACGACGAAGACTCGCGAGGGGTCGAGCTCTTGAGTCACGGTGCGTGCCGTGTCTACATACAGTGTTACGTAGTCCTTCTGGTACAGGCCGAAATTCGCGGCCGTGCCATACCTTCAGAGAATATTTGAAACCTAGTCTCAGCGGATGCTGGGAAGTTTAATTCAGTGAAGCATGCAATGACCTTAAATAATCGGGTGCTAGCCGAAATTTCACGAGGTGTTCGCAATGCAAGGCAGGTCCAAATGTACATGAAAATGAATTTGAACTGTGAAAAGGAAAACCTTTGCGATAAGATGAGATATATAACAGCTATGGAATTAATGGCAAAAAAGGGATCTGTTAAAAATTCAGCATTAAAAACTATTGACCAGAATAACATTCAAATGCAAAATTTTTAACGAGACAGTGTCTGAAGTAAATGAAATAACGAACAAAATTACTTGCGAGCGAAACGAAAATGAAAATTCAGCATTAAAAACTATTGACCAGAATAACATTCAAATGCAAAATTTTTAACGAGACAGTGTCTGAAGTAAATGAAATAACGAACAAAATTACTTGCGAGCGAAACGAAAATGAAAAAAATATTCGCGAACAATCGGAAGAATAATGTTTGCTGACCAGTCGCCTCGCAGTGCAGCCTCGTTTTCGTTGTTGGAGGCCCAGAGGGCAAGTGAGGCGTGATGCGCCAGACGTAGAACCTGCGTCCGCACCTCCTGCCGGACGCTGGACAGGAAGTCGCTACTGACGGGGTACATGCTGCAGGCAAACATCAGGTCCTGCCACACTAGGAGCCCAAGCTTGTCAGCTGTCTAGGGCAGCAGGTTCAAGTTATTAGTTGAAGTTATGTTATTTTAATTTAGAGTAAATTTATTGTGATAGCTTATGATGAATTTTGGGGGATGAGCATTGAAGATTCTTTTGTTCAAAAAAGTAGCCGATGAGTTTAATTCGTTAGTAGGCAAATATCATGACCTCAAGTGTAAGTTCTATCGAATAGTGAATGCTGCAAATATCAACATAATGGAGTGAAAGTTATTGACTTCCTATTTTAATAAACCACAAATCATAAAGAGGCATGAATAGATATTACTTAGATGGGCTCTGTAGGTGTAACTCACTTTTGAAACATTCTGGGCGCTTGAACTGACATATGACGTGATAATACAAGCTTTCCCTATTGTTCTTGGGTGCTCCTTTTTTCCTATACAGATACAAAAAAGATGAGAGAATAAAAAATTAAATCATGCACTCCCGACGCAGTTGCCGCAACGTTTACTCAGCAATATGCCTGAGTAGCAGCTGTAATATGTTGCAACAAGGATCTCAAGAGGTCCTTCTGCCGTCAATAGTTGACGTTACCTCGTAGAAAGCGTTCGCTTCATAGACTCCTCCACCCCACACTCTGATGATGTTCTGATTAGCGGCAACCGCATCCTTCAACAAACGATTGATATATGTGCTGGTGATGCGCTCTGGTGTAACTTCAGCCGGCACCCAATTGCTGCCACGGAGGAACACCATCACGTTGTTCACCAACACGCGATAGTGGCGTCCTGAACAGCGTAACGTTTGTGCATGAAATTTGATGGCATTAAAATAATACATAGTTAAGAGTGGCACCTACACCGAGTTGAATTATGTTCTTATCTATAGCTGTTGCAATTCACTAAAAAGCTATAGATAATAACACTTGTAATTCACACTATTATCTATAGCACTAGCAATTCACTAAAAAGTGGGACAAAAGAGATAAATAACATTCAATAAAAGCAGTTTTACACATAATTAATCCTTCATATTGTCCGGAATATGCATGGGATCCATACCCGCAATGCTTCCGTAAACAAGAAATAATTAAAACTCAAGTGAAAAATTACAGTAGATCTCATTTTGAACAAATGTCGATTACAGTGCCTTGCATATCTAATATTTTATAGAAATGTTTACAGCCGCTACTGACCCAACGTTTCGTTGACTGGATCTACGAAACTTTGGTCGAGTTGAACCGTACGGAAGCCAACAGTGACAGACTTGGTTGAAGTTTCCCTGGAGAGCGACGGGCTCTGAGAGATCCACGTCACGTTAAGATCATATAAACGCTGTTGCCCTAACCCTGCCGGCCACCACAACTCCACCAACCCCTGTAAATTGGAAAGAGGTTTCAACTGTGTCGTTGAACTTTTGTGTACATATACATTATTTGTCGTCAATGAGATTTGTATCTTATAATTAAGTATTTAGAACTACATTTAGTAGACAAAAAGTTGCATAAGTAAGAGCTTCTTGTACGGGACTCAGCAAAAATACATTGAAGACGGAATTTTAATTTGTAATATGTATTTGAATAATTGTTAAATTGAAGAATTTTTATAACTGTAACAATTTCACTGTTTTTCTGCAAAAATAAATTATCGCTTCCTTCCTCCTAAATCCTACAACATAATTACAAATGATAGAAACATTTCAATAATCTATAAAAAAATTCATAAATTGGAAAATTTTGAAAAATTCAAACGCCCCAACTTGATTAACTCACGACCAACCTCATCAATAGTGAAGTTCAGGGTCACGACGGAGAGCTCTAGTTCTGACGGCGTCAGCTGAGCACTGAAGGTCGCGTTCACGATGTCGTCCAGGCGAACTAAGAACTCGCCTGTCAACGGCGCGTCCAAGTAAGCCAGTCTCAGGAAAACCTTAAATGAGGAAAAAATTGAACTGAATTTACCTGTTCTTGTTTCGTAGCCTCACATAATTTATCAAAAAAATATGGAGTTCATTTTTAAGGTTGATCAATGTTTATTTTGTATTTTATTTTTATATTTGTCATTTTTTATAAATAAAGAAGTAGGTTTTGTGTAGTTTAAATGTAAGTTGAAAATGTGCTTTTAATTTCATTTCTGCTTCCAAAAGTTTTTGTTTTCGAAAATGTTATTAATGCTACATGGACACGTTAATTAAAGCCTTAGTTCACCGCACACGTATTCCTTGAAGACGCAATATCCATGATTTAGGCGAATGAGTAAGTTCTTAAATTCCTTTTTCAATATTCAAGAAATCTTAGCCAATAGTTCTCAACAGCCAGGTAAAATTAAAAAAATCGAACGAATAATCAAAATTCCGCAGGTAACAAGTTTAATGAGGTTATGAACTGTTGCAACAGTTATGTATTAATAAATAATTCCGAAGGAGCGGTAGGTAACCTTGATGGAGGCATTCCAGGCAGGTTTGAACGCTCCGTCTGGAACAGAAGGGAAGGGTGCGTCACTGGATAAGGACGGTAGCAGGTCGGTGATGTAGGCTGTACTCCATTGCACCAGACGGGCTGACCGCCTACACGGAAGAGATAAATTGTTGATATTGCTGCTGGTTTAAATAGATAAATACTTGTCGTTTGTTTGTATGCAAAACCCTACATGACGGATGTAAGGCATGAGAGTCGTGATATAAACAATAACTTTATTTTTGCGCGTTTTTTCAGCTCTTACCAAGAAAATGCGAATTTCTTGGTAAGAACGAAATTACGTCTGATTAAAAGACACTCTTCTCAGGCATCATGATGTCCAGAGTTAATGCAAATAGAAACTGAGCCAAGACGGGCCATATTAATGTATGTCATTAGTCAACAATGTATGAAATCTTTTATTTTTATCTAAAATATACCTAAACATACATCTCTACCATAGTTCCAGGGGCTTTGCAAAAATTCCATTAACTATATATTTAGGAGCATGTTTAAACGGATATGTTTTGAGAACAATGATTACCAAATTCCCATCGATGGGAAGGCAGGTCCCCAGTCCCAGCCGAAAGACGCCTGCATTTTGCGTATGTGGTTGGCATGACACTCCCCATGATACTCGGGGGGCACGCAGCTCGGGGGCACAGGGTAGTGTTGGGCCTGACGCGCACTCTGCGCTGCCGCCCACACCACCGGTGACACGAGGTGGACGCTCAGCAACGGCGGATCACCGCTCTGGGGTTAGAACATGGAATTTAAAACGTTATCATGCACCGCGTACTTGAAAGTAATACGAATTCAACCTGTTATATACTTTTTGTGGAAAAATGCATCGTATTATGAGTGGAACGATGGGATAAGGTTAGAACGTTGAATTTAAAACGTTATCATGCACCGCGTACTTGAAAGCAATACGAATTTAACCTGTTATATACTTTTTGCGGAAAAATGTATCGTATTCGGAGTGGAACGCGTGGATAATTATGGCTGAGTTAAATAGATTTTTTAAATTTATTTCATCATTCAATTGAAAAGATGAAATATTGTATCGGATATAAATCTGTCAAGTAACTATGGCTTGAAATGGTATCGCAAACTTTAAAACAATTTCGTTGAATTTCATCAGAATTATTGCTATGAAAAATAGCGAATGCTCCGGCAAAATTTACATTAATTTCGGTCAATTTCTCAGAATCAGCGGAGAAATAATATTAATTTTTATCAGGGAAGAGTAAGTCGTTAATGTATATGTAATTATTTTAGAACACGAGATCTAAAATTTTCATTTGATCGAAGGATTGCCACCCGTAATTATTATGAAATAATTTGAACAGCATAAATAAGAGAATTGGATAAATAGAAAAAAGAATTCCCATGCAAAAATGACATTTATGAGTAAAATAATGTTCTATGAATACATCCCATTAGAAAGAATCATTGAACCAGAACATCATAAATTCCTCGAAGAAGCAAAGATATATTCATATTTGCCGTAAACTATTTTTCTCGGCAAGGGAGCCAGAATATTGGATATATTCCTATCTCCTTGTTTCTCATGCCACCGATCAACACGAACTATCAAACTATCACCTTGTCAGCTTCAGGAATATCAAAGTAATATTTCGTAAACATATTGTCTGTGGTTCCAATGACGACGCCGTTCAGAGCAACTGCAGACACTGTGTCGATGCCATCAAATTCCAGACCCACGCGAGCGTTGGAAGTGTCTTCACTCCCGTCATTCACTGCAAGAGTTATTTGCTGTCATCATTGATTTCTCCTTTTTAAATTCTGATCCACATTTGCGAATCGGTTACTCTACGTTGCTAATGCTGATGAGAGTCTTACAAAGATGAAGCGTTTACGCTATTTCGTTGGACTTCCAATCGTCTCTAGACCCTTTTTAACATTTGCAAAAATAATTTTTGGACGGCCTGAAACAAATGATTTAGAATATAGGATTTTAAATCCTAAAATCATATATCCCGATTTTTTATGTAGACACTGTTTCGTCACTCACACTTCAGCAGAGCGCTGTAGGTCCAGTTAGTTTTGGCCACCCAGCGGTACGTGAGATCGTTGTCTCGGTAGATGAGGTCTCCAGCAGTCAGCACTCCTGCCTTCTTGAGGTCACTGTACACTCCACCGGGCACTGACCCCTTCACGCTGATGTTGGGCAGCGCTGTGGTGTAGTCAGCAGAAGCAAAGGCAAGGGTAACATTTAGTGAAATTCAGTCATTCAATCAAAATACCAAATAAATTATTAGTATTATTATAATTATTATTGTCATTATTATTATTATTGTTATTATTATTATTATTATTATTATTATTATTATTATTATTATTATTATTATTATATTTATTATTAGGCGCACCATATTTATAAAAACTGATAGATATATGGGAGACGTAACAGTTGTGGACAATAATAATATGCGTTTGAAAGTTACTTTTTAAACACAACACTTCTAGAGGGGTCAATGTTTCCAATGTTACACATGCAAAATGAATTTCTTATTTTATTTTTAAATATTTTGTATAAGATAATTTTTAAAATTTTTTAATATAAAAAAATAAAACATTTTAAATTATTAATTCTGTCAATTGATTCAGGCATTGTCTCTAACTTTACGCAAGTGTTCAAAATTTCAGATCTATTGGACAGCTAGAAGTACGTTAAATATCGATTATAAGATTTGTAGCTGACAAACAAACGTACAAACAAAGAAGAAGTAAAGTTAAAGAGAAGTGTTGTAGAAATAAGCAACCGATGTAGGAAAAAATATAGGTAACAGACGTTGGCGACAGAAGTAGGCAACAAATGTATGCGAATGATGGAGGCAACAGTAGTAGGCAATAAATGTAGGCAAAAGACGGAGGCAACAGAAGTAGGCAACAAATGTGGGGAAAAGACGGAAGCGTCAGAAGTAGGCAACAAATGTAGGTAAAAGAAGGAGGCACAAGTCGGAGGCAACAGAAGTAGGAAACAAATGTATGCGAAAGATGGAGGCAACAGTAGTAGGTAATAAATGTAGGTAAAAGACGGAGGCACAAGACGGAGGGAACAAATGTAGGTAAAGACGGTGGCAACAGAAGTAGGCAATAGAAGTAGGCAACAAATGTAGGCAACAGACGGAGGCAACAGACGCAGACAAAAGACGCAGGCAATAAGCATTAGTACCAGACTTAGGCAGCATTCGTAATAGTGTAGAGGTCATGGATTAAACGATATTTTATTGTAAGGTATTAGGTTTTTATTAAACGAAGATGTTATCATTCTAGAATTTATCAGAATTGGAAGAATGGAATTGGAATTTCCACAATTTGTTGGAACTGGAAGAATGTTTTAGAGAGTAGGCTATTGACACTGTGGTCAGGGATTACGGATCGGAAAATGCAATGGGAACGTGGTCTTAAAAGCAGCAAATTGTGGTTCGTAAAGCTTGCCCCTTAGACTGCATGTAAGCTAATCGATGCCCATTTGTCAAGCCATGAACGTGAACAAGTGCTACAGTTCTCATGTTTGAAGAAAACTCTTGATGTAATGTGATATTTCGTGCCATAAAGCATTTAAAGTATTTTAATGTAACCTTGGATTAGTGAACACTGAACCTGCCACAATATATGCACGACAATAGGAACCAGCATAGATAACAGAATGAAGAAGTAAAAAATTAAATTGATTTCTGAACACGTTCACGCTACCTGAGCTCGTAAGCGTCCAATCGAGGCAGTTAAGACTCGTCACATGCTCGCTCTGGGCCGAGGCGACGATCATAAGCAGAAGCAGGAGTCGGAACATGATTATTGCATCGACGCAACCGCGCATAGAAATTAAATCTCTTGTTATTGTTTTTTCAACTGATACTTGTTTCACTGTTAATTAATGTGGAGCACTGGATTTAATGTTAATTAATGTTAATGAAAGTAGAGTAGAAATCAAGCGCTCACAGTAGAGCCATATTTCCAAAGGGATAAAAGAGATAAGAAATAAAATACAGTGTTTAATATTCAAGAAAATTCCAAATGAAAATTGAGAATGACTCAACGAGAAAAAATGAGCTTATGCGAACACACCGAGCTGCCATTAGTACGAGTACATTTGAAACGCAGACACCAGAGTTCGGTGATCTCCTGTTACTAACTTCACAATGCGAGTCGTGATCGTCGCAGTGTTACACAGAGATCTGAGGCGATAGGCTTATCATTCAATATCGATCAAGAGGTTGATATATACAAGCGCGGCTGGTGAAGGAGAACGGAAGATCTAATCTCAACATCGTCCACATAAACTGATAGTCCCAATCGCAAGTTATCAGAACTCATCCAATATTTACGCAAACAAATGTGATCCGTGAATTTTTTTGAACAATGATGTAACTAAATTTAAATGAAATCTCTAGATAAAGTTTTGAATTTTTAAAATAACTGGAATGAATGTTCTAACTAAGTGTTCTCAACCCATCAAATCCGATTATATTGTCGGTGCGAACAACGAATCTTATGCCAATCGACATTGCCCAGAGGCTAATGAAGACAGTGAGGATGTCCAAAACTATTAAAATTGCTAATTATAATAAAAAGTAGGCGAGTAGTGTGCGCTTGTGAGCTGCTTTTTATCGTCGTTCAGGTGAACCTTCACTCGATATGGTGGCTCCAATGCCTTCCGAAGTGATAACAAGTCAACAATGTATGAAATTTTTAGTTTTTATAAAAAATATATGTAAACTTATATCCCTACCATAGTTCCAGGGGCTTTGCAAAAAATCCATTAACTAAATATTTTTAACTATTCATTAAAAAATCAAATATCTCAGGAAATTTCATATTATTCAATAATCTAGTGACAATAATTCCAACTCATCGCATCAATTTCGAGACAGAGTAAACAAGGCTTTTGTTACTTCCGCAGTGCAGAAACATTGCTCAGGGGCTCAGCTGGTCACGACGTCCATCACAATTATTATAGTGAGGGTCAGACGAACGTCGGGCCTCAGTCACGCACGGCCAGGGGAGTGGAGTAGTGCTGTGACAGAGACAGTCGCTTTGTTATGACGTGATATGGTACAGAGATTTTTAGATAGATTTAGATTTACTTAAAAAAGTAAAATTATTGTAGAGAAATATTAATAAGAAAGTGGATGGAAAAACTTGAAATGAGAAATATATCTTTAAGATTGGAGTTGTAAGTGAATTATTTCAAGGTAAGCTCGAGAATTCTGAATGCGTTACATTGATTGATAAAGTGATTGTGGTATAAATGAAAGATCATGAGGTTGCACAAGGTGGAGATCGAGTCTGTGGAGATTCCAGGCAAGGAGAGGTTGAAGTTTTGTGTGTGTGACCTGCAGTAAAATATAAAACTTGAATCGCTAGTTATGAATGAGTACTCAATGGAGTTTATCAAAGATTGCTGAAAACAAGGAAGCATAGAGAGGCGGCACGGTAATGAATTCGAATCATTTAATTAATCAGTGCGATTAATTAATTAAGTCTTTTGTTAATGAACTAATACCGTTGCGGAAACTAATACCGTACCGTAATACCGTTGCAGAAATTCGGGGCAAATTCATCGAGCTTTAACTTTTTTTGGATAAAAAGGGCAGTCAATGACCTAATATAATTCACCTATAATGAAAAATATTTGAAATAATAATGATGTACGAAAATCCGTTCATTTCATAGCACATAAGCACTTTAATTATCGTGCGAACATTTTATTTTAAAATTTTCTCGCATCATATGAATAAATACAAAATAAAAACTCTCCGCTTTTAGTTATTATATTATAAACATTTATTGTAGTTATTAACATTTATTACAGAAACTAAGTCACATACCTCCAGCTTGGTGGTTTGAAAAAGTTGGTGGAATCACTGAATTATTTTACTGAGCTTTATTTTCGGATGACCTCGGTGCCTGTTTCAGCTGAATTTTTTTTTTGGCAAATGTTCACGTGACCTTTAGACTAGACACTTGTACAGTTCATTACACTATTGCGCACAAGTGTGAGGGTCATTATCCTCCAGAACCTTTCGATGGTACAAGTGTGAGGGTCATTGCCCTCCAGAACCTTTCGATGGTACAAGTGTGAGGGTCATTGCCCTCCAGAACCTTTCGATGGTACAAGTGTGAGGGTCATTATCCTCCAGAACCTCTTGATTGTACAAGTATGAGGGTCATCGCCCTACAGATCCTCTGGTTGTACAAGTGTGAGGGTCATTTCCCTCCAGAACCTTTCGATGGTACAAGTGTGAGGGTCATTGCCCTCCAGAACCTCTTAATGGGACAAGTGTGAGGGTCATCGCCCCACACAACATTTCGATGTGGGCCACAAATGCCACCCGGACCGAGTGCTCTTAGACTCCCCTCATCCGACCGGCAGTCTCGAACTGCTAACATAGCAGTTCGCTTATCATTTATCACATTCGTACTGTAAGGGCAAAATTTTACAGGCATTTTGGCGAAGATCGCAGTACCGCGGGTTTTTCTCTCTCAATTAATTAGTTTCACGGAATGTGAGGAATAAACTATTTTTTTAGATAAATAATACAAAAATACGTAATTATAACCGCTATTAAGATACTCCATCCTAACTAATTCGTCTCTTCTCAATTTAAGCTTTCATAGTGGGAATAAAACAATATATGTAAGGTCAAAAATAGTCTGTACATTCAGAATGCACAAAAGAGAAGGAACTATACAAAGGAAAAAAGGACTGGAGCAGCTTGCAGTAATTCAGGTTGAGCTTGGCAGCGCCATCGACCGCACGTACGTCCCTGCCGCACGCATGAGCTTTCGTCAATAAAACAAGGGTGGTTAAAGCGAGCATGTGGGGTGTTAGCTTAGGGCTGAAGATACCTCAATGCAGCGTGTAGGTACGGTGATGTACACTAGTATATGACTGCAGCGCATAGGTGCTGTACACTAGTATACGACTGCAGCGTTTAGGTGCTGTGCACTAGTATATGACTGCAGCGTGTAGGCGCTGTACACTAGTGCATGACTGCAGCGTATAGGTGCTGTACACTAGTATATGACTGCAGCGTTTATGACTGCAGCGTGTAGATGCTGTACACTAGTGCATGACTGCAGCGTGTAGGTGCTGTACACTAGTATATGACTGCAGCTTGTAGGTGCTGAACACTAGTATATGACTGCAGCGTGTAGATGCTGTACACTAGTATATGACTGCAGCGTGTAGGTGCTGTACACTAGTATATGACTGCAGCGTGTAAGCTGTGTAAACACGGCATTACATCCATCGCAATAGATAACCGTGAGCGGAGCGATACCTTCCTGGGACTGAGTTAGATGATGGTTGAGCAATGAGCATTAATCAGCTATCAAAAAAATTTTTAGAAGCTTCGAGTCTCAAAAATTTTTAGCTCAGATATTACGGAATTCATTGTTAACTTACTGCAATAGAATTATAATGAGACGATTTTGTAAATCTTGTCTCAAATCAATTAGTTACCATCTGAACTTATTAAATTTCCTTATTAAACTCCGTTATATTGTTTGAATAGTCCTTTACTTAGTAAATTACTGATATTAAGTTTGAAAAACACTTCAGTTTTCTTTATGGAAATACTTTCATAGTTTTCTTTGTGCTGTACTGGATAAGAATTTTACTTGACATGAACAAACTTTAACTTATCGGATCCTCCCTTCCAGCACACCAGTTCACTTAACGTGACTGCATGACCTAATCTTAAAATGTTTTTGCTTCACGCACAGAGAAAATTGCTTCACGCACATTTACTTGGCTCGCACAAAAGATGCATAAAGATCACGCATGCGCCTTGCATATCCCCCTCCTGACGTTCTATTCCATCATGAAATCTAATGACATGCGTGAAAAAACTCGGTCAATAAATGATCTTTCTTTTCAAGTAGCAGTCGATTTCATAGATTTTCATTAACGACAATTTACTGTTAAAAATAAAGTAAAACGGGCAAGACGAAATTTAGACCGCTAAAGTCTTAGCCCTCGCACTTACAATTCCATATTCAACAGCATAAGAATGGGGTGGCTCTGTTTGCCTTATTACTTTTTTGCAAACGTAATTTTTTATTGTGAACTTGATAGCTTCGCATGTTTGAGGAAAATTTATACCAAGTGCGCTATAGCTGTTGTGCGCTTTAGACGTCACGGGTAGACCGTGCGCTATAGCTGTTGTGCGCTTTAGACTTCGCGGGTAGACCGTGCGCTTTAGCTGTTCTGCGCTTTAGACGTCGCGGGTAGACCTTGCGCTTTAGCTGTTGTGCGCTTAACCGTCGCGGGTAGACCGTGCGCTTTAGCTGTTGTGCGCTTAACCGTCGCGGGTAGACCGTGCGCTTTAGCTGTTGGAGATCATGCGCGTCACGGAATTAGGATTAGGTAAGCTTGCAATCAGCAGGTGTGACTGCACGCAACTCAGTTGATTTGATTGATTATGCTCAGTTGATTTGATTATGCTCAGTTGACAGCAAAAAACGATGTTAAAATATAACCAAATGTTCTAGAACAACATTTATTCTCCTGTAAAAACAGTTCAGCCACTAATGAATAGATAAATTTTCTAACAGATATAAAGTTGAAACTTTCATTTTGGAATTATAGAAATGTTAAGAACCCTGACTTGGGAGCTGATAGTAATACTGGCAAAAATTGTATTATATTAATGCTGAGCTCACCTATAGGCAATTTATCTATTCAGTAATCAACGGTTACTTAAATCTCTTTAGAAGAATCCGTAGACTTTTAAGCTTTGCAGTATTATGCATGACAATCAAATTATCGAATTCATATTTCATGGCAGTTAACAACAAAATCTAGTTAATTTTTAATTTAAGTTCTGATATATTTTTTTGATTACTAGTTCGAATTACTTTTGCTATTTGATGTGGCGAAGACTATAGTCTGACCTGAACGTTGGTTAATAAAGTAAAATGGAATATTTTTAATCATTAAAACTTTTATTTTATTCTGAAGTTTCCCTAAAATTAATTGTGCACTTGAGATGACAGCATTTCTCAACAATTTGAAGCTGAATGTAATTTATTATCTAAGACAGGTTGATTAAAAGATGTTTGTTGTTACTGAAAACTCATTGAAAAACTAATTTTTGAAAAACTCCTAAGTGGGCTCCTTGTGAAGGTGCAGAGAAGTAAGAGTGTGTTGCAAGTGAGGGGTAAGCACTAAATGTGGTTGTGCAAGAACGAGGAAGTGTGGGAATGGGCAGCGCGTAGCACTAAAAGGGCGAACAGTGAGTAAATGTGCGCAGCACGCAAGGGTGAGCAGCAAGCAAAGGTGTAGAGCAAGTAAGTCTCTGAACCAAATGGCGTGCATGTTGTGAGAGTAAGTGGCTACACACTTCTTTTGATACGTTTAATAGTGAAAGAGGTGTGCACTTGTTACTCTTTTGCAACGTTTAGTTGCAAAAAAGTATGCAGCTGGTGTGACTGAGCACCTAGTTGGGGGGTATAACCTGTAAGGATGATTCAAGCGGTATAACCTGTAAGGATGATGAGCGACGGAGTTTCAATAATGTTGATAGTATGATACCTGGCCTTTATCATGAAGTTGCAGCGCACTTCTTGTGTGACGCTCGCGTGCTACTGGGCTCTTGGCTGAATGCTTCCTCGATCGAGGTCTGCATGCGACAGCGCCCCGCCGCATTCCACTTTTAACACTGAGTTTTTTGTCCTTTTCGATCCTTATTGAATTCCATGCATGTAAATATCTCTTATGTTGATTTAGGTAGCGTAGTTCTGGGAAAATTGTTTAGGGATTAGAGAACTGTTAGCTGTTAATTGTAAATAATTAAATTATTTCTAATTAATTATTTAATTCTAATTTGTCTCGTTTTTGTGCTAAATTTCAAGGTCGTTCTATGTGTGCTGGTTAAAACATTAATCGTCATTTTTATTTCATACTATAAATAAGATTGATGTAAAAAATTTCAAGTTACTGTTGCAGGATTTTACTGAAAATAATACCATAATTTAGCTGATTTTCATAATGAATTTAATTTTCTCTGTGTTAGTCCATCCTACTTTTTAGGAGAGATATATTCCTTTGAATTTTTGTAGATAACTATGAATATTCTTAGACAATGCTTGGATTCATTTCATAAAGCCCACTCAAAAACTCTTATATTTAAATGATACAATTCTCTTTCCAGTTATTGCAGGAAGCTTCGATTGCAAAAGTTCACTAACAGGATTCTTGATAAGCATTGAAGCTCGAAAAAAAAGATCAGCACTACAAAATAAATTTCCATAAGAGCCACCATTTATTTTCTTTTGTGGTGAATTCCCGGAAAAAATTCCAGGCATTTTTTTCTATGAGCTCTTTCATTGATTAGTCTTTTCAACGCCTGGAATGATCGATAACATAAATCATCTTCGTTGAAATGCCATTCGCGCGTTGCCAGCACTCGCCTCGCACGAACAACTGACGCCTAGACTTTCCAGGTTAAGTGCAACAGTGGCTACAAACATCGTGTGCTTTCTTAAAAGGTGGTGATTGATGACACACATTTGATCGCATGCTAGAATTACTTTAATTATCAAAAACTTTGAGCCGAGCAGTAAGAATATCCCTTGAGCTTTTTGAGAGCTTTTGTGACGTTTAATTGACCTATATGTCTCTAATGCATCGAGTGCGAAGCTATAAAAGAGTCTTGTGGCGAGCTCATAATAATACTCACTGAAACATAATTTTATGGACAAAAAATGTTAGCGTAATCTCATCAAAAGTTTCCTGGACTGTCATAACAAATATTTTCCCTAGAACGTTATATTGACCTAAAGTGTTCACGTTAACTTGTATAAAACTGGAACAAACCTCTGATTGAGTAAAAGAATCAACAGATTTGGTTCACATCTTCTTTATCTCAGAAGTGAAGTAAATTTTTCACCCGTAAACATGGACGAAGAACGACAATTTGACGACGACATCATCCCGTATACGGTCGTGACGACGCCAGGCGAACGTATCATGGGTCAGATCTTGCTGATGAGGGCACAGCTCGCACAGCTTCAGCAGGAGGTCAAGATCAACAGGGTGCTCGCTTCGGACGCCTGCAGCGAGTGAGTTTCAACGCCCTCAAAGATGAAATTTTCACACTTTCGGGATTTCTTCAGAGGATTACAGAAGTTCAAAAACAAAGACAATAATTGCTAAAAATAATATCTTACCGTAATAAAAACGCATGTTAACGTACTCAGCATATAATACCAGAAGAATATACGTAGATGCTATTGGTATCCGAGACATTTCTTTCTTAAACATATTTATATAACAAGTGTTTTTATAGTTACATTTATGCTTACCAATGTTTATTGTTTCTCAAGATATTTATATTTTCGATGTTCCTAAAGTCGAGAAAAATGGAAGCAATCATTTCACACGGAAACCGTATAAGTATGAACTTCGAGCTACAAAATGGCCAATTAGTCAGTTCGTACTTCATTCATGAATTTAGACTAATATAGCTATATTACGAAAAATTAATTAAAACGTATTAAGTCAAAAACACTTTACATGGGCTTATTAATAAAATTCCTGGCTTGGTAAGTTTAACACTGCGGCTGACGTTCCTCAGTTCATGATCTAATTCAGCGTGCACTTTTTGGCAGGTGTATGTATACACGATGAAGTTTCGAGAGCTTGGCAATGTGTATGCCAAGAGTCAGAGGTGTGGATACTCTGTTTACCTCCCTTGGTTTGTTTGAAGTCGCTTGAGTCACGAGCCTCCATACAGCCTTGCTCGGCTAGATTTCAAAAGCATCGGCAGCTTGCGCAAATATCAATGAACCGTCAATTAATTAACAACAACCAAGAATTTTTGCTTCAAGAGGTCACATATCGAATTAGTAGAGAAAGGAAAAATTATTTTCTAAAACTATGACTCGAAAGTATATCACGTAAGAGAATGTAAATGTGAAAATGCGCCATGATCACGAAAATTATCCCTTTACTGAAGCAAAAATCTACTTTACTTATGACTCAGTGATATATTTAAATTTCTGTTGAACTCAATGAGCGCGTATAATGTCCAAACTGTAAATACTTGTATAAAAAATTATGGAAATCCAATTCATTGCTTTGAATAACTGCCTGACTGAAGTGCTACACAGGTTATTGGTAAGCAATCTGGAAGCAGCATTTCAAAGCCTCTGGTTAGCTGTCTCATAGTGGATAATGCATGGAGGTATGGGTATATCTATCCATCTCCTTTGTCATTATACATCTGCTTCAACTTTTCTGCAGGCTGATCGCACATTGCCAGAAGCACGAGTGCGATGATGCGTTGCTGAACGGGTTGTCCCAGTCCGAGAATCCCTACAAGGAGAACAAGAGCTGCAAGATATTGTGATCGCGGGTCAGTTACCACTGAAGTTAATAAATCTATTCTAGTTCTTTGGACTGGTTGAAATATTGTAGCTTGAATTTTCAAACATAAGCTTCTACAACTTTGAGTTGAATCTAGATATATAGTCGAATATATTTTTTTCTAAATTGAACACTGTTATTTGATGGACAAAATTTTGACAAATACACGTAGTTTGCGGACAGAAAAAATAGGACAAATAACATGCCTGTGATTTGAAATAGGCGCGAAGCCTATTGGTAATAATCAGTAATGCTGTTGGCGGGAATTGCCTTATCAATTCTTGCATTACCACCAATAGGTGAGCATAAGTGGTGGTAATGCTGTGAGTGAGTGTGATGACAATGATGTGCTCGTGTTGTGATGGGAGTGTTCGTGAGGTGTTCGCAGTGAGTAAGAGTGATGACTGGGAAGGATCACAATGCTATGCGGTGATGAAGTACGTGAGTGTGGAGATCGTGCTCGGAATGAGAATGGTATATGATGGCTAGTCGATAGTGATAACGTTTGCTGCATCTGCTTGATAATTATTTTGCTTCAAAATCAGCAATCTTCCTAATCAACAGTGTTTCTGAAAACTTTTGAAAAGTATCGAAGAACATAAATACAACAAACCAGCAACATAATAAAGTAAATTAAATTACTTTATACAATATAAGTAAAATTAGTAATTCTCCCTGATTACAGAAGTTTGCAGCTAGAGACGATTAGTCTGACAAGTTAACTTTACTGCCGGCAGGTCCAGCGGCCGTAGATCATCAGACGCCTCATCGATCACCGGCCAGCAGACGCTTAATATGTCACGTTCTTCTACACATATCCACTTGCGCTACTTCTTACACTGCAGTATTCTTCTTCATGTTGTGCCTAAATAATTTAAATAAATTTTAGCATCATTCCGCGTTCGAATTTATTGAAAACGTAATTTTTTATAACGGCCTTTTATAACGAAATCAGAAAAGTTTTAGTCTTTCTTTGTTTGGTCTTCATTGGATGAAAAGTTCGTGTGCAATCATATCGCAGTCATTTAAAATTAATGAAGTTCTAACGTATGCGATATAGATCTTCTATAATGGCTCTCAGTAATATGCTAGATCATTTTGGCAAATCAACTTGTCCGTAAAACTCGTTCAACAATACAAGGAAAAGCTTCCTCATTCGTGATTTTTCTGACGTAAGGTTTATTCCTAAATAAAGTGCTTAATTTTCATCTACAGTGTTATGAATAGTTTATTACACAATTAAGTTTAATGAAAAAGTGCTACAATTTCAGGCAAAAAAATTTTTTTTGAGGTCGATCAATGCGCAATCGTTCATTAGATGAAGCATTCTCAATTAATGCTTCATCAAGACAAGAATTTGGTTTACAATCTATCCTCAGTTAGCAATGTTGATTCATTTCATCCTATGTTCGCTTTCAGAAATTTCAAAGCACACAAAGAAGCATACTCGTAATTAGAAATTTCCAAACATATGCATAATTATTATATTTTTTACATGATAACATTTCCGCGCCATATGCTACGGATAACTGCATGCTGCAACAGAGTAGTTATACTCAGCTAGTTTCATTCAGCATTTCTAACCATTTATGCTAATTCGAACATGAAAAGTAGCGCGCAATTATGAATTGCTTTTAGAATGATTCATGGAACTGCATCATTACCTTCTTATCTCAAATTATTCCTCGAGATTTATTACCTCCATTCTGCACCGATTCAATATCTCAGCTTTTTGAATTATATTCGCTTAGTAGCCTTTATACTCACAAGCCAACAGTCAAGTCTCAACATGGGAGTAAAGTGAATACCTTCAAATAAGCACAGGATTGCACCATTTTAAATGTATTGTCTTAAAATGTGCACTTGAATTGTGAACATTTCTGTAGCCAATTGCCGTAAAGAATTCAGTCAAGCATCGGAGAAAAATTTTGTTGTAGCTAAAATCTAACACGTGAAGCATGAGCTAGTTCCTAGAAAATAATAATAAATCTACCGATTAAGAATTGGGTGTATTAAAAAAAATCTTTCCGCATTTTCCTAATTTTTTCAGCTTCAATAAATAACACTGATAAAAAAAAACGAATCTAAAACTAATAGATTCAGTAACACAAACAAAAAATCGGTAACAAATAGATTAATTATGAGCATAAACATGCATTATTGAAGTAAATAAATGTACCCGGAAACACACAATTGAGCCTAAAGATATTCTCATAATACTTAAAATGTAACATGTGAAAGTATATTTGACTTCAATGATGTAATGATGAATGATGAAAGCGTATTTGATGCAATGATGTTTTATAACTATGCGTGAAATACACCCGCTAGTGCTTCTACTTATGATATTGCAGCTTTAAATCTTCAATGTTCTCGCGTTTCGTAACCTAATGTAGGGTATATCTCTCTCAATGTACGGGAGATGAAAAAGCATTATTATTAAATGAATGCTAATAACAATTTTCGTTGTTATTTTTCCCACAGATGATTTTATCTGCTAAAAACAATAGAAACCGAATTCCCCGAACCTCTAATGTATGTTAAATGGGTAAGTATTTGAACAGAGAAAAGAAATATAGACGAGTACACACTCTATCCTAAGATGCGACGCGGACAAGTAGCACTTCTATAGTTATTGATTTTAACTTCATTTTTTTCATTCATTTCTAAAGATCAAATTTAAAAAATTCAAGTTTTTTCTGTGCAAGTTTCTAGTAAAAATACCAAGGAACTAAATTATTAGTATTATTTTTTTTAAGCCGTGAATTGGTGAATGTTCCCGATTATTGATTATTTCCATGACATAGTAATTAGGTACCATTGATTGGCAAATCTCGTGTCTTTAGACCCGAATGAAAACGAAGACCAAAGTCTGCCCATGACTGACGCGGTCTTACTTTGATGTTCCTAGGTCGCCAAGAGACGCCCGTGACAACCGATTATTTCTATGGCTCCCAATACACAACAGAGGGAAGTGAAGGTAGCTACCTGGAACCCAACCCAGTGACCCATCGTATTCAATCGAAACGTGCTACTCAAGTGCGCGATTTGCAATCGGTTAAACGTACTCCTGTGTTCTTTTTTAGCTGCTTGTGCTAAAATGTCATCCGATTATTCTACATACCACACTCTGAGCTAGGGTTGTCGGTAACATTAATGTAAGTGCTGTAATATCCGTGTAAATTGAGGAGCAACTTGAAGTGAAGAATGTTCCTGCTGCATTTACAAACTTGCTGCATGATTGAACCCCTATAGACGTGACTTTTTCGCGTACCCATACTATTGTTTTATAATTTTCTATGTGGATAATCCTTCTTCGTGCACACGATATGTTCAAATGAATATTTTTATAAATATCAACTTGTAAATATTTAATATGTGTTACACTTAATTCCAAATACTTGAATATTTTTTTCAAATAGCACGTGGTTCAAACGAAGAACACTTCTTTCTTTTGTGTTTTCGAATAGACTTTTTGCAAGCCATTGTAATAAATGAATGAATTTAAATAATAACTTATACATGCACTAACTGCCTGCTACTGCTACAATATTGCCAGTTGATAGCCATTAACCATAAACAGGCATAAGTTGCCGTAATTTATTGCATTAGTTTTAATCCCACTTCAAAATGTACACTGTACAGTCACTGTTTAACTATAAGATGTCGAGGTCACCATTTAATATTAAGACTCAACGTGTGCAGAGCAGAGCTTCTTCGAAGAAGAAGGTCATTTGCGCGTAAGGCTGCGCGATGACAAGTAAGACTACCACCAAGTAAGTTCTCTTCCTACGCAATTTCTTGAAATGGGTTTACCTTACCTGGTAAGCAGGAGTATTGTATATTTTTATTTCAATAGCTTCATTCGATTTCATCATAGTAAATGTGTCTTTTTAGCCTACTAAAATCGTAAGTTTACTAAGAATTTAGAAGCAAAGAAAACGCCACGTAAAATCGACATATCTTCATTGAAATCTTAAATGCTCATGCGTCTTTTATGAAGACATGGTGAATTCACTTTGCCTTTTCTTCGCTTTTAAATTCTTAACAATCAAATCATCAGCGGGCTTTCAACCGTTTACTCATTGTTAAAAGGTTCGTGTTACCTACAATTTTTACGTTGATAAATAGCGGGATTATTGATCAACAGCTGCGAGCGCGACCATATGTCGTAAGGAAACGTGACTGGCGTCAGCCCAGGAAGTAATTCCTGCTAAAGCTTTGGTTGATAGCAACTTGCCCTTAATATAGCGCAGGCATTCGTCGGTTTGGGGGAATTTGGCATACCCGTAAAATGCGGTAAAAATTGGAATCAGGAAATTGAAAAAAATTGGAATCAAGAATTTTCTGGATAATCTATGCGCACTTTGTGGCAAAGTTTTGACTGTTGTGCGATTTCTGAATGCACGAGACAAATTTTCATCAGCTTAACACAAAATAAACATAGAGGTATTTTAAAATAAATATCGGCATGTTATTATTGGAATTGGTCTCTTGTATTTTATTATCGTTGCATTATGTATCGAAAACAATCTGTAATTAACCGCGTTTTTTGCTGGGAAACTTAAAATGATAACAAATCAAAAGCCTCATTTTACTTGTATTTAAGAAATTATCCAAATTCATTGAAATGCGATAAGCAATGAATAAATTTTCGGCAAGGCGCCGTGGAAAATGAAATTAGGGGACTTCAGGTTTCAAATGCATGGAAAACTTTGCAGAAATGATGACGAAAATTATATCGAGCTGCTGAAGCGCATTTTTGGCACCAAAAACGTATAATATTGCGCATTACTTTATAATCCATGATACAGAGAAGCTTTGTGGTTATAACGAGAGGTATAATTTGATAAGTCGAACGACGTTCCGTGAGTACAGAAGCTATTGTATATTACTTAAAATATAAGTGGTTAATACTCGCACATAGGAAAAATAATGTTAAGACTTCATAAAACTTTTACCAGAATGTAACAATTTTATTCATTCGACAATCGTCAGCTTTAAGAAATCAATTTTTTTATTTGGCTTCCTAAAATCCTGATTAATTACATTCGAGTGATATGCTCGAGTTATATACAGAATATAAAAAACATATTTTGAACAGGGCAGGACGGCATTCACTGTACGGCAACCAACACGGTCTGCCAGGACTGCCTAAAACAAGTTACATCACACGCAAGCCTATCCGCCAAACGCCTCGACTACCTCCACAACCGCCCCCTACGGCCAGAGCCCCTCCGCGCCCTCCCACCATGATGCCTCCGCCCCCTCAGCCCCCTCTCATGCCAGCTGGGCCTGACCCCTTCGTCAGTAAGTACAACTACACGAATTATGCATAATGCTTTAAGTAAATGAACAGGGTCATACACGAGGAAAATGGCACGACGGTTCTCAGCCATTAGTTCTTAATCTACGAGTATTTTTTATAAAGGTTTACATCAAGTTTGGGACGTAAATTTTAAGAAATTCTGCCACAACGTAGATAATTGCGTATTTTCATTTGAAATAGATTTTTTAATGGTATCTGTTTCTCCGGCCTCCAAGTCACCAGGTATTGATTTAATTTTACAGACGCAGTCGGAAGAAATTAAGAAACAAAAAGTTGGCGTATTTAACATCAGGCCATTGAATGGTCATGAGTTTCTTGCTGAGAAACAAACTTAAATAAATCATAAATTGCAATCCAAAGAGAGATTTGAGCAGGCATCTTGAATTTTCTGGCGTCAATGGCATTAAAACTTCTCAAAGGGAAGAAGAACATACCGAGATTCTTTTTGATGCTTCATCACAATCTTGGGTCCGTAAAGGAAAGGTCCAAAAACAACAGCCTAGCAGGCTGGGCACACACGCTGTTCCTTGTGAGGGTAGAAGCACGGAATCATCTCGTCGCACTCAGGACAAAAAATCAAATTTCCCACAGTCACAGAATCTTGGTAGTGATCATTCTCTTAAGCGGTAGTTGCTTGAATTTTACCTCGCTGCCTAAATGAAGATTCAGTTATTGGAGTTCTTTAAGCGACAGTCTCGTTCGAAAGAGGAACCTTGTGATTACTATCTCCATTGTTACTAGCACTGTGGGACTAGAGTGCATCTAGAATGAGATCATTGCTCATACGCTTCATGAACAGATGTCCCTGCAAAGATTGATTTCTTTCAACTTGCTCGCTTTGAACGTGGGTAATTCCATTGCCCTGTGAACCCTTTGCTAATCTTCTCCCTGCAACACCAGTGTCATTCCGTTACCACTCATGATCATCATATTAGTCGACCACGTCGTAAATGTTAGCTTCATCTTCCTCTCGTGCACAGATATCTCTGAAGACTCGTCTTGGGTTACTGTCACTCAGGATTTTCTTTTGGTTTTCGACATCTTAAATAACCAGATTTTGATCTCTCGACCGGGTCTTCTGCCTAAATGGCTGTGTCATGACACATCTAGACTCCATGCCATTTGAACTCCTTCGTCGTCGTAACTCATCTTAATAGACCCTCATATCCAAATAAAGTGGTTCTGGGTTATCGAGAAAGCGTTCGTCGTGGTATGACACACTGCGTTGCATGGGTAAACTATGGATAATGAGAGGAGGTTCATCGAAAGAAACACTTTAGTCAGAATTTGTCTGCCAAAATATGCCGTAGTCAACCGCAACTGATGACCATTAGACGTGGTCCCCATTGTTTGAGCGTTGAGATATACTCGCCGGATTAAAAGAAACGTAGGTATCATCCGAAAAACCATCACTAGGTGAAGGGGCGCTCAACTTTCTACCTTATAAAGACTCCAAAATGCAGGCTTCCTTGCAGCTACTGTTAGTACATTGCTGCCGGTGTCTTATCAATTGCTACCTTACTTTCAAATACACGGGGCACTCTTCGCTTTAGGTGCAAATACGTTGATGGTAAGAAGACGAGCTACTTCCTGGCCGGCTGAGTTTCTGCTAAAGGGATTAAGTTCCGTTCCTTACAATCAGGGATGCATTTTTAATATCTTATGTTAAACTCCTCTTTTTTCTATCTGATGGAACTGCAAAATGTTTTCTACTACCTTTTTACTTTGATTTTTTCTTCTTGTGGTGTATTGTGCCACGATCCACTGATGGCTTGCTGTAGCGTTGTCCCATCTCTCAATAATTCCAGTAACGAAAATTTATTTCTATTTATCTCACAATCTTTTGGAAGCGCAGTCCCGACCACACGTCACGTATGCGATCCCAGAAGTTGTTGCACAATACAGCTCGTTTCAATAGTTATTGAAAATTCGTTGTATCAATGATTCTGCTACTTTACAGGTCATGAGATTTTCACTGGGAATTAAATTCATGTCGTCGTTAAATACCTACACTGGAAGCTATCTAGGATGATTGAATAACATGTATACAGGCTACGTATCCATGATACTTAATTAGTAGGAATGGCCTATAGAGCATTTTTTACAGATTTGTTGAAGACGATTGTACGGTCATTCGATATCATAAAAAATAGGTTCTTAAGCTTAATTGATTCCATGTTTATTCAACTCCACAATTTAACCGAGTTTGTTGTAAAAATATGGAAATAAATCTGTTAATGCTGCTTGCACATCTGGGTTAAAATTCGCATCAAAAAGTACCGAAGCCTTTAAACGGCCAAGAAAAGTATTTCCATTGTTGTCTTGGACTACGTGGGGTGTATTGATTGTTCTTAGTACAAGGTAGAAATTTGCTATGTCCACGATAATTAATTGGATTTGGATTAGAATAGATGATCCTAATTTTGTTTAATGAAATGATACATTTGGTTAAATTTGAATTTCAAAGCTAACTTCGTACATCTCCATTAACCATTTTCCAGTAAAACCTTTAATAATTACTAATCACTTTTGCCGGGACATTTTACTCCCGCCAGCTCGTCGCATGGACATGCTGGAGCAGAGGCTTAACTCTTCCGAGCAGAGCAACAGAGCGCTGATGGATGAAATCATGAGATTGCAGCAAGATATGAAGGTCAGAACACTGTATTCATATCTTAGAGTAGTATTCTTATGCTCTATAACTTAATTTTATAACTGATTTACATTGCTTCGAACACTTAATATGTAATTTTGCTTGTCGACAGATCTAACGTCCGACCGTTTTTGTTTGTCACGTCAGTTATAATTTTTGTGCGCAGTCATGAACGCTGGTTAGTTCTGGTGTAATAAGTCATCGCTGATAATAATGCGTATTTTTGTCTATAAAGTAATCGTTACAAAATCTTATTCAAAATTGAAGAAATGTCTTTGTCAATATAGATCCAAATCAAGAAGAACGAGATGGGTCTCGGCGACGAGCGCGAGTCCAAAACTCGTCTGGAGATCGCAGTGCGTCAAGCGCAGGGCCATCAGTTCGAGACCGACGACCGCGTCAGGCGGTGTGAGGAAGGAGTCAAGGTCTGTTACTTAACATCAGTAAATAATATTGCTTCCTTTCATAATCATTTGCTCCTACTGAATTTAATTTCTGAATCCTGGAAAAAAATCCGATAAAATGCTCAATTAGATCGAAGTATGAAACGTTCATCGATTGCAATTATCAATCAACTTGCAAAAACTGTTAATTTATATTGAGTTGAAAATATTTAGGCAGTATAGCGGTGGTATTTATCACATTCATGGAAATTTTAAATTGACGGTAACCCTCCGCATCAATCATTTCATGAGGTCTCCAATATTTCTATATATTTTTCATCACGGTTCTGGAATTTTATTGAAATGACTTATGCGCTTCTAACGTCTTTGGGCAGCGATATGGTTTAACTTTCCTTTTGTAATAAAAGCAATTTAATTAATAATGAAATATGAGTATGTCAATTTAATATGTCATTTTCATTTACAGATTAGAAATTGCTTTAAGACAATGTCTTAAATTTTTTCAGCGTTGTGCTTTGAGTTTGATGATGAACACGACATTATTAAATTACGGTGATTTATTAGACATTTTTTTGCGCAGGAAAATCGGATGACAATCCAACAGTTGTCAGGACACATCCAGGGCGTCGAAAAGCTGGCTCACGCAATCCAGCATGAGAATAGCGACAAATCCAACATAAGCAATTCCAAGTTAGTATGAGCACGAATTTAATAATCCAACTCCCGATACAAAATCAAAGGTCTATTTAGTTGTCTTGATACAGTGAAATTTGTGCTCTACTTCCATCAACAATGCAAAAAATCTACAGCAGATGTGAATGTAAAATCATATTATTGTTTATTTAGAATCAATCATTGTCTTCCATATGCGTGTGATTTAAAAATCTGAAAAAATGATCTTCGACAATGTCAATCATTTGACCGTGTGTGACTTTCAGGACTCAGGAGTACCAACGCGAGCTGCTGAAGCTGTCGCAGAACAGCGAGCAGCTGGAGCGCCTCTGCTCGTCGCTCCGTGAAGACAACCGCTCATTGCAGTCACAGCTCGAGACTGTGAAGCGAGACCTCGCCTCACTGCAGAGTAACGTGAAGCTCCAAGCCAGGCTGCTCGAAGACAATGCCAAAGCGCCAAAAGTGAGTGATGCGAGTGTAAACTTTTTAGCGCATTTTCTCATTTATTGAAAAAATGCACTATTGTGCTCGCCATGTCCGTCTGTCTGTCCGTCTGTCCGTCCGTCTGTCAGTGACCTCAAGTTTTCGTCGACGAGAAAATGCGCTCTCTGTCACTCACTGCAGTGAGTACTGAGTTATATTTTTTGTAATATTCTTTCCTCCTGGAGTTTGATAAGCTAAGGTATTTTTTTCTTATTCTGGAGTAGGATAGGAGGAAATATTTTCTTGTTCTGGAGTAGGATACGAGGAAATATTTTGAATGATACGATAAATTGAATTGATAGGATACAAAATTTTCTTGTCTTTACTTGTTCGAGATTTGAACAATAGAAACTATTTTCTTGTTCTGCAGTTTGATTGGAGAAAATATTTTATTGATGTGAACTTGTATAGGCAAAAGTGTTTCCTGTTTTAGAAAGATATTTTCATTCAGGACAGAGAGCGTTATAAGATTATTCAAATTGTTCTTTGCAGGAGCCGTTGAAGGGCAATAACGACACCGCTAAGATGAATGAGACTGAGCGGCTAGTCATCGAGGGCAAGTGAGTCTAGTAAATGATAAATTGAATCGACGTACATAACCACCATAAAAAAATTATATTACGAAGCATTCTCGTGGATCTCCATAAATTGTCCGCACTTTTTATGCTGTTATAACCATATTTATCATATAGTTAAATGCATATATCTACATTCATAAATTTCACTAGATGCTCTCAAACGCGAAAATTATTTAATTTCGTATGACAAGTATTAAACTTTAAAGTTAAATATCTAATGAAAAGTTCATCAATTTGCGATTTCGTTGATTATTCATGCAATAATTGTTTTACGAAACAATAAGTCTCTTCGACTACATTTCAACAACTTTAATCCTATGTACAGAATAATTTCTTTGAACAACGCCATCCAAGACTTGTCAGCGAGACTTTCTTCTGAAGCCAAGAAGAGAGATAAAGTCGAAGTCAATGTGAACGAGAGGTCAGTGTTATTACTTTTCATATTAAGTGTTTTTTATGGTATACAGGTATGGACATCAGGCTGTCTCAGGCTGATTTACCAAGAATGTCAATAACTGGAATTTATTCTCTTGAAAATTATTTTTCTCTGATAGGTGCAATTTTTTAATTCAAATTTATGTGCATCAACTAATTTATATCAATTATCATTTGGTTTAAACAATTAACGTTTCAAGGAATGACAATGAATCTACTTGTTCGATGCATAAACTTTAACCTTCATAGTTCATTTTCAAAAACTTAATTGTTCAATGAAATAATTATATAAGTATACTGATAAGATGAGAGATTATATAATAACAAATTGAACGAATGACAAGCACTTGGGAAATCTCTCAATCGGCCAGCACAAACCATACTTCTGAACAATTTATTTCGCGGGCTTAGTCAAGTTTCAGTCTGGTCAAATATTAAATTCATTCAATGATGCCCTAATATAATTGATGCATTCTAGATAATTCAAATCTATAATATAAACGACAGTGATCAGTCGTATCACGGTCCTCACCATACGTTTTTACTTTGCTCACATCTGGGCCATCATACAGAGTGAATGCCCTCACAGAAGAGTATGGAGCGACGAAACGCCAGAAAGATAAAGAGTTGCAAGATCTCGAGGAGAAACTTAAGGAACTTCAAGCAGGTTTCTCGGTCTCTGAAAAGCAGAAAATCCTCACAGAAATATCTACCGTAGCAAATGACCTACAACGGAAGATGGATCAAAGGTGAGAAGTTTGTGGTTAACTATTACATCCGCTATTCAAAAATAAGACTAGCGAATGTTGGGTTGGAAAATTATTTGATTATTTGCAGACAATGACGAAAAAATTATCCCGACAATTCTATATTTTTATTAAATAATGGCTCAAATTTGACTGAGCTTGTGCCCACTAAGTGGTCATCGAGCAAAATGGGAGGGTATGGATAAAATATTTTAAGTGGGGGAAAGTTCAATTTAGAGTTTGTTGAAGAAGGAATCGATATATAATCCGCATGACGAAGTCCCCATTCTCAATGTAAAGTGATCCTCTTGATTTTAAGAAATAAGAAGCTGAGAGAAGACACCGTCAGCAAACTTGAGGTGATTGAGAACACCCTCATAAGTGAAAACAAGCGTCGGCAAGCGGAGGAGCAGAAATTGCGTGAAGAAATCGAGATCAAAATCAAGGAGATGGAAATGCGGGAGCAAGGCTCAAGCAAGGATCTCAAGACTGTTTTCGACGTGAGTTTTTTTTACGCACCTGTTTATTCAGCGATTATAACGTGGCATACCATCGTATAGGCTCAATAACAATTATGCAAAATCTTACTGACGTGTTTCCAATTTCCAATATGATACTGTTTGGTTTTGATTTACGTTAATTCAGCGTAATCATCAAAAGATTACAGTAATTGAGTAGAGAAAATTCAATATAAGGTTCTAAAAATTCCTTTCTTCATTCTGTAAGTATATATTTTCATTCATAGATATTGTACAACGAGCGAAATTCGAAATCTTAACTCGTGAAACTCATCAGTCTCAGAATCATGAATTCCTTCATAAACTCTTAAAAGTATTCCACTGCTATCGCGGCTACTGAAATTCCCACTAGACTTCTGATACTTTTTAATGCACCCAACGACTTTAGACTTATACATATTAATTTTCAGAAACATAACAACGATACCATTGAACGCATCAGCGACCTCTCCAAGCGGATGAACAAGGCGGAGGAAGTCCTGAGGACTCACAAGCTCGAGCATGAGAGGGTTCTGTCCGCCGAGATCAATGAGCGTCAGAGGGAGGACAAAGTGCGTTCCTTCTATATTCTATAATAATTTATTGAATTTTAGATTTATGGGTTTACGTATAATAGTATTATTATACTAAAATACTCATGGTTATTAGTTATTACTCAAAACCATAAGCTCACCTTTTGAATTTAACGCATTTTATGCGGAGGAGAAAAATCGTGTAGGCCAATGTGTTATGCGGACATTAACTAATTCTGTTTATTGGGCCAATTTGCTTAGGTCAAACACTGAACTCTCCAACTTAATGTGTATTCGTTGCAGGTGCTGGATGGCAAGATTGAGGATCTTGAACACAGGTTGGCCATGGGACTCACGAATCTGCAGTCGTCAATTGGTGAGGCAAAGATGGCAGGCAAGGTCCCAAAAGATGGAAAGAGTTCCACTGTTGCAGCAGCTCCTGCAGCCTCTCATGACTCTGATGACAAAATGAAAGAGGTAACTTTATTTGCTCGATTCCTAGTGCAAACAATATTACAAATGTTCCTTGTGAATAAATAAATTACTACGTCAGCATTCCGTATGAAACACTTTGGGTAATGTTCCTCGTTTCAGCTGGCGAAGCTGCAAGCGGACAATGAGAGGAGCATCAGGGAGCAGCTTGCCCAGGAGGTGGGCCACCTCGACCAACGTCTACAGAAGGTCGAGAAGAACATGAATCAGCAAAATGAGAAAATTGACAATCAACTCAAGTCCGTAAGTAACATATACTGTATATCTGGGAAAACGGAAAAAATATGAATTTCTGCGGATTTCCGTACAGCCTTGATAACAGCTGAAAGATAGTAACAAGCCTTAAAGCAGAGATGTAAAAATTAGTCGTTCTTGAACATCATAAACTCACTTCAAATAAATAAAAATTAAATAAATCATGAATAAGTAATTCTAATTCTCATCGCCCTCATGTCTAGCAATGATAATAATTGAAAAAAATGAGTTTCAGAAATGATTGACCATGAGTTTGCATATAGACAGTGACAAATTAAAGTAATTCTGAGCTAATTTACACATATAATATTCATTTCAATTATTCGCTCCTAAGGCTGAAGCAAACGAGAAGGAAGCCAAGGATCTCATGGGAAGCAAGATCCAAACTCAGATTGACAAAATTGAGTTTCAACAGAAAAAAACTGATAAACAAGTGGAAGATCTTAAAAACAAAGTTCAGGTGAGTTCTTTTGTATTGTGGAAAATTTTGAAGCTATTGTTCGAATAGCCGGAGACGAACTTTCCAATTCAAACGGTCTTCTTCTGGACATGATAGCTAGGTCTTATTCCATACTTTCTGCTCTATGTTGAGTAAATGGTGATGTGATTAAACTAATTTGATCTTTTTACAACAATACATGTTTTTAAAATTCACATCCATTAAAACAAGTCACATGAAGTATAGGACATTTTTTAAAGTTGTCTGATGCTGATGTTAGTCTGATCCAACAGGATACACCAAAAGGTTTACAAGAAATAAAGACTGATATCGGGAATTTGGAAAATAAGCTCAGCGAAAAATTGGACAAGGAAACTCGTGAGCGTAAACTTGCTGATGAAGAAATGCGAGATGACATAGACCGCATCATCGGCCAGCGTGACGTGACCGTTCCTAGTCTCGTGAGTGTTTGATGTTGTGTCGCACTGTTGAGTTGGCTTTCTGTAATTTTTATTCCTTTGAAGTATAATTATAATAACAATATTAAAATTTATGTACTCAGGCGCAGCTGCAGTCCGATGTGGACGCTACACAGACCGGCATGAAGAAGCTTGCGGAGGCTGTACACGTGGTCAAAACATCTCTCATGGAGCGCGTCAAGGATGAGAAGAAACTCAGGGAGCAAGAGACGACAATCCTGCGACGCGACGTCGAGCGCCTCGACACCAAATATCACGATATCAAGGAGCGCATCCGCGCTGGGGACAACTTCGAGGCTGATGATGATGATTTCCCTTAATTTGGCACAGCAGTTACCTTTCGGTCTAAATCACGGGACATCCTCGAGGCCAATGAGATGACGATTGTTTTGCGTCGAATGGCCGATTGATTTCAATTATTTTTGTCGCTCAAAATTAGGCGAGAAAGATTTTTATGTAGATTCTGTTGCCAATAATGTTCCGAGAATTTTCAGGGAATTTCTTTGCCTACAATTGGATTTAGAGCTTAAAATCTCATGCTGAACCATACTAGTGTGACTCCAACCGCCAAATCATCAAAATTTTCAAGTTAATGTTTCATAAACAACGTTGCTCTGGCATAAGTAAATTCATTAAACCAGTTAATACATACATTCAATGCTTCGACTAGTATTAATTATTTTTTATTCAACTTACTGCAGTTTGGGAATTTAAACATAATATTATTCCATTTTTTGCCTAAATACCATATTAGATGGGTCCATTTCTTGCAATTCCTCATCAGAAAAACTACTTACGAGTGTGTACGAACTTTTCGTTGAACATGAGAAAAATTTGAAATATCCTAGAATATGATAACGTATTTTATATTATAGTCACAGTGTGAATTATTTTCAGAAGGAGTGTTAATGCACATTCATTGGAAAATAACATTATCTTTTAAATTTTCGGAAAATTACGTTTTTCTTTTTAAACCTTTAGCTTTATTTTCCCAATGATCCAAGATGTCACTTGATTCAAAAGTTCTTTGATAAGATCTCTGCTCTTTAGTAAGATCGTACAGTGTATGTAGCTGCAAAGGAAATTCAACAGAATATGGATTCAAACTCATGCATAACAAAGAACGAAAGTATTCATGCTACCGAGATTGCAAATAAAAGTTTCACTCCTAACTAAACATGCAAGATCATTGAAGCAAAGAAATCACGGCATCATCGCTTGTACAACTACGAGAACAAATTATATTTGACTTGGGTATTGATCTTGGAAGATTCAACAAAATTCCTCCAGCTGTGCAGTCATGGAACCCTATAATAAGGTGGCAGTTGTTCCAGAAACTTACCGCAAAGATACCAGAATTTGTGTCTCGTGTGGGTGTTAAGCATCAGACTGCCCGTATCCTGACGACACTTTGAAGGAGGACTTGCTAGTGAAAATGCCGACATCTTAAGACCTCCGGGCCATTCGCGACTCCATTCTAGCTGTCTAGTGTCTTGAGTAAAATATGGAGAGTATTTCATTGTCGCCATTTTAGAAGAGTTCACCTCCTTGCAAGACTTCCCCGAAAGTCCAGACCGAATATGGATGCATACGTTACAACGGCAGTTATTTCATTTATCCATATTATATATGTTGTCCAGCGCCGTAGTATGACTTCGATTCGAAAATACAATTTGCCCATCAACAGATGATCTATGGCAACACTGCGAGCCATTTTGGAAGGAATCCATTCCACTGCGAAATTGTGCGTCCATCCCCAGGCCTGAATTATGTGCAATGAGTCGATAAATTGAAATCCTGCAAATTCGGTGGAAACTTTCGCAAGAAAACTCTGAAACTTAAAAAAAATGATGATGAAAAAAATGAGCTGAGAAAAACAAAAAAAAAATCGTCGAAAAAATGTACAATTTAAACGAAGAGATATAAAATGTTGGACGTTAACTGTGTTCCGATGGAAATCAATCCTAGTTGGTGCAGGTTGCTATGGCAACCCTGATGCCATCGTTTGTTACCATAAAAAATTATCGGAGATACCCGCTCGCGAGTCTTCTACGCCGAACGTTCGAACACAGACGCATTAAAAGTATTTTTACGAGGACTGTCCATATAATCTGACAAAATATATGTTGCACTATGGTTATTGTACTTTTTACTATGGACGATAAAAATGAAGCAGATCTGTTCGACTGAGGCTTGTTGAAAATTTGCCATAAAACAGGAAAATGTGGTACTGAGACCGATAGTCTTTGTATTATTTCGAGACGATAAGTCATCTCCTTTTGAAATATTATACTGACTTGATTAGCGTAAAGTTTTCGTAACCGTAAAAAATATCTGCTCTGGATACACATTTGTCTTTAGCTTTCTAAGTCTTTTACATAAATTTGTACTGTAAATGATTCAAAATTTCTAATCATCCTCTCTTATTTAATTTAAATCAATTAAATCGATCTATCGGAAAATTTTGCACCCGGATTCCAAATATCAAATAATTGTTGACTTTTCTAATAATTTTTATTTTTTCAAATAATTTTAATAAGATGACTTTTTGTAGGCACACGGCTGTTTTCACCTTTCAATTTAACATCTGTCTAGAAAATTGTGTTACGTGAAGCCGTGATACCAGGTCAACTTGAACGTTTATCAGTCATCTCGCTCCTATTAATTTAATCCTAATATTAATTTTCGACTCGCTTTTCACCTCTGTAAGCTAAACTGGTTTCACCTAATGTATTTTAATCCACGTTTGATGTTGTGCACATTTGCTCTGCTGGAGCATAGGTAAATTATCAGCTTCATACTTGTGAGTTTTTTTTATTCCACAATAAAGCAAGATTTTACTGTCAGCTATGGATACAAAAGATTGCATTCAACAACATCAGCACTGCACAAAATAAACGATGTCATCTGTGCCGGTTTTAATGAAAAGGCGCCTCCCAAACGAACGATAATGGTAGCCTTAGACATGAGTAGCGCTTTCGATACGATCAATTATGAAAGCATGATAGAAAAGCTACTGCTAACACCTATCACAACATCTGTTTGGGTGTGCTGAAATTCCAACCAGCCTGCAGCCTGAAGATCTATGGAATAAGCCAGTGGAAGTGTATCAACTGATCAGAGTGTGGCAAGACCGGCTCGGCGCTCCGGAGGGGGGTGGGCCTGGGCGGCACTCAGTCGAGTGACGTTGTGGTGATCATCATCATCACTGTCAGCTATCATCGGAGTGTCGCATCTATCAGTCGGTCATGAGCTTTTTCTTGTTCTCATCACATTTTAGAGGCTCTTCCTTGTTTCATTCAAAAATGATATGATTAGAAGTCAAAACGAATTTACACTCTGCTCACAGCTTTCATCAAAGTATGTCTTGCTTACAGCTTTTAACAAAGCTTATACTCTACTCTCAGCTTGGTAGAAGAGATACACTTTGGGACTCACATCACAGTCTCACATTCTTTCTAGCTATTATCGAGAAATATATATTTTCAGCTGTTATAACAACAGTTGTAAAAATTTATTTTTTTGATATAATTAATTATCTCATTTGAGCATAATTTAAAAGGAATTTAATTCATCAAGTCTCAGAATCCTAAATAAAGAATTTGGGCTGAGATGCTAACTCTGCGTGAAGCAGTAATTGAACAACCGTTCCGAGACCGACGCTACCGTCAACACCGTAGGAAGGTGCGATCAAAATATCAGTGTTTGTGCTTATAATATTCACAGTAGAACATGCTAATTTTTATTGTCTAATTATTGAATTTCTTCTAATGCAATAATTTCCATGTCGAAGAATGAAAAATTTGTTTTATATTATATATCATGCATTTGTAAAATCGTACGCTGTCGGTCGAGTAAATCACCACGGAATGGGCTGTTCGCCAGAAGGCATGACTGAATTAAAATCATGCAAACTTTTTGATTTCAGAGCATCAGAAAAGTTCAATCATTCCTAAATTTAAAAATTTAGTGTACACAAATATTCTGCCTACGTCAGGTAGCGAGCGCAGCGCCGCGCATAGATGCTCGGACACCGCCTCGGTTCCCGCACGTCCGCCTCAAATTACGACAACAGAGAATCGAAGAGGAGCGACAGCGAGCCATCGAGCAGGAGAACATACGTCTGGCGCATCGCATGGCCCACATCATGAGGGGAGAGCTACATGACTTCTTCGGTTACAGGTGTAGTCATAAAGAACAACTCGGGTACCTATTTTAAATAACTGGTCCAATTTGCCTACAATAAAATTTTGTGATATTTGAGATGTGGCGGCAATTGCAAGACCTTCAAACGTTCGCCAATAGCTGCATAGACTTCGTATATTGAATAGCAATATTTCAGGTGTGATAGCCAACGCGGAATCGTGCAATGGCCCCGAGGTCACGGTAGAGGCGTCAGGGGGAGCGGTGGCACGAGAGGACCTACGTCCGCGCTCAGCAATGCCCCTTCAGCAAAACACAAGTCACGAAACGCGGAAGCAGGAAAACCATCGTCAGCGGCTTATAATCGACTTATACAGGTGATCTCAGGCCTGTAGCTAGATCGTCACCAATGAAATTTATAAAAAAAAACATAAGAAGATTAATAATACATTTCCACTTTTGGTGGGGATGAATCTGTTTAATCGCTTTAGACAGCTCCATGTTCTTGAAAAAAAAATAAAGACCGAATTTGACGTGATAAGGGTGAACTATTTGTTGTATTCGAACTAATGATCCATTGTTCAAAATTTAAATTATAACGAAATTATTTCATTCATAATATTCGATGACTGAAGGCAACATCTACGTCACAAAATACAAGTCGACGTTCATACTCCAGCCGTCAAATAAAAGAATATTATCACTTGCATATAAATGGCATAATCGCTTCAACCATTTGGTCTCAGAAATTCCATTAATTCCCAGTATTTATTAATGTCTAATTACCGATCTACCAATGGCAGCATCGGGCTCCCTTGGGCAGAGTGAGAGTACCCAGGGTGGGCAGCACCCAGCGATGCCCTACACCTCCCCTACCTCACCCACGCGGCACCCAACACTACCGAGCGCTCTCTCCGTTGCTCACAGCTATGGTGCGTCTAAGCAAGAAAATAAAAATGTCCCTCATTGTCATGGTTGCAATTTTAATGCAAATTTTATCTTTATGTCTGCAAATCCATCAACTGTTGTACATCATATTACTATTTAATGGCCTTTTAACAAAAGTTAGTTTCAGTAGACAAAATAGTTAGCACATGAAAGAACATATTGTAAAAAATTAACAGATATTATATTTTTGACAGCGGACATGGATTTTGAAGGTATGATCATAAATCGATGACTGGCCGAGGTGACGAGCTATTAAACAGGAAAATATGAGCTACTTGAACCGGTTCTAAAGCATAGATTTAGAATGTGAGGGGGTCGACGAGAGACAAGGACTGATCTATGTCATTGATGAACATATAATTAATGGTTAGTTCTATAATGTGCAATGTATAGTTATCGTGACTTGAAAACAATCGATAAGGTCGAATAATTTTTACACATTAACTAACAAAACGATCATACAAGAAGCTTTCTTGTATGATAGACTGGAGTGTTGCAAAGTACGAATCTCTTGCAAACATGTATCTTCCATAGGTTGATTTAGCCTATTAACCTTGCAATAGAAAATTTAAAGGCTAACAAGAGTCGTCGATTACTATTTCCTACTGCCAACAGGAAGGTCTGAGCGTTCGTGAGCAACTTGAGCCACTGGTTCTCTTGACTGGAGACTCTCGGCCAGACTCCGGTGACTGCCGTCGTCGACCACCACAGAGGACTCGGGAAGAACTCCTCCTTTTGCACCAGACTGCCAGCCAATTCAAGCAGCCCGAGCCGTGCCAGCAAACTTTAGAAACTGAGAGTGATTCAATCGCTGCTAAACACGGTACTTGGACCGAATCCAAATATTCAGATGAAAAAAATCACGAAGACCATGAGCAAGGTTGCTGTATTGAAGAACATGAAACGACGGCGAATACCAATACAGAAGCCAAACAACCTCACAGTGTAACGACAATTGATCCTAACGCAATGGCAGTTTCAGGCGGGGACAAAGGCAAGATTGAAACAACACGAATCATCTCAAAGCCAAAGGATGCTGATACAAGTCCTCGTCAGGGTGAGAGTTACGAAAATGCTGACTCCTACGATGATTCAAGTTTTGGAAAAGTCGAGTCTCAGGAAGGAAAAACAATCCGGCAATCAAGTTCTGAACACACATCGGAGATGCAGGGCACGATAGCGTCATGTAGCACATCAGATTACTCAGCTATTGCACGTTCACTGCCTGTAGATTCAAGTTCAGAGAACGGGAGATCCGATAAATCAGAGGACGAAGATTCCACGGATTTCTACAAATAACTTAAAGTCGTCAATAAAATTGAATTGTTATGAAAATGCCACAGTATTTACACTTGGGATGAAAAGTATGTTGAACATTGTTATTTTTTAAATACGATACTTTGTTGTTCGATTGACGTTCAGGTTTTCGTTAACTCGTACGACTTAATATTCAATAACGCAATGAAGACGAGAAATTTACAGTTATGATCAAGCAATTAGTGCTTCGAATTCAAAATATTTTTTCATTAAAACATGACGAAGAACTTGATTGTCAGCGCACTGATGCTGGCAAAAAAATATCAGAGCAGCCAAGTTACAGTGCCGAAATATATAAGTGGACAGCAACTGAAATAACACACTAGAAAGAGATACGATAGTGACAGTAATGAAACAAAGAGTCCCAGTAATGAAACAAATTAAAGCCTGCTAACACTTTCTTAAGACTTTCGATATAAGATACTCTGCACCCAGGCATGCCGTCACTAGCGTTTTTCATAAAAAACGTTTTTCATAAGAGCTGAGAAGCTAAGTCAGTTCTACATGCGACCTTATTGAGAAGCTGTTATACTCAGGAGATGCTTTAACGCTTCCAATGATAAATTTTCAACGGAAATGAATTAGTGGGAGAATAGCGTGTATCATAGAATATAAGAAGGATCTTAAGAACGGCATTACACGATTTCCAGATGAAGTTAAGAGTTACCATTTGAATCTGTAATAAGTGAAACGATTGTCAGATAAGCTCTGATTTCAGTATACGATGGTATAAAATTAGAATATTGTTTTCATTCTCAAGTTACAGTATCTGGTATTTTACGTTGTTTCTTCTTTCAATTATAAAATTATCTAGTCTGCTTGCTTCAAATAAAAAAAGTACCTGCTTCAATAATGCAAGTTTCTGTACGACATATCGACACGTCTTTAAAAGCGTCGCAGCAAACTTTCGAAAACTTCGTCGCGTACCAAAGACCATGAGCCCCGTCATATCTTCGTACAGTTTCCCTTCTCCAGTTCAGGATCTTAGGAATGAGGAATACACAAGGTTTGGTATTATGTTCGCTTTGCTATGCGTAACGACGCACAGCTTACGTTGCTTGAGATAACTATTTCGGATCCCGTTAGCACTGGGGTTTTAACAGTCAACAAGATGATGTGAAAGAACGGAATAATTGATGGTAGACTCGGGCAAGAAGCACGCTAGCAGAGTATATCTGTGAGCCTGCACATACATCAATCGACAAATTCTTCAAATTTTGGAGAAATTCATCTGTCCGGATTCGAAGAGTACCTATTAGTGATAAGAAAACTGGGTCCTCTATATTCTTCTAGCTTCAAAGCATCAAAGTACCAGCACAAAGGGGTTCAAAACTACAGATCGGCACATGCTCTTCTTATTCCCGGATGCAAACATCAGCAAGAGCTTTTGCGAAGGCAGCACACGTGAAGTTACTGCCGAGAAATTCCAATCCACTTCGAAATAAATCTCTGGTGAAATAATCTGGAAAATTAAGGAATCTACCAAAAATTCGGACGTTTGGAGTCATCAAGCCTCATGACCAATACATCAGCATGAATTAGCGCCATACAAATTTTTATTTCGAACCTCTTCATATGAGGTTACGGAGCTCATCTTTAGATGGCACCGTTATCTATATTGGCGTTCAAACTTGCTAAGGAAAAGTGAATGGTAGAGACTTTTTACGTGTGACGATATAAAATAATCATCATCAGCCAAAGAAAATTTTTTTCCAACAAAACGTCATGGTAGTTAGCATCCTAAAAAATAGTCTTCTAAATCTATTTCGCACCAGCTCCAATACTTTTAACACTGAAGCAAACATAAATTTCGTCTATTGTTTAAGGCCACACTGCTTTCATTTATGTGAATGAAACACATGATACAAGTCATAATTTAGTTGAGATTCTAGTCAAACAACAGGTGTGGAAACTGGTCGGGGGAGACCAGGAGGCACGATGCAAAAAGTGAGGTAACCCGTGTGGCCAGCTTGGGTCAACTTAGGATACGCAGACAATATGCTCTTCGATTTTGTTCTGCCCTCTCCATTAAAGATTGGGCTAGGTACCTCTTTAGTAAGAGCTATTGCTGAAAGGTCTGACTTTTCACTCTCTGTAACATTGCAGTCTTCACTGCCCTCTTGAGAAGATTCAATGTCGGCTGAGAGTTTAGGTCGCTTGGCGTCACTCTCTCCCGCCGACATTTCCAATTCCTTTAAATTAGGTCGATCATCCTGTTGGGAAAAATCTAAATTAGAACACCACAAACGGATTAATCAGATAATTGGGTCAAAAAATCACATTTATATTCTTAGACAAATCCAAAAGTTACACTTGTTAGCTGGCTTACAGGTGTGATATCGATGACAGGCATATCTGAGTGCAAGACTTGAAGCTCTCTTGTCAGAACCTCCAGGGTGGTCACGTTCTGTAGGCCCAGCGAACGCATCAATTCACACGTCCGGGAAACCTAAACAGGATAAAATTACTTATTTATTTATCGAGTTTTCTGCAAGCATTAAATATAAAAGTTCGTTCGTACTAGCGTTAGTTCATTATCAAATATTAGTTCGTAATATAAACAATTGACCTGTTCGATGCAGGGCGAGAAGGAGCAAATTCTGCCACCATTCAGTTTAACGGCATTGACTGCATGAGGTAAGGCCAGCCAAGGACGTGGCAGGTCTAAGAAGACGGCGTCGGCAACCTCCGTAACAGGCCATCCTAACGTGCACACATCGCGCCAGTAAGTGGTGACTCGGTCATTCAAGCCGTGTCGTTTAAACTCGTCCGCGGCAGCTAACCAACGTTGCTGTAAAATAATCTAGGTGAATGCTTCCAGTAAAAGCGATTCTGTAGCTTTAAATACCGATGGGCAATGAGTAAACTCATTAGGTATCTAAGGAAATTTACAAATCGAAATTCACGGTGATATAAAGTCAATTTGAAGAGCATGCATAGAAAAAATATATGTATAATATGGCAGTCGAATCATTTGCACCTCATGAAAGTCGGCAGTGTGGAGGTGACCAGTAGGGCCAACTGTTCTCAATATTGCATGGGACAAAGACCCACTGCCTGTGCCTGCCTCGCACACCACACTTCCTGGGCCGATGTTGAGTCGAGCAATCACCTGAATAACAAAGAAAAAATGTAAATCACCCGCAAAATGATGCATGTTAGTTCTTTTCTTTCTAATCTATCATGCATAAGCAAAATGGCATTCCATATAGTATTTCATCATTTCATTCCAGTATTGCAAAATGCAACAAAAACTGGATTTCTCACTGTAAATATATATTTTACCACTTCTGAAATGTCCTAATAGTGTAAATACGTTTATATAAAATTGGGTAAGTAAAAAAAACATATATATTAACAAGTACCTAGCCCACAAACCATTGATATGTCCGTTGTGTACAAAATTTGAGTCCTGTGAGGTAGTGTGAGAGTCCAGAGTTCAGGAGTGGGATAGAAAATGTAGCCAGCACCAGTGGCAAGCTGAACACGGCAGCCAAATTGAAGGCCCACCAATGACTCAACTTTTAGAGCGCCGTACATGCTTTGGAAAACATGTGGCACCTGTTGTCCATGTCGATTCTTCACCGTTTTTGTAACCTGAGGCAAATGAAGAGAGGTCAATGGCAGAACGAGAGCAAGTAGAAAAAAATTATTTATGCTGTAGCAACAATATGGAATAAAAATGTATCCAAGAGGTCCCTACATGAGGATACCTAATTGCCAAGTTCTGAATTGAATATTAGCATATTTAAACATTTTTGACACATAGGGCCTGAGTTTGACATTAGAACTTGCATTCAGAAAATTACTTTTCAAAATAGCATCAAGATCTTATCACAAACTATTAGTTAGATTTGAAATAATTTAAATCACACATTAACCAAGAATTCATAAGCAAACAATATGCCCCAAAAATTCACAATACTTATATTTAATGAGAATATCCAACAAAATTGCTCCAAGTTGACTGACACATTCATTAAGTGGGCTGGGGGATTTTGTATTTTGTGCTGGGGGATGCATTGATTTTTCTCTATGTGAACCAAAATTCCTAGGATTAAACTCTGCAGGTAGCAAAGTTAATTGTTACTTGTTTTCTATCAAAGAAAATTCTTTTAACACAATAATTATATTGATTTTAATGAAAGATGCTAAGGCATGTGCAACAGTAACTCATGTGGCATTGACAGCCTTTTTAGCGCATTTTCTCATTTATGGAAAAAATGCACTATTGTGCTCGCCATGTCCGTCCGTCTGTCTGTCCGTCCGTCTGTCCGTGACCTCAAGTCTTCGTCGACAAGAAAATGCGCTCTCTGTCACTCACTGCTGTGAGTACTGAGTTATATTTTTTTATTATGGCCTTACCTCTAGAGCATATGTTTGTGTATTATTAAAATACAGAATAACTGTATCACACTCCTTTATTATCTTATGAAATTTGTCAAAGGTCATGTTGAAAATTATAATAACACAACAACAGCAATAACCATCAGCAAATCAGGAGTTATCACTTAGCTTGACTAGCTTCTATGTAAGAAGATTGTTGTTCAATTTATTTGGTACTTAAAGAACAATTGGATCTTGTTCAAGATACATAGATTGTGACTTTACTGTGAAGTTCAAGAAGTTCAAGTTTAATGTCATTTTCTTCTACCTTTCTTGTTTTCAAACAGGAGCACTGGAAGTCAGTCCATATGGCCCCTAAACAGCATAAGTTGCATTATATGCTGCACAGCTCATGGGAAAACATTGTATAAGCAATGATTGGTCAAAAACATAGTCACAGAAAATCTAAAATTGAAAATATCAATTTATAGTCAATGAATTATTCATTACATCATCTTAAGTTTGTTGCAAATACTGTAGCATACTTGGTACCTCAAATGGGATTGTTGAAACTTGAAACTAGTGAAGGTAGAGCCTGGGTATGGCTAACAGGACCTATCATCACTCTCACAGTCTCACTCATAGAGCAAAGGTAGACATAATACCACTGATTATTACCACAATGAATTGAGAGCAAAATGCAGCTTCTTGTGGAGCAAGCCGCAAGAGCTAGAGCAAAGGTATATATAAAATAATATAATACAAAACTGAATAGAGAGCAAAATGCAACCTCTTGTGGGGCAAGAGCTAGACTGATAAAGCATAGAAGTGATTTGACAAATGTTAAAGTTCAGCATTCCTTACAAGCAGGGTTGCAAAAAAAACATGTTTTTCAAATTACCTAAATCACGAAAGATTAGAAATTTCCTACATGCTATTAAAATCTCATGGCTCCAAATCACTACCAGTATTGTTTTAAATATGAAATCTTGTGGCTTGAGACACACACTTTTACTAACAATTAGACAGGGTATATATAGTAATTTATCTAGGGGAAAATTTGTGCCCCCAAAATAGCAGGATAACTCAAGTTAAGTTAATGGTTAAAGTCATGGTAAAATAATTATAAATAACACTATTAACAGCAGTTATTATCTAAATAAATACATGTTCATTATACATAGACATAGGGTTGATGAAAAATTATATAGTCACTAATACATATTTGTCAGGGACTCAGTGTACATGTCATGTCAGGTATAATCAGATTCAGAGATTGAGGGTCAAAAAAATAGAGACATAAAATAAGAAAGAAAGGGATAACAGTAGAGTATATTGCAGATATGGCACATCATCATCACATGTATGATGACAGTGATGTTACAGTTGTTACTGATGTATCCCCTCATTCCCCTGGCCCCATTCTCCCCTGACCCCTCCCACATGCACTCATGACTCATCATGATTCATGACCTCATGCAGGAGGACAGACACACGGGTGGCCGCGGGCCACACAGCAGGAAGGCAACACTCTCACATAAAACTGCTCTCCAAATAAATAATAATCTAACAAAGTCTATACAAAATAATTTATTGTCCTTATTCAATTAATCCCAGGGCGCAGAGGGTGGATGCAGCGTCGCCAATATATGGGTTTTTATGCCCTAAGCGTTGCCTGGTAATTTTAAGATGCGTCCCCGGGTAATTTTTAATGAAAAGCCATTTACGCTGAGTAATGAAAAACTATTTACAAGCCACGAACTTATTTACAAGGTTGCATGTATGTGTTACCCCATTCCCAAATAACTAATTTTACCCTAAAAACAGTCCGATTGTACAGCAAGTGTCAACTGAACATGTGATAATGCAGTCTGACCGCTCTAATGTGACTGCAACTACGTAATCATAAGCTTGAATGCTTGATGTTTACATTTTTTGGCGGGAACTCATCGCAACTGATTTCCGGACAAGCTTCACTGCATCCTGATCCATCCAACATATCGGAAACCTTACTTTTTTTAAATAGTTGGCCAAAGACTGACAAATACCTTAAATGAAAGAATTTCAATCTAAATGTGTCGGCAAGATCTTCTGAAGGCGTAAATTTTGCTACTGAAGCATTGCCAAAGATCTTGCAATATTCATCCACTCTCTGCACAGTGGAATTAATCCACATAATAACCATCAGCAAGGTAAGGTTTCTAATGCATTTCAACTACCGAAGGTCAGTAACTAGGTCATGCCCTACACTGTGCCAGTGTGTGTGTGCCACTGTGCCTCACACTAACACAAGTCTCATGATACTATCATTACTATGCAAAGGTCCAGCCTGAGCCTGCCAGCAGCCAGCCTGGGAGGCTGGGCAGTGGACAGTGTGAGTGGGCACACCTGGAGCTTTCTTACTGCCAATGCAGCAACAAAATAGGATTTAATTTAGTAATCAACAAGTGTCAAACAAGGACCTCCTGTGGGCAGGGTTGTTAAAGAATTAGGGGCAGGGGGAGAGGGTTGTGATGTGAAAGGTTGGAATCGGCAGCATTCCTTACATACATAACATTAGTAGACAGACAGAACAAAAATAACTAGGAAAGCTGCTGGTTGCCAGGGACTGCAACAATGGCAGTCTGAGAGGGAAATATGAATTTATCTAAGTTAGTTCCAACATATGCTACTAATGCTAGTGTTAATTTGTCTACGGTAGTAGGCTAACTACATTTCCCATAATGTTAAAATTGCTTCTTCTTCTTCTTCTTTTTGGGATGTCCACGCAGGGTAGACTTAAAGCCACAGGACAACCGCAAGGATGACCGTTGGGCCTGAGAGCTCGTGTAGTTTTGGACCTCTTGGTATGGAGGTCGGACCACTTATTTTTGCTTTTGAAAAGTCAGTGGACGCAATGGCTGAGCGTGACAGCAAGCAAAAGAAAAGCAACACAGGGCATTAAAAATATNGTCTGATTCTTGTTCAGATTCTGTACCAATTTGTCGTTTGTGCCTGCTGCTGCTAGGATAAGGAAGCCTTTCTTGCAAGTCCATGCTTGATCTGGTTCTTCTGTCATTTTCTACTGACTTGGGCTTAGTTTGATAGCAGGTGATGTCTTCATCTGATTGATCTGAAGATGGTTGAAGTCCAGATTGCAGGAGAGGGCCAGCAGTATCTTGTGATGGTGTTTCCGGAACAATATTCTCATCATCACCGCCAGGGCTTGGCATGCCAGACTCAGAGTCTGACATTATGCCTGTGTTTTTTTCCAATCTCAAGCTACAGCTTGCAATAGTAGTGCAGAAAATAAATTATATGCCGGTATAATATGACAAGTTTTACAGCAAATAATTAAACAAAACAAAACAGAATACAATTTTCCCTAACAGTAATATAAATATGGAGTATAGGCTGGTATTGATGTAACAATTTTACATAGCAATTTGTCAATGGATAACAGAGCCAAACAATATTTGATATTGAAAACAGAAGCAATGGTTATATTCAAATACAAAACTATACAGGAGTTCTACCTAATTGGTTTGGGACATGTAACATAAACTTAACACATGACATTTGCAGTATATGATTGATTCTAAAAGATGACAAAATATTAATAGTACAAAAAAATAATAATAAGTACAGACTACAGATGACAAGTTACACAATGATGTAGCCAAGGTTTCAATAGAATAATTCAGCCTTAATCAGAAAATGATAAAAATGTTTAAATACAATGCAAGAATTTTAACTACCTAACCTTGGCTGGCTCACAAACCTACTCCTACCTACTGCCTCTTCTCATGAAGAGAAGAGGAGGGGGAGGGGAGAGAAAGCCAGCCGGGTTCTTGACGCTAGAAGGACCCTTCACTAAATATACTCGTGGTATATATAGTAGTCCAAGATCAAGTAATAGTGACTTATAGGCGATTATTTACCGGTTAACTTAACGGAATCAAGGGCGATAGACACTAGAGATGTTTACTCGATGAACGCAGCTGACTCTCTCCCCGTTAAAATTGCTGGTACACGGCTGCGCACCCGGATCGCGTATTGCTGTAGGGTTTACATCTCTGAAACCAGGAATGCGGACAAAAATCAGATAATTTTGCTCACAAAAAGGCCAAAGAACGAAATTAGTATAGTATAGTATCTTCGGCATTGAGGAATAGGCCTGGATAGGCCTGTCGACGATTCATGTACTTTTCTTGACTAGACTGGCCTTTTGATCAAATCTTTTCAACGGACGGTAGGTATAAAATCACTTCTAGATTTCAGTTGTTCCGTAGGATACGAGGCATTTAAGACTTAGGGTACGGCCAGACTAAAAGGGTTGGCGCGTACGCAGGCGTACGCGCGCTCACGATGCGATATTATATGTATGTATTTCTACCAGAGTGGCCACACTAAACGCTTACAGGCTGAAGCTGCCTCAAGCGTACACACGCGTTGCTGCGCGGTGGAAAATCGACATTACTCTGGACAAATATTTCGACGCGGACTGTCGGACTCTCGGACACGCGCGTGCAGTGTCCTTGGAGCAGCCATGAGTGATGGATGTCGAAGCATTGCTCTCGTCAGCTGAGGCGGTACCTGCAATCTGGGATACCTCTCACCAACAACACAGTGATGGGACAAACATCAGCAATATTCAGTATCCACTGGTCTATGATAGCTGATGCACTCAATATTTCAGCTAAGAACAGTAATAATACATTCTTTTTGAATAGAAGTGAACGAACTTAGCACTCAAAGCACTAGGATATTCTTTTTGTTTATTTAGACAGAGCATATGATACTGCCAAGCAACTTTTCCTGCATCTGATACGAAATAATTTGTGAATTTTTCCCGAACATCTGTTGCAATTCTACAGCTGTTTCTATGAACAGGAGCAATTATAGTTTCAGGTTGATCATTCGATGCATTCAATTCCATTGACATGCTTGTCTTTATCAAATTTCTCCCTAACAAGAATCATGTTGCGCAAAACTGTAATTGCTCTAGTTATTTCTGCAGCATTATACATGCTGGTCTCGATGGATTTCGTTAAAATTCTGAATTTGGAAGTCATAATGCCAAAGGTGCATTCTACACAAAGCCTAGCTCTTGATAGTCTGTAGTTATATACTTTCTTGCTTTCATCTGTTTTGGCGGGGGCATGGTCTCATTAAGTTAGGAAGCAATGGGTAAGCTGCATCACCTAGCAACGCAAGTGGCGTTTCATCATGTCTCATATATAACCTCATGCATCATATATAACCTCATCTGAACGGATTCCAAAAAAGACAAAATAAAGTATATATGGGATTTTCAAATTTATCTTTTATTTCCCTATAAAACTTTCATCAAGGAGAACGGCTGTTAGTCTCTCGTAGACACTCATTTCTACACACTGACTCGCAGTAAGCTGCGCGGTTCAGCGTCTAGTTTGGACACCATACGCGCGGCGCGGCGCCGCTCTGCTTGAAGCGTCAGCCAGCGTACGCGTGAACGCTTTTAGTCTGGCCGTAGCCTAAACATATGCTTCTGCATGGCCTTGTCTAGTCTGTTCTTGAACACGTTCATACTTGGGGCGTCAACAACATCTTCAGGGAGGCTGTTCCATTTCCACATGTCGGTGACTCGAAGCGAGAAGAAATGTTGTCGCATTGATGAGTTGCACTGCAGTTTTTTTAGTTTATAGCTGTGGCCCCTGGTGTTGGTTCTTGTTTCAAATTCTAGTAATCCTTCTGGGGCCTTGTACAAACCATGAGTATACTTGTATAAGTTGTATACTTCAATGAGTCCACCACGCAGGCGACGATAACGGAGACTGGGAAGCTTCATAATCTTCAATCTTTCTTCATAAGACTTGCCCTTTTAGCCTGGAATTATCCTTGTTGCACGTTTTGAACACTTTCAACTAAATTTTTGTTCTTTTCAAGTCTCAGTGACCACACAACATTTCCAAACTCTAGGTTCGGGCGCACGAAAGAGGTGAACAACAGCTTAATTATTTCTATATCTAGGTACTCGTAGGATCGTCTGATCAGCCC